CTGAGTACAAATCTCCTAAGTACACCCCATCACCAGTTTACAAATCTCCTGAATACACACCATCACCGGTTTACAAATCCCCTGAGTACAAATCCCCTGAGTACAAATCTCCTAAGTACACCCCATCACCAGTTTATGAATCTCCAGAGTACAAGTCTCCAAAATACACCCCATCACCTGAGTACAAGTCTCCACCAGTCTACAGTCCACCATCATACGGATCTCCTGCATACACTCCATCACCAATTTATTGATTATTTATCACCTCATTACAAATGCGCAAAACCTACTAGTAGTATTCTACATATTTACACCGAGTATTCAATTTAACCATTGTTATTAGGTTTGGTAAATTTTTTATATCTCATGTTTGTTTTATGTTCAATATATATATTTGTCAGCTAATAATGAGCTTGTGTATTGTACAGGCTATTTGTGTAATACAGTATAATTTATATATTTAATTTATAAATAAATGTTACGAGTTTTTCTTAATTCTGATGTATCTACCTATTACGTACGTAGTATTATTATTTGCTTGAGGTGCCATATACATCTAGACATCTAGTAAATTAATGTCATAATTTGGTCAATGCATATACTCCCTATATATAGGACTTATCAGGTGGTAACAAAATTTGATTACCAGAAAAATTAAAGTTTCTAATAGCTTTCAGGTTATAATGAGTAAACAATATTAGTTAGACTGCTCATTGTGCTCAAAATTTAACAGATAAGGAGTTGAAACAGCAAGCAGTCAAACACATCATATAAGAACGTTATTCATGGTTAAAACAAAATATAACGACCTCAAACTTAAAAAAAAACAAAATAATAATAATAAATAAATAAAACTGCCTAATGGTCTAACATTGTGAGTTGTGTGACATTTTCGTTGTATGGAAGTAAGTCAAATTTTAAAATGAAAGAAGTAACATTTTTTTTGGAAGACAAATGAAAGAAGTAACATACTCCGTATTCAATAGTTTTGTAAAAAAAACGTATTCAATAGTGAATCACATATTTGAAAATTTAATACATAAACTAAAATTATTGTTGAAAATATGATTGGTTTTCAACAGTAATAGTTAACGAAAAACAAAATATATCTAACAACAATCTATTCAAATTTCACTTATATGACATAAGGTCTATTATGTTCAACTTTTCTTCTCTCATAGACAATTCATTTCAGAGTTCAGTTCAGTTCAGCCCTAATTAGTTCAGTTCACTAAAATCGTCAACCTTTGAGACACAACACAATTATAAAAGAAGTATCGCTGATGCGTTGTGACATTATCTCAAACTAGGGATGGCAACGGGCCAGATCTAGATCCGTCTTTGTATCAAGGATCCAGATCCGACCCAGATCTGTCAAGTCTGGAGAATGGAGACCCGGATCCAAATCCGACGGGTCCAACAGATTCGGATCCAATATATTTTGCCTAATTTCTTGCAAAAAATGTAATGTTTGGTCAAAAAACACATTTCAAACTTCCGTCGAGGGCTATTAAGTTCAACCTAAATTAAATTTATACAACTAATCTAAAAACACAAAGTAACCAACTTATACACTTATATTTTAAAATAAAAATTATAAACAACGAAAAAAGTACGATGTTTCAAATGAGCAAGTGAAAAAATAACGATGATGTATTCGATAAGCGACGAAAAAAATACGATGTTTCAAATGAGCACCCAAAATTCATCTCTTGAAATGGCTAATCTTTATCACTACTAATATTATCAACATCTTTAATAAAGAAACAAACAATTTTAGTTTTTTTAATAGGAAAATTAAAAAACAGGTAAACGGATCTGGGTCCGGATCTAGGGGTCAAATCTGGATCCATTTTTTTTTTCAGTCGGACCCGGATCCGACCGGATTCGATGGGTCCAAAATTTGAAGACCCAGATGTGTGAAAAACGAATCTGGATCCACAAATCCAGGTCGGGTCCAGATCCACTGCCATCCTTTATCTTAAACTATTATGTTTCATGAACTATTGTATAGAGAAAAAAATGTTTTAACGCTAACTTAGCACGGAAGCCATAGGGTGAGGAAAATGATGAAAATACCTCTGCAATTCTGCATAATCCAACTCATTATCGTTAATATCATGAATCCCACGACACCTTAGGATTGGAGACCATTTTTATGGTTTTTTTTTAAGAAAATATGAGTTTGATCATTTACTTACCATCCAATATTTATTTCTCTATCTCATTTATCCATCTTGTATAATTGTTGCTCATATCCACATCAACAACCATATAACTTAAAACACCGTCATACTACGAAAGCATGAGATTTTTGGATCTTTGGGCGTCTATTCAAAAATTTCAGGCGTTGTCATGGTTTGCCTAGAATTCTCGAACAAAACCCCGGGAGATCTGAAAATCCCAAGCGTTCCAGGAGTTCCTAAGGAACGACCGAAAAAAAATGTATCTGCTCGCCGGTGTCGATCCTGTTTCCTTTGCGATTTCCGGACATATTATCCTCCCTTGTAACCTCGACACGAAAATTAAAAATTAAAAGATTAAAAAACGATTTTGTTGGTGGTTGAATTTGGGTGCCTTGCTTGGTGGTGGACCCAGTGGTCGCTTTTGGTGGGTGAAATTAAGGATGTTAGGAGTGAAGAAAGATAAAGAGGTAAAAGTGAAAATAATGGAGTATATGTTTGAAGGGTTATTTAAGGGGGTAGATAAGTATGTTCATTTATAAAAACGGAAGTTATCTGGTGTATATCGGGCATTATTTAGTACCATATATGTTTTTCCCTTGCAAACAAAGCCGAGAGTATTTCATTGGTATTGATGTAATATACTTCCTCTTTTTTCTTTTTTTTTTTTTTTAAATCACTAGCTACTTCTTTTTTTCACGTTTGTTATTGTATATTTTTAGTCGTTTATATATTTAATTATGCACTTGTAATAATTATGAAAATTAGGTTTTAATAAATATGCATATGACTATATATTTCTTTAATTGTAAATGAGGCAATATAACAAACGTTTAGTGTGTTAATAATGTACATTTAAAGTTACAATTTATTACAAAGGAACCACTTCGGTGCAAAATCTTTAACTCTTTCCTCTCAAAAGATGTAAAGGTATGTGATATGGGTTAAAACCTAAATCGCTTTTTAAATTTACATGGTATTTTTACTTTTTTTAAATGTGCAAATGTACTTAATCAAAACGCGTTAGACAATTTGTTGGGTCTTCGAAACGTACCACCAAACCTTAGTTTTGGATCATATTCAAACACTTTAAAATAAATTTTTCTTTTTAAACACTATTGGGAAAAAAATAAAAATAAATAATAATAAGAGATGTCTTTTGATTAGTTCTGAACTTGAGAAAGTTAAACGCCAATTGTCCTAATCTCCCTATCATTATGAATTTATAACCAAGTGGTACTACTAGATAATAAAATAAGTCATTTGCATCAAATTACTACTTCCAACTCATATATTGTCAATTTGAATGTTAGTAGTAAAAGTCTACAAGCAACCAATAAAAAAAAGGAACTAACAATTCAAGTAATTTTTGCATTGAATTGAAATAATCATGGACAAAGGTACTTATATGAACTACTCCGTAATTAAAAGATTGAAGACTTGCTCAAATTAGAGCTATTATTTTAGTGATTTTATGTATGGAATCAATCCAAGCAATGGCTTATATATAGGCCATTAAAAAATGATATGCTTCACAACTCATTCTTCATTCAACAAATCAATTCTCTAATCAAAATAGTCCTCGTTAAAGCTCTTGTGAGGATAATCTGATCAAAACACTTCCAACAAAATGGCTCTTAATCACTCTTCACTTGTATCTTTCGTGCTCATGACCTTGGCAGCAGTTTCATCTGCTCGCGACTACCCCACTTCGGGGTATAAGACACCTTCCTACTCTCCTGAGTACAAGGCACCAACTTATTACCCATCACCAGTATACAAATCACCGGTTTATTCATCACCACCAGTGTACGAGTCTCCGAAATACTCCTCACCACCACCAGTGTATGAGTCTCCAAAATACTCATCACCACCACCAATGTACAAGTCTCCATCATACAGCTACCCACCGTCAACATACACCCCACCCACATACAAGTCCCCAATGTACTACATGTCTCCAGTTTACACAGCACCAACATACAAGACCCCAACTTACACACCTTCACCAAAATACACCCCATCACCGGTATACAAATATCCAGAATATCCATCACCAACATACAATCCTCCAAAATACAACCCTTCACCGGTATACCAATCTCCAGAATATAACCTATCACCAACATACAAATCTCCAGAATACACACCATCACCAGTGTACAAATCCCCAAGCTACTCGCGTTCACCAGTGTACAATTCCCCAACTTACACCCCTTCCCCAGTTTACTCTTCCCCAACTTATTAGCACCCCAAAGGCCCAAATACACTCCATCGCCAATATACTAATTTTTGTTTCACCCCAGTGAAATCCTAGTGAGTGATAATAAGGTTTGAGGTTTGACAAGTCCTTTACCTTATAATGTTATTTTGCAAAAATAAATGACAATGTTGGTCATTAAGGTTGTAATTGTTTATTCTTCATTCTGATCAATGTATGAGTTCTAATCAATAACAAAAGAGTTTAATTTCTATTTATCCAAGAATTTCTAATATTTCATAAAATAGGCATACAGTTCCTGAATGCAAAAATCACAATTAAATTAGGAAAACTAAACCAAATACAGAGGGAACTGTGAATGTCAAAAACTCAAAACAAAGCATCATTGATATTTAGTGAAGATGGGCAAAGGGTGGGTGGTGGGCGAGTTTGAAATTCAACCATCAGTGTAGAATTTCTAGCAGTAACGAACTTCTTCTATCATACAAACAAGCAAAAAGCTTTAATTGACATGGAGTAAAAGTCACTTTAGTTTTGCATCTTATCACGAGACAATTGCTCTAACTGCCACAAGCAAGCAATATAAGAAACTAACCTTAATCTTCTACAAGGAGATCAACCCCAAAAAATTCAAACTGCCCATAGGGTAAAAAACATCAAATATGAAAGAGGTCACTGATGATAAAATTAAGCAGAAAATTTTTAGCCATTTCATTTGAGAAAAATATCCCAGTATACTAAAGCTCACAACAATTAAGATTGTACTACTAGTAGAGGGCAGTCAACAAAATTCAAATCCTACAACGCAACTCAGCCAAAAATGGTGATACAGACTGATTTAGAAGATGCGGTATGGCTTCCCCATGGTACTCTTCAGGTATAGGCATCGAACCTGTCAAAAAAAAATAATTCAAAGTTAGATGAACACAATTGCAATATCGGTAAGATGCAATCATCTTACAGCAAGAAAATCCCAATTAGCAAAATTTGATGCACACAAATACATGAATGCAGGACTGTGATGTGTTCGTCGTGCAGCAAAGAACATCAATCAGGACTTTTATATTATAAGAAATTCATAGGCAAACCAAAATAACTCACGTTTTGCCAGTTCTTCTTCAACAGTGAAACAAGAAAGTTGACGCTCATTTGCACATTTTGGAAAATTTGCTTCTCTTCCATACTCAAGTTACCAACAGCAACTCCCATGCAGAGAACTTTCTTAAGCTGAAACTTAACAGTTGCCTTGATCTCGTTAACTTTGTTCTCTAGGGGCTCCTGGTGGGTAACAAGTGTAGGGAACTTACCTGTATAATCAATGTAAATAACCAATGAGCAAAACATAAAAAGATGAAACAGATTTGACAACATGAACACTGATGAATAAACATCATACAACAAAAATTTTCATATCAACTGAACCCAATATAAACAGAATCTAAACTAAGAAAAGCTTATGAACGTAAACCACATCACCATACCACTACCAACAGACATGAAATATACAAACCATTTTATATTTATTGCTATTAAAATATACTTGCCTGCCTTGTTAAGACCAGGTCCTAGCAAACGGGGAATCTGCTTAATGACTGCTTCAGATGCAAGGAAAGCATGGTACTTCTTTGCAAGCTTCTTCACCAACTTCTTGTTCTTGTTTAATTTCTTCAATGCTTCTACATCCATCCACTCCAAACCAATTCTCTCAGCCTACAATCACATCAAAATAGCACAATGAGACAACAATTAGGACAAAGGTATAGTGAGCCTAAACCAAATATTACTACAATCACCAAAAGTAAGATAAGCACACAAAAACCAAAATTTATGTAAAATGCTATATTCAGGATTTCCATAACAAGCATCTTATACAAGTTCAAACTCAAATGCCTAAAGAGAAATCTACAAGCATACATGCCACGATCAGCAGCTGATAACTTATAAAAACCTAGGTTATAATAATAGCATAGTGACCATTTGGCAGGCTTATTTTAAACAGGGTTTTTCATCCAACTTTCAAAATTGCTTAGATAACCAAATAGAAATCTACAACTAAGAGATAATTACCTCTTCCACATGTTGTGCATCTCCAAGCATGCAGACTTTCATCTTGGGACGAGGGATGTGTGGCAACTTAACAGAACCACTGAAACGCTTGTCCTTTTGGGGATCATAATTCTTCAAACCAATCTGCAGCTCAACTGTCTCTGTAAACTTGCGATTCTTCTCTTTGGCATCGTTTGCAATCCCAGAGATCGCTTCTCTCACAGCTTCACTCTGAAGCTTACTGCACATAGAATTAAAACACATAAGTTTTAACAATTTTAATAACCAGTTCATATAATCTCAGTACTTACATTTCAAATTAGAAATGCATTTCTATTAGTCTCGTTGTCAAAACTTTGCACTTATTAAAAATTAAGCTTAAAAGATCTTCATAACATATTACTTTAAGCTTTTACTAACGGAGAAAGATAACTTTTTTAACAAAAAAATAATGTCAACAACCTTCAAACAATCTAGATTATACAAGATTAACTCAATTTAAGCTTGATTTTTAGTAAAGTAATGCAACCAGAATACACTGAAAGCAAATAAAGGTCGACATCGAAAAGGATTAACCTAAAATCAAAATGCTAACAACTAACTTCATATAATCGGGTTTATCGAACAATAGGGATTATACAGGATGTAAGTTTAAATATAACCTTGGTATTGAGTAGAGTAATGAAGCCAGAAATAAGTGAATAAAAACATTGACATGATACAGTCACTCTATCACTTTATATTTTTAGGGTTAGCGCCTTCCAAAATCAATTAATTAAGAATTAAAGGTCTTAATGCACAAATTAAAAAAACAAAACAAACTAACCAAGATCAACTAAATAACTTAAACAAATCGTCGATTCATATAATTTTGAAGCATTTCATATTCTCCCACATATAATTAACATCACACTAACATTTTAAGATTTTTAAATGAAATATCATACATTTCCTAAACTAAATCATACAGAAAGAGTAACTAACAAAAACCCTAATCAAACAAATTTAACCAGAAAATAACATGAAATGCATCGATAAATAGAGTGCATATTGAAAAAAGTAGAGATCAGAAATGCAGAAAAATAGCATACCTCATAATTACAGCTTAAATCGAGCAAGGTCAAAAACCTGATTTAAAAATAAAAGGAGAATCAAAGTTAAACGAAAATTAGGGATTGAAATAAACGCAGAAATTGCAGAGGAAAATGAGAGAGAAAAGAGTACCGGAGAGAAGTGGCTAGGGTTTACGGCTGCTGCTAAGAGGAGTTGGAAGTAGATAAGAAGGTTTAAATAGGTTAAAGCTTTATTAATTTGGGCCTTTTTATTTGGACTATTGTTCGGGTTATTGATATGGGTTCGTTTAAATGTTAGCCCATTGTTCGATATGAAACTAGGGTAAATGGGTAACGGCGTAATGTTTTTTTGTGCTTGCAAAGTGTTGGTGTTGGTATGACTGTATAATTGTCATGGATGATGTGGGTTATGTTTGGTAAATAGTTGATAGTTGAATTTGATTGTGTTACCTGATTTTAACTACTAGTTGATCATAGTTGATTTAAATGATTAATTGTATTAAATAAGACCATGTTCTTTTGAGCTGTTGTGGTCTAAAATCTGTTTTGCTAACATCTACTCTATTGAAATCTGTTATGCTCATAAGCTCAAAAGAACATGACCTAATTGTATAAACAGATTGTATTAAAGTGTTTGTTATATGGACTAGTTGAATTCTTATAGCTAATTTATTTCTTAAACCAGTATTAGTATGCAAATTGATAAATTAATGAGGACATTGACATATTTTATTGTGGTAGGGTTATGGGGTTTGATGAAAGTATAATTGTTATTAACCTTAATTTACTAATATAAACTAGTGAAAAACCTTTTTCACAGTTTATTGAAAATGAGCTTATTTGATGAAATAAGCTTTTTAAATCAGCTCACCACCAAACAGCGGCCAAATAGTTTATTGTAATGGTTAAATAATCTATTTTTGCCCCAATAAGTTCCTTAAAAACACCACCATTGTTTAGGAATTTTACTCACACGAGGTGAACTAGAGTTAATATTTCAAGAAATCTATTAAGAGTGTGTTCAATTTACTTTATTTTTACTTAACTGAACGTATTTAAAATGTAAAATAGAATTATATATCTTTTAAGAGTTCTTAAATTATTTTATATGAACTTATTAATCCTTATCCGAATTTATATTTCTCAAACTGCAACTTTTGTTTGTATCTGGCCACACTGTGTGGCCAACTGACACACACCAAGTAACCCCTGATCGAGTAACCCCTAACCGATTGAGTAACCTCAGATCAAATGATTGAGTAACCCCTATAGCACTAACAAAGTAACCCCAATAATGGTTGCCACGTGGTGTGGCCAGCCACATATGAAAGTTTGTGTTTTCCAAGTCTCTTTGTATCTAAAAAGTGCTTTAATTTGACTAACGCATGACACATGTGATAATGCACAACCTTGACCATTGATATCTTCAATTTTCTATTAGCAACTTTAATAAAAATTGATATTATGGAAATATACATTGTCACTATTATAGCAAAATAAACTCTACCAACATTTAACCTATATATAAATTATACAAAATCAAATCAGAGTACGGATCTAGGCTGATAGAGAGAGTCCACTTCATTCACAAATTCTAAGGAGGTTCCATCACAAAATCATATGGCAATAGGAGGAGTATCCCCTTAGCCTTATAAATTGTTTAACTCTCTCCTTTTTTTCTCAATGTGGGACATTTACATGTGTTATTTAAATAGGATATACTTCAATACTCCCCCTTGCATGTAAGATCCTTTTAACTCAAGAATCACTTGATCCAAATTAATTTGGCCCATAATACTTAATGGCATTAAAGATCTAAAACCTTGGGCCTGACAATATACTCGAGCCATTACAAGTCTCATATAGTGAACCTGACTTTGATACCATGTAGAAATTGATAAAGGCTCAAAGCTTGTCTCACCATTCATTGATTGAGTGTATATATAATATGGAGTATAGGATATCTCAAAAGACGGAGTAAAGCACAAATACAGTCCCTAAACTTTTGTATTTGTGCACTTTTGGTCCCTCAACTTTTGTATGTGCATTTTTAGTCCCTCAACCACTATATTTGGTGATTCTGACCAAAAGTTTAGGGACCTTGCTTAGTCAGCAAAAGTTTAGGGACCATGAGTCAGCAAAAGTAAGCAATTAGCAGCCAAAAACTTCAGGGACGATGACTAAGCAAAAAGTTTAGGGACTGCCACCATTAATGCAACAACAATTACACAACAAATGTGCACGAATGTTTGCACTATTAAAAAACTAGCCATTAACAATTCAAAACAACTTTATAAACTACAGAATATCTCCAAAAAAATTGATGTTCATCTTCAAAAAAATATGGCTTCTCAAATAAATTGCTTCCATTGCATCAGGAACTCCAGTTAAGGTACCTACAAAATAAAAATGTAAATTTGAAATTTCTGTTCATTGATGTAATAATTTTTTTTTTTTTTTTTTTGGTTTTTGTAGGATGTCTTCTTATAGTAGAGGTTCTAGTGGTAATGGAAGGAGGTGTCACTGTGGCTTACCTCTAAAAAGAACAAGGTCCTGGACTAAAGATAATCCAGGCAGGAGATTTGTAGCATGCCCAGACTATGATGCTGAGACCAACAGAAGAGGCTGCAAGTATTTTAATTGGACTGATGATGAAGATCAGACAGAATGGCAGAGGCAGGTCATCTTAGGGATACTTGAAGACAAAAAGATGTTGTGTAATGAAGTGCAAGAGCTGAAGAAGAGGGTTACTGAAGCAAACACAGTTGCAAGAAAGTTGAAGTCAGATTGTGTTATGTTGAAAATGAAAAAATCAAAGGTTTCAATATGTTTTAAGTGTGAATTGTGGGTTATTTTTGCACTTGCTACATGTGTACTTGCTTGGTTTGTTATTAGGTAGTAGGCTATCTAAATGTAATTGTTTTACTAATGACTGTTATTATTATGAAATTATAAATAAAAAGAAATGAGGTTACCTCATTTGCTCTTGTTTCTATTTTGAACTTGCTTTGTCCTAGCTAAGTTCTGCAGTGACTGTGTTGTTATTGTTTGTGATGATTGAGATGGTGCTTCTAGTTGTGTTTGTGACATAGTATATTCCTGAGAGAAGGAATATATGGTCTGCTCCCCTGCATAATCAGAGTAAAATGCAGCTCCTCTTCTAAAAGTTGTTGGATTTGGTTGATTAATTGGCTAAAATAAGTGACATGAAAAGTAATTAAGTAGAGTAATATAATGCATAAACAGAAATCAACTTATGGCAATAACAAAAACTTACAGTTGCTTGTCTTTGATAACCATTAGGATAGGTGTATACACCCACACCTCTGTTATGCATTGGGACTGTAGGAGTAGCTTCAGTAGGTTCAGTTGTGTGGGCAGAAGTTGTGTTAGTACCATTGAAGCTATCTCTTTGTGCATTTCTACATGTTGCTTTGTTGTGGCCTGGAACCCCACACAAGCTGCATGCTATTTTGCCTCCTTTCTTCCTTAGCTTCCCAGACTCAGTAACTTCACCAGCAGAGGCCCTTCTCTTTGTCTTAGGTCTGTTGTGCACCTTTTTCAGCTCTGGAGCAGTCACAATGTTCTCTGACGTAGACCATTCTTGTGGACTATTTAGAGGCTCAAATAGGTGATCATAAGCCTTGGCATATGTGTGCTTTTTGAAAAAATCATTCACATATTGCTCTGGTTGGTCCACTTTGTTCCAAATGGCCACCACAACATGTTTGCATGGTATCCCACTAACTTGCCATGCATTACAGGAGCATGTTCTGTCTGACAGATTAACAACATACTTAGTTTGAGTTGCCCCATGCCTCACTTCATAGCAAAAACCTCCATCCCAGAATGCATTCCAACCCCTTGCCCATACCTTATGCTTCTCAAGTTGTTGTTGGATTCTAGGACATAAACTGAGATCCCTTTCCTTGATCATGTCCCTTTTCTTGTGTAATATGTCCATTAAGCTCTCTCTAATGTCTTTTAACATGCTGATGATAGGTTTATGTCTCCATTTCAGTATATATGCATTAAAAAGTTCACTCATATTGTTGTCTACACTGTCACAACAAGACATAGGTGTGTAGAATGCCCTACACCATTTCTTATAATTTCTTTTCAACAAATCCTCAGCAGCATCATTTGAGAGGTCCCTCATTACTTGTAATTTAGCCAGAAAATCATTCTCAGTTGTGGACTTTGCAATTATCCAAAATTGCTTCCTAAACTCCAAGATACCACCAAACACACCCCTAAAGTTGCAATACACATGTCTTGCACATACCCTTCTCTCAGCCTGTGGAAAAACCTCTGCAATTGCAGCAAGCAAGCCCTTTTGTTGATCTAACATAAATGTATAGCCTGCCCCTTCTTTTGTTCCCAAATCAGCAGCAAGTAGGTGTAAGAACCAACTCCAAGTTTCAGTGCTTTCAACACCTACTACAGCTTATGCTAAGGGGAACATTTGGTTGTTCCCATCCCTACCTACTGCAACCAATAATTGCCCCCCATAAGGACCCTTCAAAAAGCACCCATCAAGTGATATAAAAGGCCTGCATCCACCTAAAAATCCTTTCCTCAAAGCCTCAAAACAAATGTATATCCTGTCAAAAACATTCCCATTTAACTTCAGCTTCACTGTATTCCCCCTATTGCTTCTTAAAATCTCAGCTGCATACCTAGGTAGCAATCCATATTGCTCCTTGTACTCACCCACAATAAGAGATTGCCCTCTTATCCTAGCCCTATGAGCCAAGTACCTACTGATCCTAATGCCCTAATCTAACCATACAGTCTCCATGAGATCATGTAACCTCATGTAAGGGTTGACTTTGAACTGTGTGTTATACTGCTTTGCAATCTAAGAGGCTGACATTTTCTTTACCTTAGAGGATCTTCCACAAGTATGTTCACCAACATAAGCTTTGACACAAAACTTTGTTTTATTTTTATCCCAAGAGGCCCAAATTCTCCATGGACATCCTTTGTCCTTGTGCTCACAAACTGCCCCTACCCTCATTTTATCATTCTTATGAAAAGGTATGTTTCTGCCTTGTTCAATGGAATGATTTATGATGGCCTGTTTAAAAGTGGATGGGTTATCAAATTTCTGCCCAGGATAAAAGACTTGGGATTGGGGTTTTTCACTTTCCAAAATCTTAATACTTGACTTAACATATTTGTTGGAAGGTGGAGCAACTAAAAAACCACAGTCATTGTCATCATCATCTTCATCAGGGCTATCTAGCTCATCAAACCTTCAAAGTCACTCCCAATTTCTCCCAAACCCTTAAATGCAGCTACCTTTCTCAACATCTCCAACTCATACTCATCAGAAACCACATTTTTTTTGTCATTGGCTATCTCACACCTTGCTTGCATACACTCCTCATCATCCACATCACTCCCTTCAGTGTCATAATCTATATCAGCTTGGTCATGCCTAGGAATATTCTCCTGTTCATGCAAATTCACTCCTTCACTTGACCTCTCAGCATGCTCATCATCTTCCCCAATGTTTGTTGTTAACAAACTCATAAAACTACCCCTTCTCCCTAAATTCTGAAATAAAGGATTGATATGTTCCTGATGCTCTGTATATATGTGAATGACCTTGTATTATAGAAGTAAACTCAAGAAAGGATCACATATATTTTTGTCAAAACCTAGGTACCTAATCCCTGAGTTAAAATCTTTCCTAGGATCTAAGAAATGGACCTTAACAATATCATCATATCCCAGACCATCTATATCCACAGTTGCAGGTATATCCTCAAACACATTTATTTTTCCCCCCAAGTAAAATGATTCACATCCAATTTGCCACTGACCACCATGATGTATAATCAAGCAAGATTTTAATTCCATAATCTGACAAAAGAATGGACAGCTTTTAGCAATGGCAATTCAACTAAGTACACAACTTTCTTTAGTACCATGTGATCACACACATGAACATGAATGTCATCAATTAAACCAAACATACAATTAAAGCTAAATGCAAAATAGATTAAGGTTTAAGTAAACAGAATAAAAGCATTCATTTTCATTAATATAATCATCATAATTGTCATTACAAAATATCCTACATTAGGCTTCATTGAATTACATACAACTGCATCATCCTAGATCACTAAATGAAGCCTAATCTGATTAAGTTAGATCATACAGTGTCATAGCAGTGACATACCAAAAAAAAAACCATCATGAATGTCACATTCAACCTACATACATACATTAAGCTATGACAATGTCAAAAGACTACCTAAACCATCTATTAACAGCACAAAAACCAGCTGATACCATAAGCAAAAAACTACCCACCCTACCACCCCACCTACCACCCCACCTACAACCTTCTAATCCTCCTTGAATAGAAGTGGAAAGCCATCGAAGTACACTGTCATGTCCTTCTCAATCCACGCAAAGAAGTCCCGCCCAAATTTGTAGAGAATGTCATTCAGAACCCAATCCCTGAACTCATTCCTATGGTGAATGCGGTATGGGAGGTAGGGTGCAATGTGCCTTAGGGTCCACCATAGCCGCCACTTCGAGCATACCCTCTCAACACTAATCTGGTCCACCCAATGGAGTTTGGGGAACACATGCAGCACAAGAACATCCTGGGTTGCCATCAGTGGGTGAGCATCTTCCAAAGCCTCCATACCTAGGTTATTAGGTGACCACGTCTATTAGATTGGCCGTTTTATGTGATCACATTAAAAACAGAGCATACAAAACCCTAATCTTTACTGTAAAACCCTAACTCAACAAAAATCACACAAAACAACAACTAATTTCATGCGATTGCAGAGAATAACAAAGTGAAGCATAATTTAAGTAGATCAACGCAAAAAAAATTCAAAATTTTCATCATTTTCATCAAACCCTCACTCGCTTACGAACACACAAACAGGGTATGTTTCATATTAAAAAAAGAAATTGAAATTGGGGATGAACCTCTACCTGATGTCAAAGACTCGAGTTTTTCTTTCTTATGCGTCGATGATTCTCCAAATTCCCACCCAGACATACCAATGGAGCTCGTATTTTTTGACTACTGTTTGCGATGAAGATGAATGACCCTTCACCTCTTCTAGAATATATACAAAAGCTTTTATCCCACCAAAGGATGAATTTTCATAGGGAATAGAAATCGAAATGCTGAGTTTTGATTAACAGGAATTCAATTGGGCCACGTGGCTTCTTTAAGTCCCTTAACTTTTCTTCATCATGACTACTGCCAACTCACAATTAAATAATATTTTTAACAAAAATATCTGGAAAAAAAAGGAAAAAAAAAATTGCCGACTCATGGTCCCTAAACTTTTGCTGACTAAGCAAGGTCCCTAAACTTTTGGTCAGAAACACCAAATATGGTGGTTGAGGGACCAAAAATGCACATACAAAAGTTAAGGGGCCAAAAGTGCACAAATACAAAAGTTTAGGGACTGTATTTGTGCTTTACTCTCAAAAGACGTGACAAAATCAAAAGATACATACAATATCATTAATACCCAATCAACCCTATATTTAAGGAAACAATATCCCAAAAATATTTTCTAATAATCCTAACACAAACGGATGCATTTAAATGATTTAATTGTATATTGAAGGATTTGGAAATAATGTAAGCAAGTTCATATAAGTTATTATAATACAAATTCACAACTTTCCCAAAAAAAATATAAAAGGTCAATTTACAACTAATACCAACAAGTACGAGTATGCATTATCTTAAGCTCACTTGCCTGTTTATACGAGTATGCATTTTCTTAATTTTTCTAGCAATTGCTCTCGATTTCTTAATTTTTCTTACACTCATATACCTTTTTATAGACTCTTTCTCTTAATTATTCTTACACTTACTCTTTTTTTTTTCAAAGTTTTCTAAAATTAAGTTCCAGTAAGTGAGTTGGAGAAAAAGGCAATACAATTTCTACCATTAATTTTCAACAAATAAAAATTATCTTAAATAAAAAATTATAAAAATTAATATATTAAATACATAAGACAATCTATATATTATACTAAAAGACAAGCGCCTCAATGTAAGGATGACAAATGTCACTCTCTCATTGGCTTATCTTATGTATAAAATATATCTATATAATTACTGTTTACATATTCAAGCATAATTATTTTTGTTAAATTTCAAACAATAAAAGCAAGTTTCTATACATGCATAAGATATTCATGATTTCCTAACATAAATATTGATTTAATTTTTTTATAATAAATATATACTTTCCAATACTACAAATAATTCATAAAGTTTTTCCAATCTTTATTTATAGTCAAGTTAAAGAATAATAACTAATTTGAAGCAATATGATTAAAGTGGCATAATGAAGGAAACAAATATTTCGTATTTTGAAAGGTTAATATTTTTTTTATGAAAATTAAATAAAATCGATAGAATTTAATTTGACGTCAATTATGAAATCAATATAAACATTTTAAAAAAAATCAGATGTACAATAAAATATTGTGCACCTATTATAAAAGCTACCCTGTAATGAATGAAAGTTATTTATGCTTTATTGATAAAAGTTACCCAAAATAGTCTACAAGTTATCCTAATTTCAATTCAAGTAATCGGATGAATACAAAAGTTTTTGATAAAGATACAAAATAGTGTAAAAATTACTTTTATCGTTTGTTGTACTCCTTGACAAATACTGAATGCTGAGCCGAAATATTGTCTTGGAAAAAAATACATAATCTTGAACATAAATTTAATTTTAAACGACCTTTCATTTTCTATACAATGTCTTTTACAATAACCTTTTGTTTTTCTTGCATAAAAAAAAATAAATAAAAAAAAAGAACCAATAACCAATCTAAACAAGAAGAATAAAAGTTAAATTGAATTAGACATTTGACGGAAAAGGGACAAATATAAAATGTATTATAACTATTACTCGTGTTTTAAATTGTAATATTCGTAATAACAATGCTATTACTTATGAATTTTTTTTTAAAAAAAACTAACATTTTGATTTAAAAATTGTGCATTGCTCATGTACTATACTAGATATACAACAATCATGTGCAATAATTTATGTTGTTTTATACATAATAATACTTTTAACTATAATAGTATGTGTATATAATATAATATTTTTTTACAATATAAAAAAGTATATGTATATAATATAATATTTTATAACACGTGTCCTTCATATATACCAAGTGTAGTCCCAATCACCACTACACCAATTGGTTGTTGGTGTAGTGGTGACTGAGACTATACTAGGTAGGGAGGACCTATGTTCGCTCCCCTGCAACAACAATTGGAAGGGGAATGGAACCTAATAACCTAGAACTGATCCTCAAATCTGGATTAGCCCAAAGGGTGAACCGGATAGAACACCCAAAACTGATCAATGCATATATGACGGGATTTAACTTATCTTTTATCTATCTTATACAAAACTCCAAAGTCTAATTTTTTTTTTCAAAATATAATAATAACATTTGTAAATTTTTGTTAATATGAAAGATATAAACCTATCAAAATGTATATATAGTTAAATTGTTTAATAACTTATATCGAATGCGTAGTTTTATTAAAATTATTTGCATGTAATCATTAAATATGTTGGATGTTGTGTAGCTATGCAACGTCCAAAACTTTAGTTGAGCGACTTTGATTTAGTGATTGTATGGTAAAAAGATATTGACTTCGATCTTGAAACCTAATAGTCTAATAAATTCTAAATAGAAAAATTAAAACAAAAGGAAATGAAAATAGTAAATGGCTTTAAATATTGAAATAAACATAACCTTTCAAATCAATTTAGCGAATTCAAGAGACAATTTTAAGGCTTTTAAAATTAAATGGGGAAAAATATATGTAAAAAGAACATTTTTAGATATATAAATGTCCATGCACTATTATAAGAGTTTTGTTAACCTTTTTATAATTAAGGTAGGGATAAATCTTAGTAATATATACTCCGTATATTTTATTTATATTAAATTATCAGTATCCATACCTATATACGAAGTATTTGTGTTGTATACTATATTTAATCAGTTGTTGGTTATATATGTGACTATTATATAATATATAGTTTTTGGCACAATGGTTAACTTAGGAAAAATATATGTTCTGCTAGGTCAAATATAAGGTTATTATTGTGTTTATAGATTTAATGAGTGTGACGGGTAAATAAAACATGTATATATTAGATTGATGGTAGCTACTGATGCGGATGATATGATGAGAAAATTTTAGTTTTTTCTCAACATGAGATATAAATAAAGGGGGTTGCTAAACGCAACCTAGGTTTACTTGACGTAACTCTTTTTCCCTTATTATTTTCAATCCTAACTATTACTAAATTTTAAGTTTTTGTTACAAGAGTACCAAAATCGATTTAAAATATTAATTGGGATTGCAATAGATGTAAATTTTAACCAAGAATAACTCGGAATTGATGTATGTTTTTTGTTTTTAAATTTTTTTTTCGAGTACACTTTGTGCAATACGAGTGAAACGTGTTGCTCTATTTCAATTACATTGAACAAAATCAATACCTATATTATCTAGATTGGGTGTAAAAATTGGCCTACATTTCACAAGATTATCAAAGGGAGTCAATGTACTAGTATAAAATTTTTGGATACCCCATATGAACAAGTACCCCTTGTATTATAGCTACTACATGACATAGGGACTTGATCGTATTACCCAAGTATCCCAGCTGCATGAAATAGTATAGCTTCATCTATTTTTAGCCCCAACTATACAAAACATGCAATCTAATTCACAATCGTTATAGGAAATGGACTTGATCGTATTACCCAAGTTATACGAAATCCTACTTTTTTTTTTGTAACCAAATATCATCCCAATTCGATTCATTTAAAGTAATGAAAATTAGAAACCAAAAAAGATTAAATACTATTGATTTCTCATAAATTCGAACCTAGATAAGCAAAATATCAAAAATTCTGGAAAAACAGTATGAAAACACTCAAATTTTATATATCTTTTACAATTATTCATTCATGAAAGAAATCAAGAGAAGGTAATGTCAAAAGATTTTTTTTATAGGGAAACTAACACTCTTTAATAATTGTGCAATTGAATACTTAAAGCCCCAAAATTCTCAAACTCCAGCGCAAAAAATCCAGAAAATAAACCTAAAATCGATTGAAAAAATAGAGCAACAAATATGAGGGAGATTGTGAAGTTTAGCTTGACCACAACAATGAAAAATTAGCAGCCAAGATCGAGCGAAAATGATGTCGCGATTCATGATAATTAGAATTCCTCAAATTAAATCGGGGCATTAGATTATGAACTGGATGATTATAAATTGAAGATTTTGGGGTTTTAGGGTGAAAGAGAGGGAAGCAACGTAAAAATGAGAATATGAGATTGGAAAGGGTATATTTGGGTTTTTAGAAGGGTGTGTGTTAAGTAGGTGAGGGTTGTATTTAGCAACCATGGAAATTAGTCCACTGCTTATATAGCTATTTGGAGTATTATTCAATTATTTTTCAATTAATAAAATAACATTATAAAAAATTAAAAGAAATACAAATAACATAAAATACTATTCAAATAACATCCCTTTAATTTTTTTTTATTGACCACTAGTAACCAAGTCCTTTAATAGTAAATGAATTACCTTTGTTTTTATTTTTATTTTTCCTACGGGTTTAATAATTTGATTTATAAACCGTGCATCGCACGGGCACTATGCTAGTATTTAACTAAATGGCATGTGAATATTTTTTTAAATGAGTGTTTTTTTTTTTTGTTAAATTGTCTTAAACTTTTTTTATTCACGTGCCATTTTGTTAAATTTTGTCTTAAACTAAAAATATCGGGGCATGGCGGATATCCTCATTAATATCCATAATATGCTCATTCATACTTAGATCCAAGGTTAGTTGATTGGATTGAAATGAGGTTATGACTTATAAGGGTTAGTTATACTACTTACACTAATCCCTTACACTACTAGCAACTTAGCAAGTAGCAAGTAGCAAGTAGCAAGTAGTATGCCTGGATATGCCAAATAACAAATTAATTAGTTATTTAGATCACCATATATACCATGCATAATTGCATATATGCTCCATTATTATTCTAATAAGCTAATAAGTAGCTAACAATTCAACTACTCCCTTAAACAATAATAATGATTAACATTAAACACTGACGACAACACGTTATTATTATCATTAGCAGCCATAGTCCTCTAATCCTCTTAATAAGTCAACACTCTCAATACTTATTAATATCATAATTAATAATTAATACATTCAAAATAAAATTAGTCTTTGCTCATACTTAGCTTTATATTAATAAGTCAATACTCTCAATACTTATTAATATCATAATTAATAATTAATACACTCAAAATAAAATTAGTCTCGGGAAAATCTCGTGCCAAATGAGATTGCCTCGCATGTACTTTTGGATACACTTACTATGAATTAATGCACTAACCGCTTTCTCTCAAAAAAAAAAAAAAAAAAAACCTTTATATAAATCATCCATAATAGCTCATTCAAAATAAAATTATGAAAAAAACACGTCAAAGTAAATCATTTGCAATGAGTCTAGAGTAATAAAGAGTTAAAAAGCGTAATATTATTACATATATAAATATTCCGTATTACGTATGTACTTAATTAATTCATGCATATTCTTTACCTTAATAACACTATTTTTTTTGGTTTTTAATAAAAATCTATTATGTTACGGGCATACTAAACCGAGTGAACATTTACAATTAGCTTAGAATAATAATTTAAATACGCGTAATATATCATTGCATATTACATATATAGTTGTATAAAAGATGAAATAATATTCAACAAGTAGTTATGGTGGTAAAACATGAACAATTCAGTGTAGACTCGTTTCTAATTCAAAGGTAGATCAAGTCGACGTTTCTTTGCATCACAATTCACAATGGACAAGCTACCAATCATCAATCAGCTTAAAAAAAATATCATCTTTTACAAACTGTCATATAAAATGTTATCTAATGATATTCACACTAGACCAAGTCGACGATATTAAACATCACAATTGATAATCATTACTAATTTACCTAACAAATTTATTTTTCATCCACAAATTGCAACTTGTTGAAGTCGGTGATTTTATTTTTGAACTTAAATCGAATAATTTTTGCATAATAAGTTAATAATGTTAAACTCGACGCCTCTTGCCAGCTACTAATTGTATTTATTAATGCATTTTGCATTTCAATAATTGATATTCAAAAGATTATTGTCGAATAAAAATGTCCATATTCACAAAAAAAAAAGGTAAAGTCAATGTGATTGTTATTGACAAAATCACGATCAAAAGTTGGCACCAATCCAAATATTTAAAAATAATTCAAGACTTGATCAATTTATATGTTTTAATGATATTATATGAAGGAGTGGACACTAATATGTTCTTATATAAAGCCCTAATGCAAACCATATTATCCTCAACGAACTCTTCCTTTCATTAGCATTCTCATACTTCATTCCTTTGAGTCATCCACCATCAAAATGGCTTTCCATCGTTCCTCTTTAATGTCCTTCTTCCTCATGGCTTTGGTGGCGGTTTCATCTGCCACTGATTATTCCTACAACCCTACTCCGTCATACAAGGCACCATCTTATACCCCAGTGTATAAGTCACCTGTTTATACCCCCTCACCAGTTTACAAGTCTCCAGTTTACACCCCATCCCCTGTGTACAAGTCACCGGTTTATACCCCTTCCCCAGTTTACAAGTCTCCAGATTACACCCCATCTCCCGTGTACAAGTCGCCAGTTTATACCCCTTCACCAGTTTACAAGTCACCCGTTTACACCCCATCACCTGTTTACAAGTCACCAGTATACACTCCATCCCCTGTGTACAAGTCACCCGTTTACACCCCATCACCAGTTTACAAGTCTCCAGTTTACACTCCATCCCCCGTGTACAAGTCACCCGTTTACACACCATCGCCGGTTTACAAGTCTCCAGTTTACACTCCATCCCCCGTGTACAAGTCACCCGTTTACACACCATCGCCGATTTACAAGTCTCCAGTTTACACTCCATCCCCCGTGTACAAGTCACCCGTTTACACACCATCGCCGGTTTACAAGTCTCCAGTTTACACTCCATCCCCCGTGTACAAGTCACCCGTTTACACCCCATCACCGGTTTACAAGTCTCCAGTATACACCCCATCCCCCGTGTACAAGTCACCCGTTTACACCCCATCACCGGTTTACAAGTCTCCAGTTTACACTCCATCCCCCGTGTACAAGTCACCCGTTTACACCCCATCACCGGTTTACAAGTCTCCCGTTTACACTCCATCCCCCGTGTACAAGTCACCCGTTTACACCCCATCACCGGTTTACAAGTCTCCGGTTTACACTCCATCCCCCGTGTACAAGTCACCCCTTTACACCCCATCACCGGTTTACAAGTCTCCGGTTTACACTCCATCCCCCGTGTACAAGTCACCCGTTTACACCCCATCACCGGTTTACAAGTCTCCAGTTTACACTCCATCCCCTGTGTACAAGTCACCCATTTACACCCCATCACCGGTTTACAAGTCTCCAGTTTACACTCCATCCCCTGTGTACAAGTCACCCGTTTACACCCCATCACCGGTTTACAAGTCTCCCGTTTACACTCCATCCCCCGTGTACAAGTCACCCGTTTACACCCCATCACCGATTTACAAGTCTCCAGTTTATACTCCATCACCAGCCTATAAGTCACCAATATACACTCCATCCCCGGTATACAAATCTCCAGTTTACACCCCATCCCCTGTATACAAGTCACCTGCTTACTCTCCAGCTCCGGTCTACAAAACCCCTACATACACTCCAAGCCCTTCATACGGCTACTAAGAAGTTAAATTACATAGCTACATGATTGTTTTAATTGTTTTTGCTGAATTTTATAATGACTGTACTCCAATTGAGGAGTCGGGTGAAGTTTCTCTATTAATGTATCGTATTGCTCTAAATTGAAATGAATAAATAATTATTCTGTTGACTGCGTGTTTTAATTTTTTTTTTTTTTAAAAATATTAGCCCACTTTTAGTAATGCCCTAATTATATACTTCGTACAAAGTACTAACTAAAATAACATACGACATTATTCAAAGTAAATGGAGTTATCAATAATCAAGTAATAATATAAAATATTGTTAAATTATTTTCATTATTGCTCGTATAATTTGATAAATATGATAATATAACCCTGTATCTTTTTGTTTAATCGTTTTGCTTTAAAAAATAAATATTTCTTAGTTTTTCTAATCATATATAACCAAATAGTTAGCTCCTCTAATTTGTATTCCTAATTTTTCAAATTCCTATAAATATCGTCTCTAAAACAAAATTACATTTTGGAAATAGTTAAAGATATTTAATTCATCATATGAGTGTATGTACAAATATGTGTAAGTAATAACAGCATCATATAGTTCATATCCACGGACCATGGCACAAAAATTAGAAGGCAAATATATACATAGTATGATATCGGAGTTTGCGAACATATAAGATGAAAAACTCAAAGTATGTACGTATGAGCTATGCTACATTGCTACTGGCTGCGTCGGAGTTTGGACGCGTCGATGGATTAGGTTAATAATTATTCTTATTCCATTTCAAATGACTGATTAAGACAATTTTTTTTTTAATTAGTGAAACCTACTTAATTAATTGGTTCAAGCTTGGCTGTTTTAGTTGCCAGCAATTAGATCATGAAATAATTAGATTAATTACAACCATTTTGCAGTCAAAATAACAATAGTCAAACGGATTAGTTTTGAATAAAAATAAACATCCAAATTTGCTTAAGATAATGGCTGATTCAATTATTCCTTAAAAACAAGATTGCGCAGATTATTTTATACTGTATTATACGTCGTCGTAGTATAGCTATACCTTTTTTTTTTTGAAATAATAGTATAGCTATACCTAACGCATCTAATTTAAGATCATTTTTTTTTAAAGTTTTAATAGTAAAGTAAATCAAGGGAAAAACCCTATGTATTAATTAATACGAAATGAATGCTACGTATAAATCTAAGCAAATAATGATTCTATTGCACAACTTATCCTGGTTTCAACAATTTTAAAGCAAATAATGGATCTATTATTTACATATTTGTATAAGTTATAAATTTTTATTAATAATGTTCATTTCAAAAACTAATACTCCATAAATACATACATGCAGAGACAATAAGTTTTACAAGATTTCAGGTGAACAATGTCAAAAGTTAAAATGCTTTGAACGAAAATAAAGATTGAAATAAAAATTATACTTCGTATTAACTTTAGTTATCTATTCCTATATTTTGCATTGTTGTGTCAACATACAAAACGGATTGAATATGTGATTGTGTTATTAATCCATTTATTTTGCATTGTTTTCTTTCAAGTATATGGATGGAGTATTCCGTATATTGATCGAACATATGGATCGATCGATCTGAGTAACAACATTAAATGAATTAAGAGAGGAATTATTGATATCATGAAATTAAAGAATAATAATACAAGTTTACACATTGTATTGTTTCCTTTCATGTCTAATGAGGCCATACCATCCCTCTTCTAAGCTTAACCAAACTCATCCACAACCAACGCCCCGCCGCGACCTTCACCATGTAAATCATGTACAGCAAACAACATGTTTATAGGTTGAATTGTAAACATACAAAACATGATTGCGGAAGCGATAATTGATTAGTATACCTCCAGCCATTGCAAATTAATTACGAGGAAGGCAAAGACTCGAACAACCTCGTCGCGACGCCGAAACCGTGAACAATCTCCTCAACTTTGGTGCTGGACCCTCACTCTCACTTTGATGGTGTATATGTATTTTTGAGAGTTGGATGCAGTGACCTTGTTGCTTGAATGAGACTCACGTTGAATTACATATATATAGGAAGTTTTGCCATCAAAAACTCCTACTTTACTTTACGTGAGTTTGTTATGGGTGGTTTCCTAAGTTAGTGGGATAATGGGTAGTTAGTTTCCTTGATCATGGGAAACTAATTTTCAAAATAAATGGACCATTTTCTTGATAATTATCTATTTTCAAAATAATTCAAAGTATATCCAACACACCATCTTCACCACCCCGGCTAACGAGCCCTTCATCTCGGCTTCTTTATCCTCGCTTATTCCGAATATTGTCACAATCGTCTCTCTTACTTTATCCACCTTTAACGTCGACATCCCTCTAGGTGTCGAATGCACTGATCAACTCCCTGTCTCCCTTCTATGTCCCTCTTCTACTCTTTTGTTCATTCCACAAATAATCTTCAACCTTTTTTCGAAACCGCCCTCGGAAACCTTCAACAAGGCCATAACCCCGTCTCCGTAATCATCTCCGCTGCTTTCTTTTATTGGACTCAACAATCAGCTTCCAAGTTTGGTATACCTAGATTAGTCTTTTATGGTTTTAACATGTATAACATGGTTATTTCAAGGGTTTTGTCACTAAACGGTCTATTTTCGCTGCTCGAATCCGATGATTGTGATCCGTCATCGTCGATCCAAGTCCCGAATTTTCCGTGGATTCAAGTGAGTGAAGATGATATCGATAGCCCGTTAAATAGGAGAGATAACATGGAATTAGTTACTAAATGTCGTAGTGCTACTTCAATGAGCTTTGGTTTCTATGAACTTAAACAACTTTTTAAAATTACTACAACTTGAATTTTTCGCCTAAACCTTGGTGTGTTGGGCCGTTATGTTGGTTGAAAAGTCTAATCGTAAGAAATCAGAGGAAGATGATTATCTTAGGTGGCTCGACACGAAGCACAGTGAAGGAAAGGCCGTCCTATACGTAGCGTTTGGTACACAAGTTGAGTTCTCCGATCAACAATTAAAGGAAATCGCGCTAGGGCTAGAGAAGTCATGTGTGAACTTTTTTATGGGTTTTAAGGGTAAAACCTAACCAAGAAAAAAATGTTATTGGTGGATTTGAAGAGAGAGTAAAAAATAGAGGGTTGGTTCTAAGAAGTTGGGTAGAGCAAAAGGAAATTCTAGAGCATGAAAGTGTACAAGGGTTTTTGAGTCATTGTGGGTGGAACTCGACATTGAGAGAATATATGCTAGTGTACCGATATTGGGTTGGCATATGATAGCCGAACAACATTTGAACGCGAAAATGGTGGCCGAGGAGATTGGAGTGGGATTGAGAGTTGAGTATTGTGATGATGGGTTACAAAGAAAGTTTGTTAAGTGTGAAAGTTTGATTAAGATTGTAAAGGAGTTGATGGAAGGGGAGAAAGGAATGAAGGTGAGGGAAAAGGTAAAAGAGGTAAGTGAGATTGCTAAGAAATCATTAGAAGAAGGAGGATCATCTTGATAATATCTTGAGACATTGTTGAATGAATTAGAGATGAGACAAGCCAAAATGTATGTGAAGGATAATGTATAGGGTTTACTATCAAATTAGCTTGATATGCACAATTAACTATAACTGTTATTGTTCGTCTTTTTAGTTTGCAAAGTATTTTGAAGCTCTAATGTTGTCTTTTTGTAAAAATAAAAGTTGATAGAATTAGATTTCTGATAAATTATGTTGTACTTACAGTAATTAATATAAGTAATATTTGGAATTTCTTTAGAATAAGTTCAATTTAATTTTACTCGTATACAATTATATGTGTAAGCTAAGATATGTAGTAGAAACTTAATTATTGGGTCGGTGAACACGAATCCTTCTTTCAAGTTACTGACAAATTATGAATATAAAATGTAAAAAACGGGTAATAGAAAATTCTATATAATAAAATGAAAAAAAATTAAAAGTTATAATTAATCAAATTAAATGACTTTTGATTATTCAAACTCGAATCTTTTTGGGGGTAATTAAGCTATCATTTTAACTCTAAAACAATTATCTACAAGCCTACAACTTTAGGGCATATGCTTTGGAAGAATTTGGGCGACATTTTATTTTCGAACACTTTTGTTTGAAGGAGTTATTATTATTGAATACTTAAATTCCAATAATCCAATAAAACGCGCCAATATGACTTCATTAGCAGCAAATAAGCAATAATTTTCCTACGCTCCTGCTAGTTTCCTACATGCATGTCGTATTGTCGTACAATTGAGATGAAATACTCGACCACTTCTTGTAAGATACGTAGTCCAATTATTATTATTTTAGTGCAAAGTTTATTTTTTAATTTTATCAACATATCTTCACATCACAATTCAATCAATCTAACAATATATCTTACATTTCGTTATATTTGTGATATTTTGTTTCTTATTATACACATAAATATACTTAGTTTTCAACTAGTTTGGTGCAATAATATTGTTTACTAATGGAAAATTTGACCAATTAAAACTACCTAACTATTTTACATATTATAATAATCCCCAATTGCAAATTTTTGTCGGTGTTTTTATTTGAAGTTTTTATGCAAATTATTATGCTATTAGTAATAATTTTTATACGTGATTCTGCTTATAATTTATCAATTACAAGGCTGCTTTCTTGATTGGCAGCTACTGAGCACTAATAATAATAACACCATTTGCATGTAGTCACTGGTAATTTGAACGTCCACATTCACGTATAAAAGAATAAGTCAATCAATATAATTATTGGTTACATACATTCAAACAAGATTGAGATGACAAGGATAAACCTAACAAATCTATTTTTAATTCATTTCATTGATTTTATATCAAGAAATAATTCAAAGACAAATCTTATATAAACCCCATCTACAAACAAGGAATTCCACAACTCAAACTTCTTTTAGCAATCCTCTAAACACAAATCTAGTGAGTGAGTGAGTGTCATTGTTCTCGTTTTACAATGGCTTTCAATCGTCTTTCTTTCATGTCTTTTCTTCTCATGACCTTAGTGGCAGTTTCATCTGCTAGTGATTCTTATTCAACACCGGTGTACAAGACACCAGTTTATACACCATCCTCAGTGTACAAGTCACCGGTATACACACCATCACCAGTATACAAATCACCTGTCTACACACCCTCACCCGTTCACAAGTCGCCAGTGTACACACCCTCGCCTGTATATGAATCCCCAAAGTACACGCCATCTCCCGTCTACAAGGCTCCAGTTTATAGCCCAACCCCTGTATATAAGTCACCAGTTTACACTCCGTCTCCAGTATACAAATCACCCGTCTACACTCCATCCCCTGTATACAAGTCACCAGTTTACACCCCATCTCCAGTTCATAAGTCACCAGTCTACACTCCATCCCCTGTATACAAGTCACCAGTTTACACCCCATCCCCTGTATACAAGTCACCAGTTTACACCCCATCCCCTATATACAAGTCACCAGTTTACACCCCATCTCCAGTTCATAAGTCACCAGTCTACACTCCATCCCCTGTATACAAGTCACCAATTTACACTCCATCTCCAGTATACAAGTCACCAGTTTACACCCCATCCCCTGTATACAAGTCACCAGTTTACACCCCATCTCCTGTTCATAAGTCACCAATCTACACTCCATCCCCTGTATACAAGTCACCAGTGTACACTCCATCTCCAGTATACAAATCACCAGTTTACACCCCATCTCCAATTTACAAGTCACCAATCTACACTCCATCCCCTGTATACAAATCACCAGTATACACCCCATCTCCAGTTTACAAGGCTCCAGTCTATACTCCATCTCCTGTGTACAAGTCGCCAGTATACACTCCATCTCCTGTTTACAAGTCTCCTGTATACACACCTTCACCTGTGTATAAATCTCCATCATACACTCCATCTCCAATCTACAAGTCCCCGGTTTACACCCCATCACCAGTGTATAAGTATAAGTCACCAGTTTACACTCCATCTCCAATCTACAAGTCACCGGTTTATAAGTCTCCCGCATACACCCCAAGCCCTCCTCCATATGGCTACTGAGGAAACATATGACTAAATAATGATTGTTTGCTATGCATTTTTTTTTCCCTTCCAACGTGTTTACATGTGTGTTTAAAAGTACCCCAAATAATGAGGGGTATGTTGAGTGAAATTAATTGTTGTTCTTATTTGTTGTTGTAATACTTTCAATTCGAAATAATGAATTCAAAATTCTATACTCTCTTTAATTTTTTGTTTTTTTTTAATTGTTTTGTTTTGTGGGTTTTGCCATCTATCATAAAATCAATTTTTACATCACCATTATTGTTACGTATTATTTTTTCCCCTCAAAATCAATAAGGAGTATGTAAAACAATGTGGTTTCAAAAATAATACGAGTAATAAATATGTAAAACAATATTACTTCTTAGACTTATAAAGTTGATTGTTGATTGAACCCGTGTTTGCTAATTATACATTTATAATGAACAATTAATGATGAAATTAAGAGTAATTGCTCTACTTGGCACAAAAAAACTCTAACAAATAATGATCAAATTGAGCAACTAAAATGAGACGAAGGGTTTATAAGAGTAATTGCTTTTTTGCTTTATCTTGTTCAGATTGGGCGTACTTTATGTTGGTTCACAAGTCTAATTGGGGGTTTTAAATAAAAATAAAAAACATGTTGTAATTTTTTATAATGACATTAATCCTCAAGCAGTCTCCTCCATTTTATGTTTTCTTCTTTGTAGTCTATCTCTTCCTTTCATCTTTTGGCATCATAAGCAACAACAGATTCAATACAACTATGACAAGCATAATCAAAATTAATACCAAGCAAATTGCACTAATCATATTCAATTTTGAAAAAATTGGACGAAAAAAGATACGAGGAAGAATGACTAATTGGTGTGAGAGAATTGCAATTGAAGAAATTGCAATTGGAAAAAAAAAGATTGATTGAATTTCCAATAGTAATTTCAATTGAAAGAAAGCATAGTATAGCATAAGAGAAGCTAAGAGAATGGGAAACTTAGTGAACAAGCAGCGTCATTTTGATTCCAGAGTACCGTGCACATGATACTTCATGAGTATAATAGAAATTGTGCAAAACTCCTCTTCCCCCATCTTTAGTCATCCATACTGTAATAAGTGTAAAAAATAAAATGTCAAATTCTCTAAAATCGAAGTATATAGATGATGACAGATTGACAGCTTTCTAAAATACTTCTAAATGGGGGAGAAAAAGAAGACATGAAAAAAATGAGCAAGGATAATATAACAATCATAACAATACTCAAAACAGCAGCTTTGTCTACTATTTCCAGGGCCGATTTTGCAAATCAGCAGCCAAAAAAAAAAAAAAAAAAAAAAATCACATTTTTAATGTACTTTTGCGCTAAAATGCAGCAAAAATGCCCTTTGTCACAGCAACAAAATGTCAGAGAGAATCTATGATGATTTCCTAATATGTCTGCTTCATTGTAGGAGTGTGAACAATACCACAACCTTGCTGCTGCTGCTGCTGCTGCTACCGTCTTTATCTCCTTACTATCATGTAATATGTGCTGTTAATGTAGAAGTCGGTCCAAGGGGAGTTGTATATAAAAGAATACAACATGTCATCTACTTAGCTCCATCCAATTTACATTTTTCTCATCCTAAACTAGTCTTACAGCCTCAGAAAGACCAAAATTGATGGCTCGCCATCTTTTTTGCTTCATGTCTTTGATACTTGTGTTCAGAATGGCTGTTGTATCTTCTGCCAGTGAACTTGACAACGGTTATATCCCAAACCCAGAGAATAACATTCCAAATAACCAACCAAAACAACAGGACAACGGCAACCCTGTGGACACTCCAACAAATTTCAACATACCAATTATATCGGAACCCAAACCAAAGGTACCTGTGACTCCACCATCACCAGAGCACAAGAAGCCTAAGTACAACCACCCATTACCAATCTACAAAAAACCATTTCCCACCCCATTGCCTGTACATAAGAAGAAGCCAATGTACAAGAAGCCCATATATATTCCGAAGCCTATCTATATTCCAATTTACAACAATCCAACTAGTGATACTCCTGCCCAAGCTCAAGCTCAAGCTCCAGCTCCAGCTCCAACTGAGGATGATTATCCTGAAAACCCTCCATCTTCACCTCCATCTTCATCTCCACCTCCATCTCCATCTCCATCTCCACATCCATCTTCACCTCCATCTTCATCTTCATCTCCACCTCCACCTCCACCTCCACCAACCCAATCTCCTACAAACGGAGCACCTCCACCATATAAGTCACTAGACTATATTCCAGCTCCAGTATTTGACCCTCCAATTAATGACCCCTCTCGTTAAGACCAGTTAATTTCTCATGCTACATATCTCTGGCGTTTACATAATATCCATTATAGCTCTTCCATTGATACTTCAAATTCGGCTATCAAATATTTTACTAGGAAGAATATACTAGTGTTTTTTCTCTGAAACTGAGAAGTTACTTCTTTGAGTATAAGGAATGGAAAAAAAATATTCTTTATATTCTAAATTAATTTGTGTAAGGGAATTAGTGAGTGTTATATGTACCTTTTCATATAATGAAAATAAACATCAATAACTATTTTGCAAATTCTGTCTATTATATAACCATAGATAGCACTAAAAACAGGTCATGTTACGTTGCTTTGATCATCTTAAGGTCAGGAAGTTTTCAAAGGGAGCACTTTAAAAGATGCACATGTCAGAAGCAATTGCATATTTATCACATAATATTTATTTCAAATCCCTACTTGGAAGGACAAAAATGAGGTAACAATGTAAGAGCTGACTCTTAGAAATTTATAGAGCATTGCAATGCAAATTTAAGTACTTGAAAGTGGCAAGGTTTCAACACCTTCTCCCCTAAAAGTTCATATTGAATGTATAAAATCCTACATACAGTATGTTAGAAGAGTGATATTAGTGTGCTAAGCACATTAACTATTGCAACTATAAAAACATAAATTTGCAAGTTTAACTCTAAAAAATCATATTGGACAAACACAATGAGACAGAGGAATTACGTGTAAGAGGTTTGAAATAAATACCAAGCCCCTCCACTAGTTTCGCAGTAACTTTAATATTGGTTATTTTATATCCCCGAATAATCTTCCTACAAGCATTACATTGCAAACACCCATTATAGAGTTCAAGTGAGAACAAATTAGACTACCATTTTCAGAAATTGTTAGCCTCTCTAAATTTATGCAGTGATTAATTTCAGGAAATTGAATATCTACTTACATGTGATGAAAAAGCTGCTGACTCACTGACAGATTCTAAGAAGAAGAAAAAAAAGTCTAGCTGATTTCCATAATAATATCTAAACTATAAGCCATAAAAGTTGGAGAATATCGTTTTCATATATTATGAACTGATAACAGCTAAAAGCCTAAAAACAACCACTTAGAATCAATAGAGACAAAAAAAACAGCCTTAATCTCATGCTGTCATGCTATGCATTTACACACATATTACTAAATAATCTCAACATGAAACAAACCTGGAACTTTCATCAGCATGGTCTTGCATCTTGTAAGGCCTTCATTTGATTAATGGAGGTAAACGACAGGGATCCCTATTTTTGGGGGTACACATCATGTATTTGTCGAGGATAGTCAGTAAAAGTGGGACAAAAATTAAAAGGCATGAAATTCACTCGCTCTTAACGCCATGATACATGTGCTGGATGAATATTGAAGAAGCACGGAAACCAATTGCACCAAGCATTAAGAAACAAGCATAACAAATGCAAGCGTTGTAGCCCAGGAAGAAGCACAACTGCATGAAACCATCCATATGTGATCTGGCATAGAAGTATATACAATAGACAAACATAAACATAGCTGTTGATCCACCACGTAATACAGACCTGCAGAAATAGAAGAAAAATTTAAGCTTTGGCAATTTGAATGACGAGAAAGTCAGCAGCGACTATAACAGGAGGAAAATACAAAGTTAAGGCATCCTGGAAGAAAATAAGGCTACTTGTAAGAAAAAAATGTTTTCTCTATATTTGTATTTGGTTCAAAGGAAAACAACTTGAGCAAAATTGTTGTTACTAGATGGAAAGCGATATTTCAATGGAATTTAGATTTTGCTCTTAATTGTTCATCGTTTGGCTCATTGTTAGAAGAGGAAAGGACAATGGGAAAGAAAGGTGGAAGAAAATGATTTTCCTCTCAGCCATATAGAGCCTCCATGCTGCATGAATCAACTCCATCAAGTAAGCAACAATGGAATATAAACAGCATACCTCCACCACCATTCAGGGTCTTCCACAGAAAGTTGAATGTATGTCAAACCAACACTTAATATAGCAGTCAGTAAGACAAGGATTGAGAAGCTGATGAGCATAATGCTCGGTAGTGTAAATAGTTTGTAGCTCCACATGCTTGCATATAGCAGATGCAGCTCCACGAGAACTGCACTGAAAGGTAAGAGACCACCCAGAAACATCTGAATGTGGATTTTTCTATACCAATTTAATGGTGGTATCTCTCTCACGTACTTCTTGGTAGAAGGCACAACTTTTGTACATCTATAACGACATCCAACAATCCCTCCTAATGCAAGAAGTGGGGCAGTAACAAATGTATGTATGAGAAACATCACAACAATGGTGCCAAAAGGTAGAGCAGCTGTAGACCCATATGATACTGCTACTGTATTAAGGATAGAAAGTACAAGTGCCAATGGACCCATAAAGAGAATCCCTGTCAGAAGGACACTTCTTTCCTGCAAAATTAATTTATATTCATTGAACCATTGAAAATATATTAATACTCCCATCCCTAAACAATCGCCCACATATTTGATCATGTTTTAGAGATGTTATTATAAGTAGCATTTATTTTATGAACTTTTGAATATACACCTTATCAATGTTGTGTATTCTGATTAATATTATCTTTGAGGATAGTATGGGAATAAATGGCCTGTTATTTTGACATGGTTTGAAATAGAAAGGTGAACTATTATTTAGGGATGGAGGGAGAACATAGCCGGTCATATTTAAATCACCCAAGCTGCCATACATGCCGCACACAGAAAGAATAGGAAAGAGGGGAACACAACTGTAATTCAGATGCATTTGAAATAGAGATTTTTACCCATCCAGTTTCTGAATATTGGCAATGAAATGAAGCAGCAGTATAACCTGCAACTGCAGATGTTACAGTGTAAATGACAACAACAGCTGTCCATAAAGTCCCATGGGTATATGGCACTAGAAGACCAAGGGAGGTTAATAAAAACAAACAGCAAAACCTGAAAAGGTTCATATATAGGTTAGTAAGTTACACCAGGAGTGCTGCAGCAGACAAGTTATAGCATGTTCATATTCAATATGCTGGAAGCAAACAGGTGCAATAGAACAACACTACCATGCAGAATGCAGATTAGACTTGATAATTCTACACATAACATGTTTCACATATTTGATGCAAGTAACAAGTATCAGAGCACAATGCTCCAATTAGTTTCCTTACACAAGAAAAAGTTGAGTGCCACAGCCAAGCACAGCACAAAAGAGAGACAACAATGTCGGGCATCTGAAAACATCACCCTCAATGCACGCCCATCCAATCTCTCTATCGTCTTCATCTCCGTTTGAATACCTAGAATACAAAATGATTAATTGTCGACCAAGGAGAACTTAGAGCCCTGTCTGGAAAAAAATAATAAAAAAAAATAAAAAATTAAGCAACAGTGCAAGTAATGAGGCTGCTAAATTACTTTCTTAAATCATTCTTGATATTCCACCAATATAGCACAGCCAGTATTCCCATTGATAGCAAAATGATGACAGCTGAATTAATGACTGAAAACCAGTGAAGTTGCTGAACTGGTGAGAGCAACGATGCCTTTGAATATCTTTTCATTCTGTTTGCAAATCGGATTGATGTTGCATTCCAATTTGCTGAGTAAGTAAACTTTACATTTATTGCAGCATCTTCTGTTATGTCAACAACATGATTGGGGTCACTGAAAGCGTGCACTTCTATAACATTATTGTCATTATATAAGATATCTAACTGAACATGTGTGAATAGATAGGATCTTGACCCTTTCATATAGGGGTTCAAGCTCTCTCCTTCAACTTTCCCAATGAATCCCCAAAATGGGAGGTCATCAAAGAACATCTGGAAGTAATAATCCCTCTGAATTGCATCACGAAATTTAACAAGTTCCTCCCTTCCAAGTTTAGTGGTGCACCATTCTTCTGCTATTTTCATTTCCTGGAACCTTATATCATATCGTGTATTTGTCAGACGATCACCACTTAAAACTTCGCCAAGTGATTCCTTTCTTCTGATTAAAGGATCTGCAGCCAGGAGATGAAGACAATTCAGCTACAGCAACAGAGCTCTTTTCAATGATTTGTTTTGAAATTGAAGCACTGATTTAGTAGAAAAATCTTAAAAGACTAACAAGACTACATACTCTGACTGAATATATTTTGCAGACAAGAGGTCATTTCAAACATATCAAGAGATGCACTTATACTAAATAAGACATGAGAATCTGTCATTTTAGGTGCATTAACAGAAAGACTGCAGAGCCACATTTGATACATCACCCAGGAGAGGATAATGAAGCAAGCCATCTTGCAGATCTCTGGGAAATAGCTCAAGCTTTGAAATGCAAAGGTAAGAACTAAGAAAGGATTGTGTAAACTAGCTAAGAAAAGTCTCAGTATCTTGAATTACATCCATTGCATAGGCAGCTAATTAGCACCATAATATGCGCTATATAGCCCTTCACCCAGTCTCACAAGAGTACAAGACATTAGTCTGCACTCTTCAGTCATCAAACCCAGCTACTCATGATCATATGCCATATTGCTCTGATTATACTTAACAACTATATTTCCGCTTCTAAAACTGTTTATCCTTCCACACTTAAATAGATTATCTTATATAGTTACGATAGCACAAAATTGCAAGGCTATACATCAGTAAACTGACAGCTAAAATTCAAGTTACTCTACTAAGTTCGAGTTCACAGTTGCATGATAGTAATTGCAAAAATATATATAACAAATGATGTTAATTCAATCTTCTACCCAATTATTGACAGAAAAATGCACTAATTGTTATAAGACTATTAGCCAACCTGGGCGGCAGAATGGCAAATCGAAATATTCATACGCCTCACTGCAAAAAGACAAAGATTCATATCAAAATTCCCTCACAAAAGTATTAACAATGCTAATCCTGCAACACTTAGAACTACAGAACTAAATAATATTTCCAACAGAATTATATAAGAAACTATGAAATCGAACTCGAAATTTTACCAAAGTCAGATGCCACATTGCCAATTGCAATAACAAGTCCAGTAGAAAAGTTTGATAACTGAAGCAAATTTGACTCAAAAATCTTCTACATACAAATTATTACACCAACAAGATCAAAATTTTGAATCCGGGAATGTAGCAATCGCCAAAACACTAAAGAAAAAAAAATTAGCCATATCCTCAAAATTTCTGATTTAATTAAAGAAACTATTACCATTCAAAAATCACTAAAACTTAAGAATACTATATTCTCAAGAAACAATTCTCCAATTAAGTCAATAAAATGAAATTTGGGAACAAATTATAAGTTTAAATTACAAAATAAAAATTAGAAAATGGTGGGTACCTGGGATTATTCAAAGGGCCAACTTTGTTGGCAAAAATAGGGATTTGATCGCCCACATTGTAGTGGTGATTGAAAGAATAAACTGGAGGAAAAACCCAGAAATTAATCACTAAAATCAGCAACAAATTTGGGATCTTTGACATGGTTAACAAGCTACTTTGATCTGTCTGACAGTGACAGTGTGTTAGATTGAGAGAAATCGTTTGAGGGTCACCGTAGAAATGACGTTCATAGGAGTATATTTTACGGAGTAACTGATTTTTAGCTCAAATTGCGTCAATTTTTGTTTTTGCTTTTGGTTGATCACATGAACATTTTTGTGGGCATTTTTTTTTTTTAATTATTTTATTTTAAGTAGTATATTTGGTCTTAATTGTACTTCGACTCTCTTTATTTCACCTTATTGAAATTATTCTTGCGTATTCTCTATTATTTCTTCAACTGAATCGAAATTATTTTTACTTAACTAAACTTATTTTTTAGCCTTAGGGTTTGTTCTTATTTACCGAAAACAACTGAACTAAATTGAACTGATTGGGGCCGAACTAAACTGAACTAAATAGAGTTGAAATGAATTGTTTATGAGAGAAAGAAATTAGAAATTGAACTGAATTGATTAGAGCTGAATAGAACTAAACTCTCAGGTTCACATTTACTGAACTGACCTGAGCTGAACTAAACTAATTGAAGCTGAACTGAACTAAACTGATTGGAGCTGAACTGAACTTAACTGATTGGAGGTGAAATGAACTGAACTAAACTAAGGAGGTGAACTGAGATGAAATGAATATTTTATGAGAGAGGGAAATTAGGAGTTGAACTGAACTGAACTGAAATTAAGTAAATGTGAATAGGCCTTGAAATTAAGCTAAACATAACTAGAGCTGTCAATTCGGGTAAACGGGTCGGGTTTGGGTCAGGTGAGAATGGGTCGGGACAACTCGGGTTGGGTTAATTCAGATTAATTCCATAACCTATGCGGGTCGGGTTTGGGTTGGGTCATGCTTGAGTCGGGTCACGTCGGGTCACGTCGGGTCATACATCTTATCGGTTTGGGTCGGGTTTAGGTCGGGTTAATAACAAGTCGGGTTACATTCGGGTCGGGTGAAAAATAGGTAGGGTTAATAATAGGTCGGGTTTAATTCGGGTTTTCACGGTTTAAAACGGGTTAGGGTAATTCTCGGGTTCGAGACAGGTTTGATTCAAGTCAATAATTTGCGGGTTAGAATCAGGTCGGGTCATTCTCGGGTTTGAGTCGGGTTTGGTTCAAGTCAATAATTTGCAGATTATAATCAGGTCAGGTCATTTTCAAGTCGGGTCATTCTCGGGTACAAGTCAATAATTTGCGAGTTATAATCAGGTTGGGTCATTTCCAAGTTGGGTCATTCTCGGATTCAAGTCGGGTTATGTTCAAGTCAATAATTTGCAGGTTACAATCAGGTCTAGACATCTCCAAATCAGGTCATATTCGGGTTCAACTAACTATAAATCGATAATTATCATTTTTATCAAGCTAATTATTTCCTTTGACTATAATATATATGGCAATATACTAGGGAACTATAGTCTCTAATTTAAGAATATAATTATCTCCTTTGACCATACAAAAAATATATATTATATTTAACTCTTAAATTTAAGGATGATGCTCCTTTCTTTTGCTGGCCTGGACTGACTTGGTCTCCCAAGACAAAATGCTTTGAACAACAATAATAAAATGGTCTAAATTGCAGTTAAGGTGATTTGAAATCGGGTCAGGAACAATTCGGGTTGAATTTAGGTCGGGTCAATAACAAGTCGTGTTAATTTTGAGTCGAGTTAGTAACAGATCGGGTTGAATTTTTGGGTTGGGTAAGTAATAGGTAAGGTAAAATTCGGGTCGAGTAAATAACAAGTCGAGTTGAATTTGGGTCAGATCAATAACAAGTCGGGTTAATTTCGAGTCAGGTTTGTCACAGGTTGGGTTAAATTCGGGTCGGGTTAGGAACGGGTCGGGTTGAATTCAGGTCAGGTTAGTAACAAGTCGGATTAAATTCGGGTTTTAACGGGTTTGGGTCAATTTCAGTTCATCAAGTCGGGTTCGGTGCAAGTAAATTAAATTGGTCGTTGTAAACCGATAAATAGGTGCAAGTTGTAAACCTGTATATTGGCCGTTCAAAAGCAAATTGAATGGTTCCACACACCCAATTGGACTAATGGAGGGTATTAGGGACCATGTTAAACATTTCAGCATTTTTATTTCCGGGCGAAAAAAGTCAAAATTCCAAAATTGAAGGCTAATATCCACGCTTTTTGAGAAATTTTGAAAGTTTCGGAGTCCGGTGTCGAAAAGTCTTGAAATCCTATGAGATTTATCTCGGGGTCATATAATGCGATTTGGAACCATATATGATCATTATTTGTTGTCATAAATGTTCGTGGTAGGCTTGAATAAATGAAATCGGTGCAAGTTGTAAACCAGTAAATTGGTCGTTTAAAGGCAAATTGGATGGTTCCACCCAACCAATTGGACTCCCGGAGGGTATTAGGGACTATGGTAAAAATTTCGGCAATTTTTATTTTCGGGTGAAAAAAAGTCAAAAAATTCCAAAATTGAAGGCTAATTATCCACGCTTTTTGAGAATTTTTGAAGTTTTCGGGGCCCGGTGTCAAAAAGTCTTGAAATTATAGGAAATACATCATGGGGTCATATAATGTTGTTTGAAACCATATATGATCATTATTTGTTGTCATAAATGTTCGTGGTAGGCTTGAATTAATGAAATCGGTGTAAGTTGTAAACCGGTAAATAATTGGTCGTTTAAACGCAAATTAGATGGTTCCACCCACCTAATTGGACTACCTAAGGTTATTTGGTACCATGGTAAGAATTTCAGAAATTTTTAAATTCGGGTGAAAAAAAAAGTCAAAATATTCCAAAATTGAAGGCTAATATCCGGGCTTTTTGAGAAATTTCGAATGTTCGGGGCACGGTGTCGAAAAACATTGAGATTTTAGGGGATACAGTACATCTCGGGGTCATATAATGCCGTTTGGAACCATATAAGATCATTATATGTTGTCATAAATGTTCGTGGTAAGCTTGAGTTAATAAAAACGGTACAAGTTGTAAACCGTTAAATTGGTCGTTTAAAGGCAAATTGGATGGTTCCACCCCGCCAATTGGACTCCCAGAGGGTATTAGGGACCATGGTAAAAATTTCGGAAATTTTTATTTTCGGGTGAAAAAAAGTCAAAATTCCAAAATTGAAGGCTAATATCCACGCTTTTTGAGAACTTTTGAAGATTTCAGGGCCCGATGTCGAAAAGTCTTGAAATGATAGAAAATACATCTTGGGGTCATAAAATGTTTTTTGGAACCATATATGATCATTATTTGTTGTCATAAATATTCGCGGTAGGCTTGAATTAACGAAATCGATGTAAGTTGTAAACCGGTAAATTGGTCGTTTAAAGGTAAATTGGATGGTTCTAGCCAGCCAATCAGACTCCCGGAGGGTATTAGGGAGCATGGTAAAAATTTCGGCAATTTTTATATTCGGGTGAAAAAAAGTCAAAAAATTCCAAAATTGAAGGCTTTTTAAGAATTTTTGAAGTCTTTGGGGCCCGGTGTCGGAAAGTCTTGAAATTATAGGAAATATATCTTGGGGTCATATAATGTCGTTTGGAACCATATATGACCATTATTTGTTGTCATAAATGTTCGTGGTAGGCTTGAATTAATGAAATCGATGTAAGTTGTAAACCGGTAAATTGGTCGTTTAAAGGCAAATTGTATGGTTCCACCCACCCAATTGGACTCCCGGAGAGTATTTGGTACCATGGTAAGTATTTCGGCAATTTTTATATTCGGGTGAAAATAAAGTCAAAAAATTCCAAAATTGGAGGCTAATATCCATGCTTTTTGAGAAATTTCAAATGTTTTGGGGCACGGTGTCGAAAAGCATTGAGATTTTAGGGGATACATCTCGGGGTCATATAATGCCGTTTAGATCCATATATGATCATTATATGTTGTCATAAATGTTCGTGGTAAGCTTGAGTTAATGAAAACGGTGCAAGTTGTAAACCGGTAAATTAGTCGTTTAAAGGCAAATGGGATGGTTCCACCCAGCCAATTGGACTCCCGGAGGGTATTAGGGACCATGGTGAAAATTTCAACAATTTTTATTTTCGGGTTAAAAAAAGTCAAAAAATTACAAAATTGAAGGCTAATTATCCACGCTTTTTGAGAATTTTTGAAGTCTTCGGGGCCTAGTGTCGAAAAGTCTTGAAATTATAGGAAATACATCTTGGGGTCATATAATGTCGTTTGGAACCTTATATGATCATTATTTGTTTTCAAAAATGTTCGTGGTAGGCTTGAATGAATGAAATCGGTGTAAGTTGTAAACCGGTAAAATGGTCGTTTAAAGGCAAATTGGATGGTTCCACCCACCCAATTGGACTCCCGGAGGGTATTTGGTACCATGGTAAGCATTTCGGAAATTTTTATATACGGGTGAAGAAAAAGTCAAAAAATTCCAAAATTAAAGGCTAATATCCATGCTTTTTTAGCAATTTCGAATGTTTCGGGGCACAGTGTCGAAAAACATTGAGATTTTAGGGGATACATCTTGGGGTCATATAATGTCGTTTGGATACATATATGATCATTATAAGTTGTCATAAATGTTCGTGGTAAGCTTGAGTTAATGAAAACGGTACAAGTTAAAAATCGATAAATTGGTTTAAAGGCAAATTGGATGGTTCCACCCAGCCAATTGGACTCCCGGAGGATATTAGGGATCATGGTAAAAATTTCGGAAATTTTTATTTCCGGGTGAAAATAAGTTAAAAAAAATTCCAAAATTGAAGGCTAATATTCACGCTTTTTGAGAATTTTTAAAGTCTTCGGGGCTCGGTGTCGAAAAGTCCTAAAATTATAGGAAATACATCTTGGGGTCATATAATGTTGTTTGGAACCATATATGATCATTATTTGTTGTCATAAATGTTTGTGGTAGGCTTGAATTAATGAAATCGGTGTAAGTTATAAACCGGTAAATTGGTCGTTTAAAGGCAAATTGGATAGTTTCACCCACCCAATTGGACTCCCGGAGGATATTTGGTACCGTGGTAAGCATTTTGGCAGTTTTTATATTCGGGTGAAAAAAAGTCAAAAAATTCCAAAATTGAATATCCACGCTTTTTGAGAAATTTCGAATGTTTTGGGGCACGGTGTCGAAAAGCATTGAGATTTTAGGGGATACATCTCGGGGTCATATAATGCCGTTTAGATCCATATATGATCATTATATGTTGTCATAAATGTTCGTGGTAAGCTTGAGTTAATGAAAACGGTGCAAGTTGTAAACCGGTAAATTAGTCGTTTAAAGGCAAATGGGATGGTTCCACCCAGCCAATTGGACTCCCGGAGGGTATTAGGGAGCATGGTAAAATTTTCGGCAATTTTTATTTCCGGGTGAAAAAAAGTCAAAAAATTCCAAAATTGAAGGCTAATATCCACGCTTTTTAAGAATTTTTGAAGTCTTTGGGGCCCGGTGTCAGAAAGTCTTGAAATTATAGGAAATATATCTTGGGGTCATATATATAATGTCATTTTGAACCATATATGATCATTATCTGTTGTCATAAATGTTCGTGGTAGCAGTGGCGTATCCAGGAATTCCGAACTGTGGGTTCGGAATTTTAAAAAAAATGATGATCATATATTAACTAAAAAACTACAAAAGCATTTTTCGAGTTTTCATAGTTTGAAAGCATGCTAATACATTACTACTATAAATCTATATTTCTATTGCAAAAAATCAATATTACACATAAAAATAAAAATAAAAAATCTCAAGTCCCCAATAATTAAGAGGAGTAGAGGAATAAGAGGTCTCAGGAATTGTACCCAGGACTTAAGGAGGAGGTTCAATGCTCTAACAATCACTCCCTTACCAATGTGCCAGGCTTTGACATTTGAATATTTATCTCACATAAATTAGTTTTAACCATTTTTTTTTTAAACAAAAAATTAAAACTTATAATTTTTTTCCGAAAAATCTGTGGGTTCAATGAAACCCCCCTAGATCCGCCCCTGCGTGGTAGGCTTGAATTAATGAAATCGGTATAAGTTGTAAACCGGTAAATTGGTCGTTTAAAGGCAAATTAGATGGTTTCACCCAACTAATTGGACTCCCGGAGGGTATTTGGTACCATGTAAGCATTTCGCCAATTTTTATATTCGGGTGAAAAAAGTCAAAAAATTCCAAAATCGAAGGATATCCACGCTTTTTGAGAAATTTCGAATGTTTCGGGGCACGGTGTCGAAAAGCATTGAGATTTTATGGGATAGACGTCGGGGTCATATAATGTTGTTTGGATCCATATATGATCATTATATGTTGTCATAAATGTTCGTGGTTAGCTTGAGTTAATGAAAATGGTGCAAGTTGTAAACCGGTAAATTGGTCGTTTAAAGGTAAATTGGATGGTTCCACCCAACCAATTGGAATCCCGGAGGGTATTAGGGACCATGGTAAACATTTCGGCAATTTTTTTCCGGGTAAAAAAAAAGTCTAAAATTCCAAAATTAAAGGCTAATAGATCCACGTTTTTTGAGAATTTTTTGAGGTTTCGGTCACATAACAAGCCCTTTAGTATGATAAATACTTGTATTAAAATACGTAGTATGGCGTATATGGTTTTGTTATCACTTCAGAATATGTTAATAATCTTTGTATCGTTAAGCATTGATAATTTGATAGCGAAAATTTTCTCATATATAGTATAGATAGGTGTAGCCAAATGTATGTTGATGAGCATACACGAATGTATGTAAGAATCTACAATGTCATGCACGAATCTACATTGTTGTAGTGCTCTTTTCATGCATAGGTGATGGTATTGGTTAAGGGCCTAGATATGGCACGCAATCTTCAAATTAAATAAGCGAACTTATGATCCAGCTTGCTGGTCTAACTTGTGTGCAAGCACTTGGCACTTCTTGTTGGAGCTAGTATCTACGGTGAGAGCACTCATCTCTTTAATCATTATCTTTCATTATGCACTAAAAGGGTTTGGAAGTAGAGGTGATTTACATCTACCGATAGGACAATTGTCAATGGATTAGTTAGCAAATCTTGGGATTGATTAGACAATATGTCTCTAGGCTTAATCTATGATACTTGAGGAAGATATTCATAATGTAGTCTTTCAATGCATAGTTCCCACTTAATTTAGGTACGGGATACCGACACTGATATGGATCTGGTAATCGGGTCAGATCTTCGCATTTGGATCATGTCCAATAATGATTCATTACCCATATATATCAACCTCTTTCATTACCCATATATATCAACCTCTTTCTCCACGCATGTGGAAACTTGCTTTCAGCCACGTGGACATCTATTCAACACATCCACGTGGATCGACATGTGGCACCTGCTATGGAATTTCTATAAAATACCCTAACATATTTTACTTATGAGGCACAATTTTCTTAAACCGAACATCCTCAACCATACCATACTAGTATTGACTCTAGCATAGGAGCAGTTATCTTTGCAAAAACCCTGATGGCAGCTAGTGTATGTTGGCAGTGCAGGTAGCCATGTACCCAGTTAGGTTATACAAAGTAAACCACCTAGAATCCTAGATACAAGTTACCAAAGCACCAATTTACTTGTTTTCCCTTGGATTTGCCTTATTTGCAATATAAATTGATTGCGTTTAAATCTAATAAACTAAATAATCCAAGGAAAACATAGTTAACAATCACCAACGAAGTGAATAGCATAGCCAATCTAGAATACGGATGGAAATAGAATCAAGTAAAATATCAATCGCATTCAACCATCTTCTATTTAGTATACCACATAAACCTATTAATTCGCCATTATCACTTCTCATTTATGTCTAAATTTAGCCACTACTATTCAACCAGCACATCTTAAAATCAAAAATTAAATGTCAACTCATTTTTATTCACTAATACACTATTTAGTCTAGTGTGGTTGGTTTGCTAACCCCACGTCTAGAACATTTTTTTTCTTTTCCTTTCTTTTTTTATAAAAAAAGAAAAAAGAAAACCAAAAAGGAATAATGGTCCGCCGTATTTTCAAAAGGATGGCGAGTCTCTCTCCCCAACTTACGCCTGCGATCAAGCCTTGTGCTTGACTCGCTCATAACACAATGATATTCCTTTAACCTACCGCACTTTAGCCAATTTCTCTGATCAAATCCAACGAATTTTCGGAGGATTTTTCCTTTTGGGTTCCATTTATCTGCACTCTTTTCAATTGGGTACGTTTCAATTTTCCCATTTTTTGATTCTTTAACCATTTGTCACAACTGGGTTTTTGCTAATTTATCGGAAAGTTTGCTTCTTTTAGATATTGTAAGATTTTTTTGGTTTTGATTAATCGCCTGTTGATCTGTGTGTTTTGACATTGGTAATTCTCAAAGTTTGGATCTTTCGTTTGATAGGAAAATCTTGCAGTTACTTTATGAAGATTTCTGTCTTGTTATAATTAGAAATGAAGTGTTTATGATGTTGATTTAGATTGGGTTTGAAGAATTGTGAAATACCCATTTTTTTTGGATACAATGATTTGTTGTTTTGTTGAAAATTTGGCTAAAGAATTAAAGTATGATGTGATCATGATACAATATATTGGGATTTGTGTGATATAAACATGTATTCTTCAATTGAATTTGAAGGAGCAAAACCCAAAATTCTGTTGTTAGTTTTGGGGTGAATTGAATTTGGTCTATGATCAGAGTAGACCATGGAGAATTTACCTGTTGAAGTGATTGGAAACATACTGTCCCGCCTCGGGGCTGCTAGGGAGGTGGTGATTGCATCTGCAACATGCCGGAAATGGAGAGAGGCTTTTCGAAAGCACCTACATTGTCTCTCATTCAATTCCAATGATTGGCCTGTTTTTCGCGATTTGCTAACTAGCCGGCTAGAGATATTAATTACACAGACAATTTTCCAAACTACTGGCTTGCAAGGGCTTACAATCTTGATGGATGATGTTGATGAGTTTTCAGCTTCAACAGTTATCGCGTGGCTTATGTATACTAGGGAAAGCCTGAGAATATTGTATTACAATGTTAGGACTAGCCCGAACCTTAACATTCTGGATATTTGTGGGAGACACAAGCTGGAGATGCTGTCTTTGGCACACAATACAATCATAGGAGTTGAACCTAATTATCAAAGGTTTTCTTGCCTCAATTCACTTTCCCTGAGTTATGTCAGCATTTCAGCATTGGATTTGAACCTTCTCCTTACTGCTTGCCCAAAACTCGAGTCCTTATCCCTAATTAATCCCGAGATTGCCATGTCAGATGCCCAAGTGAGTGTTGAATTGAGCAGTCCAACGCTGAAGACTATATATGTTGAAGCCATTAGTTTGGACAAGTTCATTTTGGAGGCTGACTCTCTCGAGGATATGCATCTGAAAGATTGTGCTCTGGAGCAGTTCGAGCTTATTGGGAAGGGGACCTTAAAGCGTTTTCAAATTGATGATGTTAGTGTTATACATCTTGATATTGGTGAAATAGCTGAAAATCTTGAAGTCATCGATGTCAGCAACTTCACAATCATTTGGCCAAAATTTTATCATATGATCTCTAGGTCGTCAAATTTGAGAGTTCTTCGGCTTTGGGATGTGGTGTTTGATGATGAGGATGATATTGTTGATTTGGAAACTATAGCTATTTGCTTCCCATATTTAAGCCATCTTTCATTAAGTAATGACTTGAGGGATGGAGTGATTCATTATGGATTGGAGGGTTCTTATCATCTGCACAATGTAGTTGTACTTGAAGTTGGTTGGACTGTTATCAGTGATATCTTCTCCCAGTGGGTTGAAGAGCTTCTGCAGAGATGTCCTAACCTTGAAAAGTTGATCATTCATGGGACTGTTTCCGACACCAAAACACCTGAAGAATGCCAAATATTGGCAAATTTTACTTCCTCCATTGTGCGGCTAATGCGGCAGTATATGCATGTAGATGTGTATTTTGAATATGAGTAGGGGCAGCAATGTCTCTTTGTACACTCGAAATTTTGGTATGTCAAATATAGGCTGTTTTTTTTTTTTTTTTTTTTTTTTTTTTTTAAATGTTGATTGATCAACCTGTTACGTACTTATGTGAATGATAAGAATGAGCTTTTCCTTTTTTTGTATAAGATTGAGGCATTGAGCAGGCAAGGCATGTCTGCCTATTTTTTGTACCTGTCATTCAATTTATCTGCTTCTGTGTTGTGTTCGATTCAAGATATATCCTTTTCCCTTGCTACTGAAAATTGTATGCACTTTCTTTCTTTTATAATGCCAAATGACAAGTTGTGTTTGATGATGAAGTGAGTTACTCTTGATAATTGATGAGCATGATCGTTTATTGTTCTCTGTGTTTGACCTTTAAAGTAGTTCCCTTGAGCTGCCAACTGTAGGAAAACTAATGGAATGCATTTATGTTGTTTCTTAATCGTCCAACTTTGCTGGAAAGTCTGAATAAGAAGAGTTTTACTTGGAATGGCAGTCTGGTAAGTTACATATCCCAACTCACTTTTTTGTAATCTGGTTCTTAGATCAGATTAGCCTTGATACTGTGTTTTGTATGCTGTTCCTTTTGCTCTATCCAATTTATCTGTTTTTGCATTTTTTGTTCTATCATGTAAAATGTATATGCTCCAATTCAGTACATTATCATGAATTTACTGTATATCTGAGTTAATGCTGAAGAAGTTCGTTCTGTTTTTCTGAAAGTTACAGAGACATGATGAGTAAAGGGTTCAAGAACCATTTTTCCCCTTAGTTACTGGTGGTGACTTGTAAGAAGAGGAAGACTGGGAGAAATTGAGTACTCTGCTTGAATTGTTGGTAAATAATATAAGAGTTGCAGGCTTACTGCATTCCATGATGACCTTAGCATTGCATGCTTTGAGAGATGCCCGTCTTACTTCACTATGTTTTTCAGGCACCCTGCCCAGTGCTTCAAAGAGACAATCCATCAGTGTGGACTTGAGATAGGTTAGTGTTCTAATATGCTGATACCAAATAGATGAATGTTGAAAGTGGACTGACAGGGTACTGCCTTTATTCACTGTACAGTCGTCACTCGTAATCCTGAGTCCCAACAGTTACTATAACAGTGTACCTTACTATCTTTGGGGATTTAGTCGGGACTCAGAGCCTAGATGGTCGAGTTGCTCCTGAAGTCTCTAATGGACCTGGGAATGGGGAGTGTTTATGCTATCCTCTAGATGTCTTACAACAGGCGTGTGAAGCTACTGACTTTTGATGTCTGATAATCCTGATATAATGTTTGTGCATATTGTGTCTCAGCCATAATGTATGATGCTGCAAATATCAACTGTCGTCTATCTGATGTGTCTGAAATATGTTTACTTGTTCAAATATCATGCTTCATGTCTGTTAAGACTACTAGTCAGAACTAAATATCACACCTTTATTTTTTGCCTTGTAGTGATGTTACGCTAGAGTACGTGTTTTTTCGTGTTTTATCTATGTTAAATGTATCTAATCACTTGTATCAATTCATCTTTATAATGTTTGATTAGTATGCAATTAAGTTTATCTAGAATTGTTATTGCAGAAAGTACATGGTTAGGTGCTCTTTATTCAAATTTTCTGCACGGAGTTGGTTTGAGTATGTGATTGAATCTTGTAGTATATCATCTTATCTCTAGACTTTTGTGACCTTAAAGAACAGAAAATGAAATAAATTTTAAGCACATAATTATGCATAATTGACAGATGCAGGAAAAAATAAGTGCAGGAGTAAAATTAAAGCTATCTTATCTATTTGATCCTGGCTGAATTCCACCCTTCTCTACTCCCAGTTGCTTCATCGGACAAGGGTGGTGGCCGGAGTGAACCTTCTCCTACACTGGTAGAACTGTAGAATAAGAGGGACTATCGCCTCAACATGGAAAGCCATAAAGGACGGGAAAAAACCATTCAAATTCAATAGACGCGGTGTATTGTTCTTTTGGCTATCTTTTTATGCAGAGGGAGAGACATTTGGTACCTCATTTGATACTGATTAACTGATAGAAATGGGTGATTGCAACAGAAAGCAAATATTCCAACCAACCAAAAAGGCCTCACTTTTTAGTAAACTTGGAGATTGGACTTCCACTACCAATACCCTGACCAGGAATAATAATCATACTTGAAAGTTTGAACTAAATTGGCAATTGAATATGAATATTCCAGATTCATGTATAAGAATTTTTTCTATATTTGCTTAATTTTCATTAAGAAATTGCTTATATAAAAGTGAGTAAAAATCATCAATTTTTCCCAAAAAACAGAATTTTGGAGCAACTGAAGTTACTAAAAATCCTTAAATTGGTGTATATTACTATAGTTTACAGTTTTAGTATGGTTGTTAAAGGCAACAGAAGTACTAAAAAACTGATTTTTTTTTTTATTGTAACACTCGATTCGATAGTTTAGAGCAGCAGCCCAAGTTAATCTGTTAATGCAACGCGCCGTGCCATAGAAGCAAACAGGGTCTGAGGGTCTCAGATGTAACTCAATCTTAACAAGAAAAGGATTAACGTATTAATTAAACTGTATGGTTCTGATTGCTTTGTATTTTTTGATTAGATTATGATCCATTATTAACAAGGATTATCATAGATTATCCACATGACAATTGCTCAATTAAGAATTAAGTACATGCTTACATACGTTTCTTGGATTGGCTTATCACCCCTTTTTTTCAACATTTATCAATAATCATTTCATGACTTTTTACAATAATTATTTAGCTATTTTCTTTCTGTTTATTTTTTCAAAGTTTAAAACATAATTTAGTCATTTATGCATTGTTTTTGACTTAAAATAATGGATGTCTTAAAGAGACCATTTTCAGCCCTTTTTTTTAAACTAAATAATAATAATAAAAATTTAACTTTACTTTCATGCTTAAGCAACAAGCAAGGATTATACTCTAGCTTAATCACATCCATAAGTCAATATAAAAATAAGATTGATAAATAATAACAATTGAACGAAACCAATCGCCTTCGGACAGAAGAACAAGCAACATAATTAAATAAAGATCAAGGATTAGTTTGAATACAATTATAACATTCATAGAATCTTCTGATTGCCTAGCTAATCTCTAACTTTCTATGTAATCCACATGAAAAACAAGTCTTTAAGTCACATTTAGAAGTAGAAAGTATATTATTATTAGTAGTTCATAAAAATACTTCATTACAATATAATTTAATATTAATCTATAAATCTAATCCATAGAACATCTAGCTGTTCACCAATCACCAGAATCACAAACATTTTATTTTTTTAGACCAATCATTGATTACATAAGGAATAATTGGTAGGAAGCATAATTTTACCTACAAAAAGGTTAGATATGAGCATAATATTACAATTTTATTTGAAAAAATAGTTAATAATAATAATAAAAATACAATAAAATTTGGTGACACCTCTTCCATTAATCCAGTCTTCCCATTAGATGTAAGAATGTGTTAGAATGATGGGTCCGTTGCCAAAAAGTTTGTGTCTTTTTCTTTTATGTGGAAATGCATTTTATTACATAAAAATTAAACGTAAATATACTAATGCAACTCATCATGCATATCCTTTCTTATTTGTAACAAAAAGGTTGATCTCCTTTTTTTTTTTTTTTTTTTTTTTTTTTTTTTTTCACTAATGCCATTTAAGTCCCATGCAAAAGTTTACGCACTTGTGACCTTTTCTTTTTACAAAGTTAAATGATTAGTAAGGAAAAGATAGACTACATCACAGGATTGAAGAGAAAAATATTGATTAGAATAGAAAACTTACGTTACTTGCATTACTTTCTTTTATTATGTCCAAATTTCCACGATTTGATAGAAAAACAGACTACATATAGTAGAAATATCATAGAAAATGTTGTTCTATATTATTTTCTATTATTAATGCAATTATTCAAATTAGATGTGGAAAGTTCATTACATCCTCCGTATCTTAATTGAGTTACTTATTAACTAGTTTTTTCTATTTATTCAATTCCATTCTACCAAATTAATTAGTTGTAAGGAAATAAAGAAGAATTTATGGACCAACAACAACCACGTAATAGAATTTTAGAAAAAGGCACCTAATTGAAGGATTAAGGGCCCTAATTTTGGAAACTAATGAAACTAATTAATCATATTATTGATATTAATCATATTATCAATGGGAACTATGAAAGACATTATGTATGATATGCTCCTCATAAAAAAAAAATGTATTAGTAGAAGAGAGAATCTTTGTGTGGCATGGTTTTAGGTGATGACAAGGAAAGGATGTTGACTCCTTAACAAAGAGGATAATACCAGATAATTAAAACCCTCTCTGATTTTAAGGGTTTTTTCAATTATATACAAGTGGAAGGAAGGGGGTGGTCTTTTATAATGTTTTGGTTGACACTTGACAGGGCAATTAGCACAACATTAATATAATTAATATTTTATCTATTTTCATAATATATGGAACAAAAAGTAAAACCCAAATTTCCATTAAAAATAAACAATTTAGATTCAGCTAAACAACTTTAGAATGCCATGTCTTTTGGTTTCTCTTTTTACCACCTTTTATGAAAAAAACCTTGTCTTATCTCCCCTTTGTAATGCTATATATTTGATATAGATTACATTATTATAGAATAGTCTAAATACCTAATACTCAAAATATTAGATATTTATAAAGAAAAGTTTCAAATTTTTTTTACAAGAATTATCCCTTTGAAAATTTTAATGTCTCTATTTTTTTATTTACCTTTAATTAAAAAAAACTTCATTTTTCTTCTTATCTTTATAATTCGCCTTTAATCAACCAAACTGCACAATTTTTTTACCAATCACCTTGATATCCTAAGTACACATGTATCAAGCAAATGATACCTTCATTTACAAACGAAGAGACTAAATAACACACTATATATGAAAATCACATTACAACAAAATAAAGTAAATTTTCAAATGAGATATGGCTCCAACGCCTTCAAGTAAAGTTATTATTCTACTCCCTATGTCTCTTAACATTGCACCAGTTATCTTTTTGGTCCGTCCTTTTTAAGTTTGCTTATTCTATGGGTATGTTCTTATAGACTAAACTCAGCTGAACTGAAAATAAACGTATGAGAACAGACCCTATGTTTAATTGTAAGATCACGTCTTTACTCTCACAACCATCACAACCCCATCACATTTTTTTTTCTTATTAGTTTTTTTTAACCGAAAATTAAAAAATAAATCATCACTTAATAGAGTAAACAAAGAGAAATAGAGAGAATATCAACTACCCCATATATATTCCGAACATGTTAACCTTTTAACCTTACCAGCAAAGAACAAAAGTTTTTGCATATCTTCAAATCTTGCATAGTTGTATAGCTTCTCACAAGGGACCAATAAGAAAACATAGTCGGTTAAGAAATAGGAAGTGGAGTTGGAGTCAGTGATTCTAGTGGGTTCCCTTGGGTCGTTTGACCCCACTAATTAAAATCATACGGAGTATTATAGTAATTAGGTCCCTCCAAACCCATTAATTTAGTTTAATCCTTCTATCATTACTTTATATAAAACCATACCTATTTAATTAAAGCTTTCAAACCCCACAAAACCACAAGAAAACCCATTCAAGGACAAGATTTTCTGTACCATAAATTCAATTGTCTCATAATAGTAATATCTGTAATAATTACTATTTCTATAACTTTGCAAAAAAAAAAAAAACATCCTCTTCAAAAAGAGAACAATCATCCAATCTTTTTGTTTTTCTTCATAGAGAAGGAGAGAGAAAAGCAAACCCACAAACTAAAAAAAAAAACCCTCCTTCATTTGTTGATGATCGATGATATCGTCGATATGATATGATATGATATGATATGAATTGAAAGCTTGGAAAAGTTCGATAGGAGAGAAAATAAATACTTGTACTAGTACATGTTTTGAAAAAGACTCAAACTTTCTCTATCTTCTGATTTTCTTCTTCTTTTGGTGGCTACCCTTCTATTTCAACCATTTTGACATTCATCTTATTTTCAAGTTTTCATCTTTCTCTCTCCTCCTTCCCAAAGGTATAAACTTTTGAAATAAGCTTCCATATTTTCTTCTTCAAATTCCATTTTTCCTCTGTTTTTTTTTTCTTATTTTCTCTCTAAATCTAGATTATTCGAAGAAGAAGCTAAGGCAAGCTAATTAATTACATGGAAGTGTAATTATTAATTAAGAAGTGGGCGTAAATTAATCATATAAGTAAATTTGCATGGCGTCAAGTCATAGGTTGGGAGAAACTGGTTTATCACAATCAGGCCCTTCATCAAATCATCACAACATTCCTTTTGCAATCCCTCATCATCATCACCATGCCGCCGCGATCAACCCTACAACAACCAATCCTTTCATGTAATTAATTACTTCTCCGTCCTATCATTAATATATCTACAGTCGTAAATTCTAATTACATTATCAACGTGTGAGATATATAGACAACTACACAAGTCCGAGTTTAATGACTAATGATATGTTTATGGTTGTATTTGTTTGACGTGACAAGTTTTTTTTGTTGTATTTGGAAAAAAAAAACACAGGAATCAAGGAGGATCCTCATTTGATTTTGGAGAGCTAGAACAAGCTATTGTTCTGCAAGGAGTTAAGATTGGAAATCATGAACAACCTAAACCATGTACTACATCTATCTACTCTACTTTTTCTAAAATTTTTATTTTCTGACGTTTAATAATATGATAAACTTAACCATTTGACCAACCAACCAACCAAAAATGGAAGAAAGAGAAAATAAAAGGAGGGAAGTTTGAAAGTGTCTTACAATAAATTTAAAGAAAGTGCATGTTATTTCTATTTACATTACATAAATCATTTTCTCAAGGATACAACAGAATGGCGTGGGGTTACTAACATGGAAATCATGACCTCTTCATATCTCTACACATCATTTCACTTTAACTGCATTATTTTTTGCTCCTTTTTTATAAATTCATTTTCCAAATTTTTTATTCTGAATAACGCTTGTCTTATAAAGGTTAAAACAGGAAGAACTTTTAGACACGCTATTTTTACCGGAGTAATTTATGAAAAAATTGGTTTTTTTTTTTATGATTTTGTGCAGCTTTATTTACAAATGGAAGCAGACCTGCTGCAACTCTGGAGATGTTCCCTTCTTGGCCAATGAGGTTTCAACAAACCACCAGAGTATGTACTATACTTCTACTTTCTCTCTCTTTAATTTTCTCTCTCTAAAACTTTTTTTTTACAAAAAAAAAAAAAAACTCTTTCTACAACCATCTCCTGTGTCTTCTGAAGTTTCCTTTATTTGAAGATATTTTCTTTTGTTTTTTATTCCTTTTACTTGTGTTTTTGGATAAACATTTTCAATTTTTAAAATGCTACCCATTTTTAAAATAAAAAATAATGTTTGGTAAAATTATTAATAGTAGTATTAATATTGTTATTAGCAGGGAAGTTGTACAAAGTCAGGAGGAGAAAGTACAGATGATTCAGGATCAGCAATTAACACCCTTTCATCAAGTCAAGCTGATACTAATTTAGAACAACCCGAATCTCCGATTAGCAAAAACCAGCAACAACAAAAACAACAGCAACAACAAGGTGGCAGTTTTCAGCAACCAGGAATGGCAAGTGATAGCTCCAGAACTGGAATATCCCAAAATCAAGCTGCTCAAAAACAACCTCAAGAAAAGGTTCTTTTTTTCATTCTTTGACCAACGCAATCTTCGTTATTGCTGTTGTCGTACTATTACTTGGTTTAAATTACACTATCAACATGACTATTAATTTCGAGTGAGACGTCCTAGAATAATAATGTTCTCTGCCTTTTTTTTTTTTTTTTTTTTTTCTTGTCCTTTTTTTTTTCTTGCTACTTAACCACTAAATACCATAAAGAAGGTGTTATCTTTATCTGGAATTTTCTAAATTTTCTTTTTTTTTTAAATCTTTCTGAATAAAGACAAAAGTTTCACAGATCCCAAAAACACTCATAAAATCAAAGGCAGGGTTTTAGTTGTTTTGCTGGATGATTTTCTGATCAAAATTTCTGACATAAAAACAGAAAAAGAGTGTTTTTCTTCATCTCGTCAAAAAAGCAAAAGATAGAATCTTCACAGTAATTCCACTATTTTCTAAGTATTATATTCTAATGGCTTTTATTTTTTTAATTTTTTTTTTTTATATATTCTAAGGTGTAGTGCTAGTACTACTTAGCTCTAATCCCTATAACTCAAAGTCCTAACCTTCTGTTTTGGACTTCATATTAAACCCAAATCAGAAAGCAACAAAAATAAAATAAAAAGATAAAAACTAGAAAAACCATCAAAAATTTTGTCATATTTATATTAAATGCATATCTTCCTACTCCAAACTGTGTAAACTTATTAAATGCATGTGATAAAACTTCACTATTTTTTCTTAAAAATATTCTGAAATTTGCTCATCTCAGCAACCATGTTTGCACAGCAAAATGAGGTTGACCCTTTTATCCCTCTAATCATTTTTATTCTTTCTTCAATTAAATCATGTCAATTTTTGTAAACAACTCTTGCCTATTGCATGAAAAATACATGCATTTCTCTTTCAAATTTGCTAAGTTTAACCACTTTCTATTTTTTCCTTTGTACAATAATTATAGGATAGAAAAATGGTTTACTTTTTTTTTTTTACCTTGTTTTTAACCTCAAATGTTTTTGCTTTTACTGTAGAGGCATGGTGGAACCAAATCAGATAAACCACTTGATGCTAAGGTAATACTTAAAGTTCATGTCTAAATCAACTAAACTCAAACTTCATTTTTTATTTTTGAGTTGAGCTAATTGTCTAAACAGTTACACAGTTACACTTTATTAAGAGTATATATTTACGACGTTTCAGCCACGTTGGTTACACTTTATTGATTTTCCTTGGTTTTCAGACGCTTAGGCGTTTGGCACAGAACAGAGAAGCAGCTAGAAAAAGTCGACTAAGAAAGAAGGTACAAATATTTTCTGCTCATTTTTTTTCAAACAAAATTCTAATTTTCAAGCACATAATTAATTAAAGTCTCATTTATGGTGTATATAGGCTTATGTACAGCAGCTAGAATCAAGTAGGATCAAGCTAGCACAGCTAGAGCAAGATCTTCAAAGAGCTAGAGCACAGGTCATACACTTTTTTTATTTTTTATTTTTTAATTTTCCACTTCATATTTTATTTAATATTATATTGTTTGATTTACAATTACAACTTAATGAAGTGGAATTCCATAACATTTTGGAGCATATTATAGTGTAGTATGTAAATTTATTTGTTTCTTTTTGAATTTTCAGGGTTTTTTCATGGGTGGAGGTGGTGGTGCACCTTCAAATATTAGCTCAGGTGAATTTTCATGCTTTTATGATTTTTTCCAAAATATTTATGATCATTTTTTTCTCCAAAATTTAATTTGATCATTACTTCAACATAGAAATGTGGTCTATAATTTAGGCACGGAAAAATTAAAGGGCAATAATACTAATTTGTTCTGGGCCACGGGGTAATGTGGCAATCCCTGATTGGTTTTGTAGCTTAGTTTAAGAATACCGAGGAAGATAGCATATATGTTGCTTCTTTAAGATAGACTTGTGAACTGAACAATAATGAATCAGAAAATGTCAAAACCACAGGAACATTGTTCAAAGAACAAATAATTTATAAATTGTTATTATACATTTCTTAAGATTTTTTGTGAATTTTATATAGTCGAGTCTTACTCGAGCTGGCAAATAATTTATTTAAATTGTTTGTGATTTTGACTTATAGATTAGATATGAAAAAACAAATGCTTGAACTACCGAATATCAGGCCAATTATTTAGAATAATGTCGACCATTTTGATTGTTATTTTTTTTTGTTATCAAAATGCAAGAGTTGAGTAATATGCCAAATTTATTCAAAAATGACCGACTGTATTATTTATATGCTACTTGCAAATACAAGCCATATATTTTGACAAGAATATTTTACTTAGATTTTTAGTTCATACTCATTATCCAAGGGGAACGTATCTAACAAGACACCGTAATTTTGGATTTTCTAAAGAGGAGACCAAATAATTTAGAAAATTTAATTAAATGGAGATTTAAAAACATGTAAAATATGCTCCATAGAAGTATTAGCTTATTTAAATTATTTCGGATTAATAAATTTTTCTTGGAGGGTCAATAATTTTGAGGGTTGTGGATGGTTTCTTGTTATTTAGTTCATACTCATTATCCAAGGGGAACGTATCTAACAAGACACCGTAATTTTGGATTTTCTAAAGAGGAGACCAAATAATTTAGAAAATTTAATTAAATGGAGATTTAAAAACATGTAAAATATGCTCCATAGAAGTATTAGCTTATTTAAATTATTTCGGATTAATAAATTTTTCTTGGAGGGTCAATAATTTTGAGGGTTGTGGATGGTTTCTTGTTATTTAGTGATTAAAATAAAAGAAGAAGAATTAATTGATTTACTCATTTACATTTGCAATTTTGTTGGTTTAGATTTTAACATTTTTATCACAATGCAAACTAGCAATAAATTAAAATCTTTTTAAAAAGTTGATGAAATTTAATACAATGTCATCTCCTAAGAGTGCTAAGATACATTAACGCTTATGTTGCAGTTGATGGTGTTGCAGGAGCAGCTATTTTCGATATGGAGTATGCAAGATGGCTGGAAGATGATCATAGGCACACTTCAGAACTCCGAGCTGCTCTACAGGCTCATTTATCAGATGGAGATCTTCGGATTATAGTAGATGGTTATATCAACCATTATGACGAAATCTTTCGCCTCAAGGGGGTGGCAGCCAAATCCGATATCTTTCACCTCATCACCGGAATGTGGACTACTCCTGCAGAACGTTGTTTCCTTTGGATGGGTGGATTTAGGCCATCAGAACTTATCAAGGTACGTACAAAAAATATAAATCAAAATTAAATCAAAATTCTTGGTAGCAGAAGAATAATATCAATGCTTATGATCATGTATAATATGTTGCATTGTACTAGGGTTCACATGCAAAGATTTTACTGTACTACGGAGTACTTTGTACTTGGAAAAATTATCCGGAATATCTCACCATTTATATGCTCTTGGCAAAGTGCCAAAGTGGCAACAAATTATTGTCGCGTTACCTAGAGGCATCTATGCTATGCTAAACTAACAAATCGCGTTCTACATACTGAGGGCTAGTGGTTATTGTTTAAGCACCACTTGATTATTATGCCTAGACAACACATCTGTGCTTAATTCTATCTTCAATTGATACTGGAGTTACTTTTCCGCGGATTTAGTCTAAAGTTTAGTGTCTTACTGAGGAAGATTATATCCTTGATTCCAGTTTCGAAAAGTCTCTTTAAGAAAAGCAGCCTAGCTAATGTCAAAATAAAAGCAACTTGTGAGGAAATAAGATCAAATAAAAGTGATGAAAATTGAGGCCTTTACCTGCTAAATGTTATCCAAAGAAGTGGTCCTAATTTTCTTGTTTTAACTAGTTAATGTGTCACTAATTCAATAATTTAAGTCATTAATCAACTCTTCAAAGCATGAGAATTGATAATTTCTTCTTTCTTGTTCTTGATCAATAACTTAATTGATTAAATCCTAATTGTTGATTGATGGTGAAAGCAATAAAGTGACAATTAAAATGTCTTTTAAGTCTAATGAAGAGAAGTTTGTGGCTTGTGTTACAGATGTTAACAGCACAATTAGACCCATTAACGGAGCAGCAGCTGATGGGAATATACAGTCTACAACACTCCTCGCAACAGGCGGAAGAGGCTCTCACCCAAGGCCTAGATCAACTTCAGCAATCTTTAGTTGACACCATCGCGACTAGTACTGTTACTGATGGTATGCATCAAATGGCTATTGCTTTGGGCAAACTTTCTAATCTTGAAGGGTTTATTCGCCAGGTAAATAATTAAGATTATCAATCGTTTTTTTAAGGCCAAATAATTCAAATGAAGCATACTTTGATACTTATCCTAAGTTTAAGTAAAACCAAGGCAACATTATTATACATGCATAATGCATAATTGCCTTAGTATGTTTGTTGAGTTTTCTTAGTATTACCACTAATCGTCTATCTGTCCTAACAAATTTTGGACTTTTTTAAATTGACAAGAACTGTGGATCAGGCTTTTCCCATTACAACAGTTCTTGACAAAAAAGTACATCTCTTCCAAATGACTTCTGAAAATGACAGATTTAGGTAGTACTTCTGGAAATACATTCATGCATGTTGTCATAATATTTTGCACCAGCACATAACATACTACCTTTGTCGAGATTTAATCAGTTGTCACACTATTAGTTCAAATACTATCAGAAGTGGGTTGAACAACGCTTACTAGAAAGTAACGAAACTGGGGGCTATTCATGCTGTTTTCTTAATTAATGATGTTATTAGTAAACTAAAGATCATGAAATTAGAGATTACTTCACCCGTATTACACCAAAATCAAGGGCTTTGTCTCATGTTTTGCGGCGTAACTCTGTGGATAGTACACCTGAAGGGCAAACGTGCACTTGACATTAAACTGACCTCACCTTTGATTTAACCTTGTAAATTGACTTTTAATACCCTGCAAAATAAAGTGATTAATTAATATTAATAAAATTTCATTCAGCCATCAGATCAAAGTTCCACATCATTCTATAATAGAGTCATTAATTAGGATTTGGTGCATGATTTTTATTCTTTTAATGTCATTATCAGAAGTTGATTTGAAAATGAAAACAACAAAATAATAATAAAAATTATAAAGAAGATTAAAGCCTCAACCATGCCTTGAAAAAACAAAAAATTCAACCCCTTCTCATCTACTACTCAAACTCTATGATTGGAAATGTCCAAATCTAAGACTTAAAAAACAACTTGATATGGGTCAACCTCTTTGACAATATGTTTGAAGACTATAAACATTTTGATCTCGAATTCGGGACCCCATTGATTAAGCTACTTAATGAGTGGTTAAGTTGTACCCTTCACTAATTGATATGATAAAGATATTGTCTTGAATTGCTTTTTGACAGATTTGTTGTGATGTACCTTAACTTTTTCCTGTTTGTTCCTTCTTCTCCTGGATTTTAGGCTGATAACTTAAGACAACAAACCCTTCATCAACTACACAGAATATTGACAATTCGACAAGCTGCTAGATGTTTTCTGGTTATCGGAGAGTACTATGGCCGGTTGCGTGCTCTAAGTTCCCTCTGGGCTTCACGTCCTAGAGAGTAAGTTTTTTGACTGGACAAAGTTACAATTTGAATTGGTATTAGTCAATAAAATTCTAGGTAGTATGATTATATGGACTTTTGGATGATTTACCCTCCTGACATTGAGTAACGTTTGATTCAGTTTGAAATCATAAATCATATGCTTCTCTATAAGACTAAATGCTAAACTTCTCGTTTTAAATTGTTACAAAAGTTTCGTGATCAACACATGCTTTTTTTTTTGAACTAAAATTATTTTTACTAACTGAAACATATATTTGCTTTAGTAATGATTTTTTGCTCTATGCAAGTACTTAACATAAAATATGAAAAATGATTTTTATAGATCAAAACAAAGTTTATATGTTTTCAAATAGTTAGGTTTTGTAATTATTTCATGATAGTTTCTTCAAGAGACAATTGTCTTTGTGAAAATGATCCCAAAGGTTTTGTAATTTAAGTTGCATTTTATTTTTCTAGTTTAATTAACTTGTCATTGTCTGATTATAATTCAAAAGGATTTATAACTTTTATTATTTAAAAAATGTAAATGAGATCACTCGAGAATCAACTTGTTTGAATGAAAGATAAATTGCTAAAATGGAATAACAATTATATCCAAGGATATTATAGCTAGTCACACATAACATCTTTATAAAATTATCAACCATAATTATATTATAATCACTTGACTTTTTTAACTAATAATCTTACTTTTAATGTTTTCAGACACATGATGAACAACGATAATTCATGTCAAACAGCCCCAGATATGCAGATGGTGCAACCTCATCAACATAACCACTTCTCGCCGTTTTAGAATGAAGGTGGCATCAAGTACATTCATGGTGGCTATCAAAATCTCTTCCTCCACTCAAGCATTCCAGCTTCTTTTAGGAATAGTTTTTTTTTTTTTTAATTATTAAATTCTATGTATACCATTAGGTCATCTTTCACTTGTAAATCAAAGGAAGCTTCTCCCTCGCCGCCCCTTGCCCCCTTCCCCATCCAAAGAGAAAAACAAAGCAACAATGTAAATGTGTAGGTGCGATTTGTAAATCATATTATATGAAATATAATTCGCGCTTTATCTTCTTCTTCGGCTTTTCCTTTTGTATTTATTGCGTATATTATATGAATGGATTAGAAGAGATGGTTAGGAAGGAGACATAATACACTAAATACAAAATTTGTTGCATTTTCCTAATAACAAGTGGTTGTAATATGCAATTATAAAAAAAATGGTTGAAAGGCCAATGTCCTATTAACACAACAACATAATGGATAGCAAAGGCTAAGTGTACAAAGTGGCTGGTTGTGAGAAGATGAAAAGGCGAGATGTTGCTTTGCTTTCTTTAAATTTTTAATAATATCGACCAAAAATTTATAACATAAGATTGATAAGAAGGATTAATATAAGAGAAACAAGGAGCACTTATATAGCATGCTTAAGAAAGTGGATTTGGTGTAGAAATACTAACCAAAAATATGTCGTCTTGTAAATGGATACGATTGGGATGTATATAGGTATGAAAAGTTCTAATTCGCGGTGCCTCTGTAAGTGGAGATAACAAAAGAAGAGAAGTGTATAGAATAAAAGATGATACAAGCTTAAGAAATGTAAAGCAACAAAAGTAGTAGACGTACACAAACACGAATATCAGATTAATGTCACCCAAAAAAAATAAAATATACATAGTAATTACTCCCTCTGTCCCTTAATTAGATTTCTACTTATCTCTAACAAGGGACGAAGGGAGTACCATTTTTCAGTTAGTTTTTGTGTTGACGTGCAGCTCCTTGCACGCCGGTGCTAGTACCCGATATCAGATCTGCAATTTCTGCCTTGATAAGCTGTTAGCACAACCGTGCCATTTGTTAAGCTCCAATTTTTGTGTAAAAAATACTACGTAAGTACATATGTTATATTATTTTATCTGTAATATGGGATTAATAAATATGTTTTCAAGTTAGCCAGCTTATCAGTTTCAAGTTACTGGAAACTGTAAGTAAATAACATAAATTAAGATCGTACAGAGGTACATAAGTAAATTGGTTCATTTAATTTCATAAATTAACCTTAAAGTTCTGATTTAGTATGAAAAAGGGTAATAGGCTATGTAGCAACAAAAAACACTTTTGACTAAACATCACTACCTAGTATGATCATTTTTCACTAAAAGATTAATAGATTCTTGAAAGACATGACATACAAAGTATTTCTTAGACATCTAATCCACACAAGTTCAAAACGATACGACTATCAAGTATCAAGAGTTATTTTTTATTTGTGTACCGCTACATTCTCTCTATCTAAAATCAATTGTTACATTACTAGTGTGACAAATTCAGACCAAGGTCGTACATGGTCAATGTCGAAGTCCGGCCACAAAATATGGGACTGGTTGATACTCCCTATCTTATAGAGTACTCGTACAAAACAATTACTTAATCATTACAATGCTCATTCATATGTAGCATGAACCATGTCAATAACTTTATTTTTTTTCTTTTCTTTTGGCTCAGGTGGCCGTACTTGGCAGGCAATTAATGATAATTGGTGCAATAATCTTGGAGATTAATGCAAAAATATGCACATAATCAAGCAAATGACTTCCCATCTGGCTAAAAGGCTAGATGGCTTTCTATCCTACCTAAAGGTTACCTTGGCATTATTATGTGTAATTTCATACAAAATTCATTTTATATATACAAAATATATAATATTTTTATACCTACTTGTCAGTTATTCATTTGTTAGCAGAACTGAAGCATCAAATTAAAGTGTACATCTATAATGTGCAATACAATATTGTCACTAGTTAATTCTGTTAATGAGGAAAAAATTAGGTGCACAAAGGAAAAGCAATATCATCAATGAATGAGCGCCTACAATCGACAAAGCTAGGGAGTGGTATCAAGGTGCAAGACATAACCTTATGACAGTGGGAGCGTTCCATGAACTTTGTAGTCCTTTGGCAATGTCCATGCATACTCCATGCAGTTCGTTTGGATGGTTGGTGCAAGACTGATGCTCGTTTTGAAAGATCGATTAGACAACCAAAGCTCGCTAGTCTGTTTTATTGAACTGAAAGTAATTTTATTGATTAAAATGATTTAAATATTTTTTATTGATTAGAACCAAATTTCATCGAATCCAAGGTATTTATATTATAAGTCATTACTTATCTCATAATTCTCATTATATTCCAAAGTAGAAGGGGAAAGGGTCAAAGACAATGTGTTAACTAGAGATGACAAAAAATTTGCAAAGTTGTAACTCGAGATTACACTATTGAAATACAGACATCTGAGAGTAATCAATAAGTTAAAAGTAATAAGTTCAACCAACTTTTTGGCTTGTAATGATAGGTTAGTGCTGTTATACAGCCGTTAATTTGGATTCTAACTGCAGATTTGTTACTGCTCATATATAAGAACTCCTTTCCAGGATTCAAGTTGCAAAATCTCATCCTTCATTGTAACATGACAGAATCCACAAGCACCATAACAAACAGGAAACAACATAGTTTATAATGGTGGCCAACTAAATAATTACTACTAGTATTTCACATACTCCCTCTGTTGTTCCGTCCCATTTTAATCTTTCACTTAAGGTCATTTGAAATCTTGATCAACGTGAATAAAAATATCGAGGTAGGATTGAGAGGAAAAAAAAAAAAAAAGTACAGTAGATACTTACATAGTGTTAAAATTGTGAAAGAAAAAGGGTTAATGCGATTGAGAAAGACAAAAGAAAGCAAAGGTAATAAATGAAAGTGTTAAAATTGTGAAAAAAAAGGGTTAATGCGAGAAAAATGATACTCCTAGAGAAAGATTGGAGTGCAAATTCAAAAGAAATACTAGTTGGGTTTCTTTTTAATACATGAAGAAAGACCATTTAAATTGGCACAAGAGAGTCAAAATAAAAATAAAAAAAACCGAAAAATATATACTTCGATATGATTTAGTTCTTAAGCTGGACACTTGAATCAGTATTGATTCACTTAAATTTATAAATCCAACTAATTTTGAAGAAAATTGATGATGCACATACAGTCGAAATACTATAAAGTACAACACTACACCAGCTTATAACCAAATCTTTTTAAAAGAATAGAGATCTTCCTCCAGGAAAATAATCAAATATAAAAGTTCCTACTTATTAAAGGGATCTCGGGTTAATACTCTGATTATCGTCATAATTATTCTTATCCACACCACTAAACACTGATTAGCTAATCAAATCTAAATAAGCTTCAAAATTAAAATATACAAGTGCACCTTCCCTTCTGGCCTTTACACTTTTGGTTCCATTATGAGTAGCATGGATTGGATATTGTAATATGAAATTTTAAAATTATAATTGTCATTGCCAAAGTGTATGCTTTTGCTAATTGTATTCATTAGAAAATGGCATTATCCTTCTTAAATCTAGTGCATTAAGATACTTTATAAATTAGGTTTTGCTTATCAAAGTATTAGTGTATGGCTTCTTTTAAAAGAAGGTATTTACAAGATATAAATAGTATGTTAAAAAAAGGATGATGCATATAACTAAGTTATCAATTTGACACTTGTAGGCAAATGACATGTTTGAATCTTATTATATCGGGTCAAATTAGCTTGGTCATACTTGGGTGATGAGTCATTAAGTTTTAACTTTCAACGTGGTCATACTAGGGTGATCAGTCATTAGGTTCAACTAATAGTCATGATTGAGATTGTCATCAATAAGTCTATCCAGACCAAACTACAAAAAACTGTGCATTTAGAGACTGGAATTACTTACTGTTAAACTATCAGTAGGAAATACATAAATTTTTATACATACAAAAGCCGACCTTAAATAACAACCACTTTGGTTTGGATCTAGGTATGTTTTTTAAGTACGACTGGTTTGTACTTAGTTGCGTCTTCTTATGAAGGTAAAAATACTTCGTATTAATTTAAAGGATGAAATACTTCGTATTAATTTAAAAGATGAAAACTCAATAATAACGAACCCAAGTTGAGCGCACATAGAAAACCAACCACTGAATTGATAAAACAGAAGCATGTCTTCTCATAGTAGGGAAAGGTCAATAGCAAAAGCAAGTCAACTTGGTAATCCAACAGAAAATTAGGTCAGACAAACAATTTGTTGATGGTTAATAGTTGGCTTTAGTTGACAAACAAAATAGATAAACACCAAAAATATGGATTAAAGAAACAAATTATTATAACAAGCTAACTCATCTTGGCATCGACTACCTTGATGGCTAAAGCTCACCTGATCTTTGTACTAAATATTAGTGTTATTTTTGAACTGTTTTTTTTTTTTCAAAGTATGGATAGTGTTGATTTGTTCTACAATTACAGCATAAATTCTTGATAAAGTTTCAAATCTCTATTACCATTATTACACGCAATTCTTTACGTAATAATAATCCTCCAAATCACTTTCACTTTTTAAATACTAATTTGTAAAATGTACTCGTGCTAATAAACGGGATATGCTTATCTAAAAAATATAATTTAGTAAGTTATTAGGGATCTTATATTATACACCCAAAGCAATAAATGAATACATTAACCAAAAAATGAATTATTTGGTACTCCCTCCCCACCTAAAGTTATCCCAAAATACAATTTACTAGTGCTAATAAATTGATGAGATGTATAGCAAGTTAGTTTCATTTGAAAATTATTTTGTAGTACCCAAGATCTCCTGATTTCACTTGGATTAGAACTGTTTTTCTCTAATTATTTACTCTTTTATTTTATTAATCACATTAATAGGGTTTGCACAACATAGGGTGGAGACCAAAGTAAGAGTTTTATAATGAAAAAATATAGTTAATATTTGATTCTTATGAGAGAATAAATATTATTATAGTAGGAAGTCTATACCATAAAAAGAAGTGTTTCAATTAATTATAAATGGATGAAAAGAAGAGAATTCTTGCTATTAATTAGAAACATAGGAAGCTTTATAGATAAAATTAAGGAAAAATTGTAAATAACCACCCCTCAAAACACCAAAGTTTGATTTTTTTTCTAAAATTAATATTACTCAAAAGCTAGCCCTTGTTAATATTACATCAAAGAGTTAACTAGCAATCAAAATTACAAGTTGGTCAAACAAGACAAGTGAATCAACTAAGCTTAAAATGAGTAGTGAAGTTAAATCAAAATCCCAAACTTAAAATTATGTTTTTATTTTGGCAAAATCAATTCTACTATGATTCACAGGCTATAGCACAATGGATGAGTCAAATGACCCATTTTTAACATAAGAACCATACATTATGACTCATAACAAAAAAAAATGTCAATAATAAGGGCAAGTAGAAGATCGGAAGTGCTAGCACAAAGCAAATGCTGTTGTTAATATGGTGACATTGATCAATGATAATAAGTGGCAGAAATGCAGCGAGAGAGTTCACTAAATCTACATACATTAAATTGAATAAGATCATGTACCTGATCCTTGCAAGCAGATTTATTGTGATGCAGCCGTGCTGAAGGTAATCTCTCAAATAGCACCCAAACAATAAGCTGAAAAAGAGTCACAGAATCAAATCTTCGTAGAAGTTCAGGTATTCAAAATAGTTTACACAAATGGTGCAGTAAAAGTTCAGATAGAGGGCTCACCATGGAAGAACGATCTGTATGACACAATCTGAGACACAGTACTGGAGACTTCGACAAAGAACAAGTAGCTAATCACTTCCTGGGTTAAGATATAAAGCAAAGGATACAAATACAAGACAAAATTCAATAATTTTCCAAAAAAAAAAAAAAGAGATTATTCCGAAAGCTCATTTCATCAAGAAATTCATGTTTTGAAAGCATCTGACAAGATGGTGAAATAAGAACTTCATTTTCAACCAGGAATATGCTTCACAACACGGAAACTGAAAATCATGAAATACCGAAAATCATTAAGTGTGCAATACGATAAATTGACAGTACATAAGATGATAACATATAAATAAATATATTTCACTAAATTAATAAGCAGGAAAAGCAGGATTATAGATCATTAGACGGAATAAAAAGTAATTCCCTCATATTTCTTCTCTTGCCATAAGAACCCTTCATTTCAGAAGGCAGAGGAAGACGTGCTGTGACAGGGTAAGATACAATAGCAAGAAAGTACACAGGATATTAGACATCAGTATCAATCCAAAACCTAACACCAACCTTTGCAAAAATGCAATTAGATTCAATTAGAAAACAATTATTTACAGCTTTCTCAATTGAGACCAAGTGAAGAAACAATTCAATATGCTAAGCAATGTTCTAGCCAAAATGTACACATATATACAAAGCACGATATTAATTGCTGAAATCCTCACATCACAACCATATTTAGGTCGTCCATAGGTATTTCTAAACCAATGGAGTCATAATCTTGCAATCCAGTCAGCCAATTGCTAAAATCCTCAGGTGCATTTGGATCATTAGGAATATCAAGTTGTTCAATGGATTCAAAATCAATATGCTCCTCTGATTCCTGACAAGCATCTTCTGGAGCATTCCCAGATAGTCCCAATTCCCTGCCCCTCTTGTTTTCAGTATTTTTCCACTGTTCTAAACTCGATGTTGGCTTCATAGAGGAGGTTAAGTTCTTGGGTTTTGTTTTTGGTTTTTGATCAGTGCTGAAGCTTACCACAGATTGGTTTTCACCCGCAGCAGTAGCCATCAGAACACCTCTACTGTGATCTCTGTCTCTCTCACTTCTCTTTGCTTTTGCTCCTCCAATAACAGAGCTACCAAAAGCTATTGCACCCCTAGAGGTACCACCAACATCATCAAGGAGTAGCTCCCTCTTTTTTCCCTTGTGTGATAATGATTCAAGTTCAGGAAAACTGCGTACAGAAGAGCGGCCAGCAGCTTTCAGAGAGTCAATATAACCTCTCCCAAAATCATCAGTGCAAGAGTCCAGCACACTAAATGAGTTAAATTCTGGACATGTGACAGCGAAAAAAGGTATTGATTAGAGAAAACGACAGAACTAACAGATTGCAAGTAAGGATAATGCCTGCTGCTCTTAATGGTCAATGTAGAGTAATTAGCAATATGTATGGGAAACAATTAAAAGTCAAATTGGGTCTTAAAGCAAGGTAGTGATTGTAAGAGGGGAAAACAAATTCTTAAAAGGTAGTTTTTTTTCAATAAATAGAGACATGTATGATATTAACAAGTCTTCCTAAAATTATAAATGGCATACCAGCTTTTGCAGAATCCACACGGCATTTAGGAGCTCCATGGCCTGTATAATAATCAGTTGCAATGCTGGAACCAGCATCATTGGTGTGAGGTGCTGCAAAGAGAACATTCTGCAAAGCAGGGTCACTAAAACAACTACGGCCAGTGAGCTCAAATTTTTTACACCTTACAAGAGTTCGTTCTATGAAACCCATTGCAACTTGCTTTGACACTTTGCGCATTACAGTTTTGGAAGCATTATTTCTTCGACAAGCCTACAGAAATAAAAACAAGTTAAACTTCTTACTTTTGAGCAGCTAAACCAAATAACTCGATCAGTAGTAATACTGTCAAGTTCCAAGAAACATATATAAACGGCAAAGTTTCCTATCATTCTCATCACTAATGGGTCTTAATCCATACTATTCTATCCTGAAAGCTGTACAGACAAGATTTATAGACTTTGCAACTTAGATGTGATCATTACGATCTCCATATCTGCAGATAGTGCAATGATTACTTACTGAAGACAGCGGAAGTAATACTTGACTTGTCATAAGCATTGTGTTTGCAAATATTCATACTACGTAATTTGTGGCTTCCAGCTTTACAGACTCAAAAGCTTGCTTAAGAGCAGTGAGGAAGAAAAAAGGATCATAAGGGAAAAAAATATATATATAGTATATATCCCACTAAGAAGTCATTCTGGTCCAGCCACCCCCCCCCCCCACCCCCACCCTTTCTCCTTTTCTCTTAAAACCCTTCCTGCTTTTAAAAAAAGCAAAAAGAAATAAAGGTGGACATCATGGCTTGTGATTTAAGTACATTCAACTCTAACAGTGACCGAGGTTAAAGGAGAAAATTACCATTCGCCTTTTGTAAGCCATCTGAATAAGTTGTTCCATGGCAACCTGCTCAATGAACCTGCAAAGCATAAAAGTCAAATGAAAGGAAGAGTGTAAGGAAAGGAAGGGAATGGACTAAAGCTATACTAAGCATTGGTTTCCATACCGTTTCTCCCTTTCTCTATCATCTTCAACAGCCTTATCAATCTTAACCAAGTTGTTCTTCTTTTTCCCAATCTGCAATACAGCACACATGAGGACAATAGAGACCAGGGAAGGAAGGCAGAAAAGACGGCTGAACTTTGCAGTTGAACCAACTTTTTTCAATTCCAACACCATGAAACTAGTTTTTCCAGAATTATATCAGACTTTTTTTAGTTTTAAACTCTCCAAATTCTTCTAAACTTTACTTACGGACTTTGCAGTTGAGTCATTTTTTTTTCTAGATTTCTTTAATTACAAAAGATGACAACAATTCTAATAACTATTACTACTCACTGCATAATAAAAAAAAAGAAAAAAAAAAACACTAGTACTAAAAATATTCGTACTGCTTCTATTAAGCAGTACTGACATGTATAATGACTTCATAATGCAAAATGAAAATGTAACATAACACAATATTATTTCAACTTCTTCCATTTAACTCACAAATCTAGATTATCCGTACACATGACTGAATACCAGCTACCAACCTTGAGATGCTATTCGAACACGTACTACTTGCATTCATCAATAGTTGCAGCAAGCCAGCAACAATGAAAACAATAATAGTAAACGTAATAGTAGTATTTGACATAGTAAACGGTGCTCCGTAGAAAAATTTATTTACTTAGAGATTAAAAAGTTTTTCAATATTAGTACTTAGCCTCTCTGTAAAAAGAATTTTTTTTCGAAAAGACCAAGCCCTAAATACGAAATTACAACAATAGACAGGCTCAGAATCCTTGACACAAATCCATGAACGGCCAAATTTATACATAAACAATGCATTAGTCGTTTCTACCAAGTGACTCAAAATATATATATATATATATATACACACACACACACACACACACACACACATATGTAGCCAAATAAAAGATAAATTACTGCAATCCTACCTGCTCACAAAGCCCCTCATTAAGTTCAGTAATATCTCGGTCAATCACTTCTCCATCGGCCAGATCAGGCTGTAACGGATGATAAAAGTAAGAGCAGATACTAACGCAATAGAATGAATCATATATGATATTAACTCTAACTAATACACTACCATTGCATCAAGGTACAATCCAATGCTCTGCAGCTCCAACATTAGTTTATCATCAACACACATCAGCTGATATTGGGGATCAAGAAAAGTTGCAGAAGCAGTCATATCTGAAGGTTGTGACCCACTAACATCATTATGCCAATTTCCACTAACAAACTCCGCATCTGAATGAGAGAAACCATCATCTCCCAACCACCTTCCACTGCTATACAAAGAATCAGACATACTTCCATTCCTCGTTGTATTAGATGTGACACTCTTATTACATGAAATTCTGTCTCCAGAGCAACGTTTCTGAATCTGAAAATCAACCATTGACTCAGCCTCAGAGTCAAATCTGTCTCTGTCTCTGTCTCTAATGTCAGCATCAACATAATTACATGAGCCACAATGAGAATCGTCACTTGCACACTGTAATGACATACTCACTCCTTCATTTCCATTGTAAATTCCCTCACTATCATCTTCTTCAATTAAAGCAGACAGAACTCTTTGGTACAAGGAAGAAAACTTATCCGACCTCTTTTCCCCAAATAATTCTCCAGATAAAGATTCATCCTTGTCAACAATTTGATTGGAATCACAGACTTTATTACCAGAAGAAACATCGGCCTTTTCTTTGCGCATAAAAACACCCTGCCAGAATTAATAGCATCATTAATGAATAGATAATAAATACACAAAAAATTTAATAAGGTAAAACCTGATTGTTATATACCATAATATTGTATTGAGCACCCGGAATCACAGATAAGCTGTCCGGTAGCTCCTCTGCAAGGCTCAACTACAAAGTGTAGCAATAATTTAGGATTAGCAAACCCTCTGATGATAGATGTGGTATAGCCTAATAAATATGTAACGCATAACCTATATATATGTAAAGGCTTGTCGACTTCTATTACCTGTTGTTTAATGTATCTCACATCTTGTGAACTAGCAGTTCCAAAAATAGGTTCCATTTTCTTCCAGAACCGCCCAGAACAACAGATATCTGCAAAAGGACAAGTAGTAAGGCAATTGTCTTAATTACTTGAACATAAAATTTATATAGTTCATGAAAACAAAAATTTGAAACTTGATATATAAAAATAAAAAAAAATAAAAAAAGGTTAAACAGATAAAGGGAGATTGATATATACGGCTAGCCTTGCGAGCAGCAGCGGCGGCAAGCAACAATTCTTCACGGTCATCATTGGCTTCAACTGCTGGGGAGAAAGAAGGGCGAATGTGAGAAGCCATAGAGAAAAACAGAATTTTCAGCAGAAACCAGATATAGTACTTTTGTTTCAATAAATTTCAGACTTGGATAGATGGTTAGACTTCTAAATAAATAAGAACACTTACACCAACTGAAACCTAGCAAACTTCAGCGCCGCTTACCCCCCTCCCCCCTCTCCCAAAAAATGAGATATTTGCAAATCAATGCAAATCAATAAGTTTTTCGGCCAAATTCAATGTCAATACAAGATGCAGGTTAAATTAAGAAATATGGCGATACGAAGATGATCTGTAAAGATCAAAATAGATAATACACAATAAATGCCCTCCGTATAGTAGTTTGTCAGACAAAAGTACAGATAGATAGGCAATGCAAAAATGAATCAAGGATGAAGTTCCAAGAAACATCATAACAACAAAGAAAAGGTTCGCGAATTATTACATATATTTTCACAGACAACCCACAAGAGGGAAAAACGAAAAAGGCCCTAGTTCTAAGAAACATTCTCCTCGAGCCATTCAATATGTCATCATTATCCATCACACCATTTCAACAAGAACTGCTTCGGCAAGGATGATCCGGAGAAATGTATCCATTAAAAAATTGAAGAACCTCTACAGTTGGAAATCTAACTGACTCTTCACTTGAAAGTTGGGACAGTAAGAAATGAGGTACTACAGCTTACTTTATTCATCACTAATATTATATATTGCCTACATTTCATAATTTATACTTCATAGCATACATATTTCTTGGGCAATATAACTTTATGCATACTAGTAAAAACTACCAAAAAAAAAACAAAAAAAAAAAAAAAAAAAAAAAAAAAAGAAGCTAAAGAAGCAGTCTTATACTTCCTCTGTTTTTTTAATTGACACCTTTCTATTATCCTGCTAGCCAACGCATGTTTTAACCGCTTAATAACTTCAATTATCAACGTTGTAAAATTATAAAAAGTGGATATTAATAAGATCCCACATGATTATATTTTATCATATCTATAAATCAGAAAAGCGATTCAAAGTGTAGTGTGTGAATAGTGTAAAAGTCAAACGGTGTCAACTTAAAAAAACGGAGGAAGTATACAACAATAGTTTTTTTTTTTTTACAATGGGCATAGTCACCTCAAATTTGATAAATGCCACCCTCAATCCACATAAAAGTCTCTAAAATAAAGTGTGCCTTATTATATGAAATGGAGGAAATAATGCTATACATAAACAGGCTTGTTTTTGTCATCCCAATTGCACTGCACGTTATCTAAATCCAAAGCAGTCTATACACAATTGAAAAGTACAAGCAAAGGAAAAGAGGTCATAATCTTACAATTACGAGCGAAAGCCCTCCCATCAGACATCTTTTTTGAAGGTGGGCGTCCTGATTTACTGCATAAAATAATCAAACAGCTCACAAGCTCAGTGACTAAACATTGCCAAAAAAAAATGAACCAGCCTTATCCTCAACACAGAAATTACCAACCTTTTTATTTTCTCTGAACCCGGCCTTGTACTTTGGATACGCTTTGCTGTTGACACATTCTCCAGCTTTGGTTCAGGCGGTGAGAGTCCAGGGCTAGACAAGGACAAACCCCTCACTGTCCTACCTTGCCTCCGCATGCCATCACCAACATTTTCAATGGGAACATTTTTATTCCTCTTGGTAGGAAAGATAAAAGAACGCATTTTACCCTTTCCAGTTAGCACAACATCACTACAATCTGTTCCTTTCTCTTCCAATTTGAGTTCCAAGTCTTTCGAATCTTCACCTTCAGAGATGAGACCAGGAGATGGCATACTCTCAACCTTAATTTTACTTTTCAAATTATTGTTATGAGAATCAACAGATTCTAAACATCCAACGCTACCGTTCTGAGAAAACTTGGCCCCAATAACAGGAGATAATTTTACTGTAGAGATTTGACCTTCATCATTATTAGAAACAGGTGAAACCACATTTGTTCTTCTGCTACGGGAACTTTTTTGTTGTCTCTGACCAACCCATTGACCAAGCATATAAGATGAACTGGCAGCCCGGTGACTATTCTGCATCAAATCAAGTGAGATCACCTTGTTGGTACTAGTAGGCTGTTCCCACCCTTCACAACCTTCTGAGGAAGCTTGAACATCAGAAGATGAGTTTACCGCCATGACTGAACCAGTTCGTGGAGCCCTAGATATCTTTCCTTTTATAACTGCTGCAGGAGTGCCAGTTGAGGTGCCTTGCTTAGCATTTGATCTGCCACTCAATCTAGTAAGAATTTGTAAATGAATCTAAATTAAGAACTGATAACAAGTGATAGAAAAATAAATGACCAGTATTAATGTTTGTAAGTTGCTCCTGATATCCTATGAAATGAAAGTGTATCAAGGAGCAGTAGCTTGTTCAACTGCACATACAATACAAGCATGTAGTAACTATTCAGACAGCAACTTCTAGATTTAACAGACAGTGTCAGCAATGTTTCACTCACAGGCTCACAGCTCATCTTCTGAAGGAGAATCTTCTCAGGATGTATGTATGCAAGAGTACACAATGTAATCCGAAAGCCTATCAGCCAAAATGACCTTAAAACAATATTATAAAAGAACAAGTACCTTAGAGAGTTGTCATATGTAGCCAATTTAGAATCAGTACAGGGCTCTGAATTCACTGTTCTTTTGATGTCATTATCCGCAGATCTGTTGGACACTGTCCCAACAGAACGTTTCCGCTTCATCATATTTTTGTCCCAGCAATCCCCCACAGCAGAGAGTCTCAGCGTCCTTTCTTCGGGAATAGAAGTACCGTTTGCAGTTTTAATGATATTTATGTTCTCAGTAATCATTTGATCCTTCGACAAAGAGCCAGATTTATTGTCAACCTACAAAATTTTTACAGTCATTGCTTAAAGGACATCATGTAATACATTTATAAAATATCAATAAAGCTTTAGATCATTTGAGGACGCTGTAAGCTTATTACTCCGTAGCAATCAATCAAAAGCCTTAATCCCATTAGCTTATTACTCCATATGTGAACTTAAAAAGAAAAATGTAGAAAATATACTGTAGCAATACACTTTTAACTGCAATGTGGCCAATCTGATAGAAAAGATATGATAGAACCTTCCAGAGCAGAGTGTCTATCAGCATTTTATTTTATTTTTTTGCAAAAGAGTGTCTATCAGCATTTCTTTAGGGGAGATGGTGTGTAATTAGCACCTATGGAAAAATATCCGTGGGGCTCATCCTAGAATAACTTACAATGCAAAAAAAAAATGAATGATATACTTGTATCTATATTATTTTTTAGGGGGTTCCACCCCCTTACACACACACACACCAACATAAAACTAAAGAAAAAAAATAGAGCTCTTTGTGATTTCTTCCTCTTAAATAAGCAAAGAAAGGAAGAGATAAAGAGATTCAAAGTAAATTGCAGATACCCACCCTAAGCTCTGTGGCAGATGTGCGAAAACGTTTATTCATCCCAGAAGACTTGGCCCTGTCCTCTAATCTTTGAGCTGATTGGTCAGCAAGATTACGAGGCTGGCCTGCCATCTTCAATAAGCTTGATCCACTTGGCTTGTCATTAGACAAAAACTCAGCCCGTTGCCTCTTCTTCGAGACCATGGTGTCTCTATAATATTTTTCTAATTTATTGAGTGAATCACAGAACATTTCAGCCCTTGCCCTGGTAAGAAAACATCGAATGTAATGTAATAGAACTTATAAACTACTTGACAGCTAAAACAATGAACCTTGAAAGTTAAAACATGTGTTTATCAAAGAAAGTAACACAAGCACATAAATCATAAACAAGTTATAACAATAGAGCAGGACATAATCTCACTGATAGGGATATCAAAGACAATTAGGCTTTTGCTGATTTCTTAGTATTGATTATATGCTAGTAACTGGCTAACTTCAAACATATTCAGCAAAACTCAAAACTCAAATCTACACTAGACTAACCTGGCCTTTATAGAGGCATTTAAAACACTCTCTCGGATTTGCTTCAACTCTTCAGTGGCCACGGGTGGGGAAGGTCTAAAATTGGAAGCTCTAACTGGAAGATCTTCAGATGTACTTCCAAGAGAAACCCCAAGTGCCCTCCTCAATTCTCCTGAACGTGTATACTTCCGAGTGCCAAAAGAAATGTGTTCCAGAGATAAACATTGGTGTAAAGAGGGTACATCGGGTGATGCCATGGCACCACCCCGGCTAACAGAAACAGACATTACACCATCAGCGCCCATGTACAGTTCAAGTTGCTACTATATACGGCACTATTGCCTGTAAGCTGCCAACAATGTTGCCGAAAGATTTACTATCATGAGAAACAACTATAGAAAGCCTTATCACTCATATCATTCATGCTTTACAACTCCTGCAGGTGTATGCCCATATACGTGCATAGACTAAGTATACTAGTTTTAACCTTTAATCATAAGCAATTATGCACATCACAAATGGATTAGTGAGTTCGAATTAAGTTTGCCAAGGATGTATCTTGTATAAGATATGAATTTAGAAATAGCTTATGCAAAATCAAATCCCTCGTCGTCTTCAGCGACTATGATGCATCATGATCTGAAGGTGGCCTAGTAGCCATTCAAAAAAGGATCCAATAAACACTTGATAAAACTACTCCCTCATTAATCCATACACAATGCAATGCAGTGAGTCCTCCCGCAAAACAGCTAACAAACAAGGTACATTTGCAATTAACAATACATTAGCAACCCAATTTGACTCAATTATCAAATTATACTCCAAAATTCACATAAACTTCTTCTTGCATAAGAATATCAACTTAAATTGCACATAGCAAAATTCTAGTACCAACAAAATCGATCGTTATAATCTTAACTCAGTAATTATTACCAAAAGTTCAATAAACAATTCACCTTAGAAGAACCCTATATTGAACATACTGAAAATTCAATCAACGACAAAACCCTAGATTGTGAAATTGAAATTGATATTCGGTGATTTCGAAAAATAAAAAAGAAAACATCTTACCTCAGAAGCTGCTTCAATGGAGGAGAGAAAGATCACGAGCTGCTTCAATGGAGAATTCAGAAGATTACGCGCTTCAATGGAGAATTCGGTGTACGCGCTTCAATGGAGGAGAGAGAAAGAGGGAGATAGAAGTGAAAAGCTCCAAAAAAAACGTAGGAGAAAGATTAATGACACGCCTATACGATGTCAACCGTTAGATCTATACAACTATAACGATCAATCGACCATAATTCATTTCATTTAAGTTTTGTACTCTATTTAGACAAATCAAATCAAAATTCTTATAACTTCTGTTTCATATCATTTACAACGATTTAACATAAAGTATTTCGTATTATTTGAAACAAAGGTAGTATTTAAGATGTAATCAAAAATTGGGTAATGTTATATGCCTTTATGTAGCAAGAATACGGGAATATATAGTAGCATTAAATACACTTTTCAAAATTGTATAAAATTAGGAATTTATGACAAAAACATGCGTAATCAGTACTATAATTATTGTTTATATTCTAATGATATATTAACTTTTAATGATTTTTTAGTATGTATTTAATGCTTATATGTAGCCCTAAGGGCTAGCGCTACATATAACATTTTCCATAAAAAATTTGTTGGACTAGACTTATTTGGTTGACATAAAAAATTTAAGGGAAGAATTTTTTTATTTTTTTTTTATGGGAAATTCCCATTGATACACTCCAGGTATTGACTTTTCTCAGCGGTACCACATTTTTTTTTTTGACTTCCTGCTGATACACTTGAGGTTTTGACTTTATAATTGACGTGATTAAGTCTGTTAATAAGACGTTAATAACTTATTTTATTCACATTTTAGGCTTAGTAATAGATGAAATGACTAATATACCCCCATTTTTTTAATCATTTCCCTCCAAAATTTCCCCCTTAATGTTGCTGTTATTTCCCTCCAACTTCCCAACCCTTATTCTCTCCATATAAAACCCCACTTTCCCTCTTCTATTCTCCATAAAATTTCCCCTCCATTTTTTCGAGCTCACCTCTTCTTCTTTTCTTTTTATTTCTGTTGGTCCCTGCTGTTCTGACATGGCTGGTTCTGCAGGCAGTGGTTCCTCTTCTGGCAACAGATTTGGGAGGTCCATGTGGGTGAGACGAATTCAATGCAATTGTTATCCACCAAGACTTGCTGGTATTAGGGTGTCTGACTCAATTTCGAATCCAGGGAGGTCATATTACAAGTGCAGGCATTGTGGTTTGTTCATGTGGGTTCCTGAAGATCAAATTATAGCCAATCATGAAGAATCATCCAATTTGAGAGTATTAAGAGAGGAATTTATTGATTTCACAGACAAAGCATATGAGTTTGCAAGCTATGTTTATATGGTTGTTAGAATTGCTCTTGTGATGTATCTTATTTTACTGTTTGTAACCCTGAAATGAGCATTGTGTATTTAGTTGTCATGTACTTCAGAGACTAAGTGTACTAGGAACAAATTATAAAAGTAAGGTTGTATTTTCTTGGTTTTGAATGAAAATGGAAAAATAATTTGCATTTTGATTGAGTAAGGTTGTATTTTCTTGGTTTTGAATGAATCAATCATTGAGATCAACTAAAATTAACAAGCTGAACAAAATGGCATCAGTTGCCAACATTCATTAAAGTCTGGAAAATCATTCAAAATGTGGCCACCATTCTTAATATAGACAAAATGGCATAATTCTTCAACATTACCATGTAAGTTCAGCAAAAAAATTCAAAACATATTCTTGTGGGGGTTGATCTGTTTCAATTTGAGGGGGTTGTTCATTTGAGGGTGCAGTATCAGAAGGTTGATCAATATGGGGTGGTTCAGATTGGGAAGGTGCAGCAAAAGGTTGTGCAGATTTGGACTTGTTCCTTAGCCTATTGGTCATTCTATTCAAGGCACTTGGTTTCTTAGCAAAAACCTACCAAATGTGATAAATCTCACACTCACCTAGGGTGTGAATCATCTTAAAAAGATCAGCATCATCTAGTAAAGGGTGATTCTTTTCATTGAAACCATAACCAAATGATGGGTTGGCTATAGGAAACTCAGAGTCTACTGCAGCAGTGTCCTCAAAATCCATAACCAAATCAAGCAAATTACATCTATCTAAGTCAACAACAAGATCAACATGCTTATCAAAGTAATAAAACCTTAACACAACATCACCCATTCTGCAAAAGAAGGTAAACAATATACACACTTACAACATGCATATAAATTCAAAATCATATCCAACAATCCACAACATTCAAATAATTTCCAAATCAGGTATCCAATTACCTATAACATGCACATAAATCCCAATTCAGGTATCCAACAATCAATCAAATAAGCAAATACATTCCAATTCAAGTAAATCAATGAAACAACATCATGCCATTTCATCCAAATTAAATACATACTCTACATAAATAATTGAACACACATAATCACGCACCTAATATACCTGAAAAAAAACCCTAAAATCGCACAAATATACAACATTTACATCATGAATTTAACTTAAAATCGCAAAGAAAAAAGAACATCACAACTGCACCAAATCATGCAAAAATGAACAGTAGTAGTGCTAAAGTACCTGAATTGTGCTAGATTATCCTCTAATGATTTTGTAGACCAAAAAGATCAGCGCAATTCCCTTGCAAAACCCTTGGACTTCGTCGTGAATGATGCAGTGAGCAGAGGAGAGAGAGATGAAATTTGAACAAGGAGTTTGTTTTGTGTCAAATCGACATAAATGGAAGGGGAAGGGGTTTAATTATGGGTGATGGAGGGAAGGATTAAAAGGGGGCATTTTAGTCTTTTCACCTAATCTCAGCTTTTAACCTAGAATTACTAAGTTATTAACGTCTTATTAACAGACTTAATCACGTCAATTATAAAGTCAAAACCTCAAGTGTATCAGCAGGAAGTAAAAAAAAAATGCGGTACCGCTGAGAAAAGTCAATACCTGGAGTGTATCAATGGGAATTTCCCTTTTTTATTAACTTCATGGAAATTAGCCCAAACCCGTTTTAACCCGACTTGTTACTAACCTGACTAAAATTTAACCCGACCTATTCCTAACCCGACCCGAATTTAACCCAACCTGTTACAAACCCGAACCGAAATCAACCCGACTTGTTATTGACCTGACCCAAATTCAACCCGACTTGTTATTGACCCGACCCGAATTTTACCAGACCTATTACTTACCCGACCCAAAAATTCAACCCGCTCTGTTACTAACCCGACTCGAAATCAACACGACTTGTTATTGACCCGACCTAAATTCTACCCAAATTGTTCCTAACCCAATTTCAAATCACCTTAATGCAATTTAGACCACCTTATTATGTTGATCAAAGCATTTTGTTTAGGGAGATCAAGTCGGTCCATGCCAGCAAAAGAAAGGAGCATCATCCTCAAATTTAAGAGTTAAATATATTATATATTTGTCGTATGGTCAAAGGAGATAATTATATTCCTAAATTATAGACTATAGTTCCCAAGTATATTTCCATATATATTATAGTCAAAGAAAATAATTAGCTTGATAAAAATGATAATTATCTATTTATAGTTAGTAGAACCTGAATATGACCTCACTTAGAAATGACCCGACCTGATTGTAACCTGCAAATTATTGTCTTGAACATAACCCGACTTGAATCCTAGAATGACCCGACTTGAAAATGACCCAACCTGATTATGACTCGCAAATTATTGACTTGAACCGAACCCGACTTGAACCCGAGAATGTCCCGACTTGAAAATGACCCGACCTGATTATAACCCGCAAATTATTGACTTGAACTGAACCCGACTCAAGCCCGAAAATGACTCGACCTGATTATAACCCGCAAATTATTGACTTGAACCAAACCTGACTCGAACCCTAGAATTACCCTAACCCGTTTTAACCCATGAAAATCCGAATTAAACCCGACCTATTGTTCACCCGACCCAAATGTAACCCGACCTGTTATTAACCCGACCCAAATCCGATAAGAAGTATGACCCGAAGTGACCCGACTAAAGCACGAGCCAACCCAAACCCGACCCGCATAGGTTATGGAATTAATCCGAATTGACCCGACCCAAGTTGACCCGACCAACTCTTACCGACCCAAACCCGACTCGTTTACTCGAATTGACAGCTCTACCCGAAACCTCCAAAATTTCTCAAAAAACGTGGATATTAGTATTCAATTTTGGAATTTTTTGACTTTTTTTTTTCACCCGTAAATAAAAATTGCTAAAATGTTTACCATGGTCCCTAATACCCTCCGGGAGTACAATTGGCTGGGTGAAACCATCCAATTTGCCTTTAAACGACCAATTTACCGGTTTACAACTTGCACCGATTTCATTAACTCAACCCTACCACGAACATTTATGACAACATATAATGATCTTATATGGTTCTAATACCCTTCGGGAGTCTAATTGACTTTTTATGACAACCAATCACAATGCTTTTCGACACTAGGCCCCGAAACATTCAAAATTTCTCAAAAAGCGTGGATATAAGCCTTTAATTTTGGAATATTTTGACTTTTTTCCGAAAAGAAATAAATTGCCGAAATGTTTACCATGGTTTCTAATACCCTTCGGGAGTCTAATTGGGTGGGTGGAACCATCCAATTTGCCTTTAAACGACCAATTTACTGGTTTACAACTTGCATCGATTTCATTAATTCAAGCCTACAACGAACATTTATTACAACAAATAATGATTGAATATGGTTCCAAACGACATTATATGACCACGAGATGTATTCCCTATAATTTCTAGACTTTTAGACACCGGCCCCGAGACTCCAAAATTTCTTAAAAAGCGTGGATATTAGCCTTCAATTTTTGAATTTTTAGACTATTTTTCGCCCGGAAATAAGAATTTGCGAAGTGTTTATCATGGTCCCTAATACCCTCCGGAAGTCCAATTGGGTAGGTGAAACCATCCAATTTGTCTTTAAACGGGCTATTTATCGGTTTATAACTTGCACCGATTTCATTAAAACAAGCCTACCACGAACATTTATGACAACATATAATGATCATATATGGTTCCGAACGTCATTATATGACCCTGAGATGTATTCCCTAAAATCTTAAGGCTTTTCGACACCGTGCTCCGAAACCTCCAAAATTTCTCAAAAAGCGTGCTTAAGCCTTTAATTTTGGAATTTTTTTGACTTTTTTTTGCCCAGAAATAAAATTTGGCGAAATTTTCACCATGGTCCCTAATATCCTCCGGGAGTCCAATTGGGTGGGTTGAACTACCCAATTTGCCTTCAAACGACCAATTTATCGGTTTACAACTTGCACCGATTTCATTAAATCAAGCCTACCACGAACATTTATGACAACATATAATGATCATACATGTTTCCAAACAACATTATATGACTCCGAGATGTATTACCTAGAATTTCAATACTTTTCAACATCGGGCCCTGAATCCTCCAAAATTTCTCAAAAAAATGGATATTAGCCTTTAATTTTGTAATTTTTGACTTTTTTTCGCCCAGAAATAAAAATCGCAGAAATGTTTAACATTATCCCTAATACCGTCCGAGAGTCCTATTGGGTGGGTGCAACCATCCAATTTGCCTTTTAAACGCCCAATTTACCTGTTTACAATTTGCACCGATTTCATTAACTCAAGCCTATCACGAACATTTATGACAAGAACTAATGATCATATATGGTTCCAAACGACATTTTATGACCCCGAGATGTATCCCCTAAAATTTCAAGATTTTTCGACACCGGTCCCCGAAATCTCCAAAATTTCCCAAAAAACGTGGATATGGTGGAACCATCCAATTTCCCTTTAAACGACCAATTTACCGGTTTACAACTTGCACGCTTTTCATTAACTCAAGCATACTATGAACATTTAAGACAACATATAATGATCATATATGGTTCCAAACGGTATTATATGACCCCGAGATATATCCCCTAAAATATCAAGACATTTCTACACTGGTCCCTGAAACCTCCAAAAAATTTCAAAAAAATGTGGATATTAGCCTTCATTTTGGATTTTTTTGACTTTTTTCGTCTGAAAATAGAAATTGCAGAAATGTTTACCATGTTCCCTAATACATTCCAGGAGTCCAATTGGGTGGATGTAACCATCCAATTTGCATTTAAACGGCCTATTTACCGGTTTATAACTTGCATCGATTTCATTAAATCAAGCCTACCACGAACATTTATGACAATATAAAATGATCATATATGGTTCCAATCGTCATTATACGACTCCGAGATGTATTCCCTAAAATCTCATTGCTTTTCGACACCGGGTCCCAAAACCTCCAAAATTTCTCAAAAAGCGTGGATATTAGCCTTCAATTTTGGATTTTTTTTTACTTTTTTTTGCCCAGAAATAAAAATTGCCAAATTATTTACCATGGTCCTCAATATCATACGAGAGTCCAATTGGGTGAGTGGAACCATCCAATTTGCTGTTAAACGACCAATTTACCTGTTTACAACTTGCACCGATTTACAACGGCAAACTTAATTAACTTGCACCAAACCCGACTTGAACCGAAATTGACCCTAACACGTTTTAACCCATCAAAACCCGAATTTAACCCGACTTGTTACTAACCTGACCTGAATTCAGCCCGACCCGTTCCTAATCCAACCCGAATTTAACCCAACCTGTTACAAACCCGACCCGAAATCAACCCGCGTTGTTATTGACCTGACCCAAATTCAACCCGACTTGTTATTGACCCGACCCGAATTTTACCAGACCTATTACTTACCCGACCCAAAAATTCAAACCGATTTGTTACTAACCCGACTTGAAGTTAACACGACTTGTTATTGACTCGACCTAAATTCAACCCAAATTGTTTCTGACCCGATTTCAAATCACCTTAAATGCAATTTAGACCACCTTATTATTGTTGATCAAAGCATTTTGTCTAGGGAAACCAAATCAGTCTAGGCCAACAAAAGAAATGAGCATCATCCTCTTAAGAGTTAAATATAGTATATATTTGTTGTATGGTCAAAAGAGATAATTATCCTCCTAAATTATAGACTATAGTTCCCTAGTATAATGTCATATATATTATAGTCAAAAGAAATAATTAGCTTGATAAAAATGATAATTATCTATTTATAGTTAGTTGAACCCGAATATGACCTGACTTAGAAATGACCCGTTGTAACCAGCAAATTATTTACTTGAACATAACCCGCGCGACTTAAATCCGAGAATGACCTGACCTAATTGTAACCTGCAAATTATTGACTTGAACATAACCCGACTTGAATCCGAGAATGACCCGACTTGGAAATGACCCAACCTGATTATAACCCGCAAATTACTGACTTGAACCGAACCCAACTTGAACCCGAGAATGACCCGACTTGAAAATGACGATTATAATCCGCAAATTATTGACTTGAACCGAACTCGACTTAAACCCGAGAATGACCCGACCTGATTCTAACCCGCAAATTATTGAATTGAACCGAACCCGACTCGAACCCGAGAATTACCCTAACATGTTTTAAGCCGAATTAAAACCGACCTATTGTTCACCCGACCCGAATGTAACTCGACCTAAACATGATCCAAACCCGATAAGAAGTATGACCCGACGTGACCTGACTCAAGCATGACCCGACCCAAACCGCATAGGTTATGGAATTAATCCGAACTGACCCGACCCGAGTTGACCCGACCCAAACACTAGCCTAAACATGTTTGATGACTTAAGTCAAGATTTCAGAGTAAACTAGAAAGCTGTACAACCAATTCAATTTCCTGTTATAACTCATGCTTCAGAATAAGAACTATGTTACACATCAAATAAGTTCTTTTTACAAATCAGATTTTTTTTTTCCCTTCACAAATCATCACCAATTCAAGTATTGAGAATAGGTGCAACATATAAAAAATATACAGCAAAAAATAAAAAAAAATTATGCTGCTGCTATCAACTTTGGAGTACCAGGTAACGGTATATATTTTGCAGGTTCTTCGTTGAGCAAGAGTGCCCTTAATATGGATTCACATACTTCAGTGTCATATACAATCAAGTGGCCGCCATGAGGAATTTCATGGTACTTGATCCAAGGTAATTCTTCCATAACATGTCTTTGAAGTTCAACTGGAACAACCTTATCTTCATAGCCTACCCATAGATGAACTGACCGCTCGTCTTTGGGAAATGGATTGTTTAGTTTCAATGGATCGAACTCCCATTTACTAAGTCCCACCAAAATATCACCTCGAAGATTATCAAATATACTTCTCTGCTCTATTTTGTTCTGTTAGGGGGAAAGCAGAGAGACAAAAGCACCATAGTAAACATTAGAGCTCATAAAACACCAGTGTCAAGATCTTTGTTACTCTCAGAAACGTGAGCATCATTGAGACATGGGTGTTACACTTATTTCTTATTTTAAGAAAAGAATCATGTTTTTGGTCGATTACTTGAGGTAAATTTGAAATCCAAAAAACATAGGTCATGATTCAGTGTGAAAACTTGTAAATGCCCAAAGAAAGTATTTGGAATATTAACTTCTGAATTAGTATGTACCTCACTGAGCAGCTCAAATCCTGGAGTTCTTTTCAGAACTTCCTGATCTCTTTCGCTGAAAAAAACAGGATTCTTCTCCATAACATTTGCCGTGGGGAGACACTTCTGGTTCATCCACCAATACAGTAAACTGGGCATATGTTTCAAAACAAATAGAGTTAATTTAACAAGATTTCTTCTGAAGTCGTCTTTGATTAGGCTTTTAGGGAGAGAGGGCCAGGAATAATTGACAACTGCAGCCACCAAAGCTACACCTTGCAGCCTGCACAAATATCATTTCCCAAATTTAAAGTGAGATAAGGTTTTGATACAGCCTATACAGGAAACAAAGCTCAAGAAAAACAAAGAAATAAACATCAATAATTTTTCAGCCAAACTTCAACAGATATAGAATACATCAGCAGAAGAAGTTACCAAACCTAATAGGTTAGTGTCTACATTCAAGTCTTAAACCAGTTATATCAAGTCAAACAACCATTATCGAGACTTAATGAAAGGGTGGGAATTTTTTTTTTTTGAGCAAGATCTCATCATTTTCATATGGTGAATTAGGTTTTGTTTTTTTTCATATTCCACGAATACTAGGTCACATAAGGGCTACTGATGTTCAATTCACAGCTAAATTATGTTCAAATTGACAGTCTTATAGGTGAAAAGAACAAAGCCTCAAATCATGCAGATAGCATACAACCAGGTAATTACATTTCTTGCCTCTAGGATAACTACTTGGAGCTCAGAATGCAATTCTTAGCTAGTTGAGGCAATTCTTAGCAAAGTATATTACTTGCCTGTGTGGTATATACTTGAGGCAACTCCAAATAGGATATGATCCCATTGACACCCCAATCACATAGAATTTGGGTCCTAACTCTAACTGATCCGCGAGTTGCTCAATATCTAATGCTTCACTCTTGAGTGACCTCTCAGGGTTTGGATCACTATCCGCGTAGCCTGCTCTATCATATAGCAGCATGTATATCTTCAATTCTTCAATTAGCCCCTGAAAACTAAATCATTGTAAATCAAGATAATCCTGCCACAAACAAACAATTGATTGTATCATACATTCAAGTTTATTCTGACTTCTGAGTTCTGCCCCATTTATATTTGTTTGGCTAGTACTAGAATATGTTGCAACTCTTTTTGGGACCAATGTTGCTCAGCATATTTTGGTACAAAAGAATATGCTTTATCTCAATGACATAAATACTCTCATATCCAATAATATAAACAAGTTGACATATGAAATTCAAATCCAAAACACGTAATCACAATACCCATAATCTATCTCTACTCCTAATCCATGGCAGTGACACACAAACCAAAATTTATCCAGATTACATGAAATATGGGTTTTTCTACTTCAAATTAACAAGAAATTATGTACTGTATAAAAATAAATTCACCCACTTCCTTTTTTTCTATCCATTCATCCAAAATTACTCTTTTTCATATACCAAGATTGATTAAAACCCAAAATCAAAAGGGGTTTTTTCTACTTCAAATTTACTCAAGTAAATTGTTGTATTAAAAAAAAAAAAAATGCACCCAATTTCTATATTCAATTATTCATCCAATCACACTCCATTTCAAAAGACAAAACTGATTATAACCCATCAAAATTCAGATCCAAAATTAAACAAAAATCTGAAAAAGGGTTCAAGATTACTTGAGATGCAGAAAAACTCATGTCTTTATTACTGCCAAATCCATGAACAATGATGATCTTGAATTCAGCTTCTTCTTTAGGAACTCCAATTTCTCTGTAAGCCAAAAATCTGCCATCATTTAATCTAATTCTGGGTGATGTAATTTCACATTCACTCTCATCCATTGACTTTGCAGTCCTCCTTCCATGACCTCCACATGAGATATTACCCATCTGCAAATGCTGTCAAAAAATTCAATAAAGTTTTGATTTTTTTCAATTTGAATCAATTAAAGAAAGAATTTCTTTTCTTCTTTTTGCTGAAAACATGAATATTGATATTTTTTTCACTTACCTTGTAAGTGAGCTTTTTGAGTTTTAGATCTTCAAATAATTGGGAAGGAGAGATATTTCCGGGACTTCTTCTTTCTCTAGCGCACTTCTGACCGATCGATGTTGTTGCACACCTTTTTCTTGTAGTGGCTGCCAAATATAATAAGAACCGCATTGGCTTATTATGAGTAGGTCTTATATACAACGAGTGTATAGCTTACATACAGGTACGCCATTTCCCTCCTAATTTAATAACAACAATCTTTTTCATTAACTGTTAAAAAAAAATTAGTGAATTGATAATTTTTTAAAAAAGAAAATAGGGTTGGGAAAATTAAGTTAATTAAAATTAAGAGTGGAATATGAATGGATGGGTTGTTGAATAATTTTGGTAGGCTGGCTATAAGCTGGTTCTATGAATTGTATCTAAGGGTGCTTGGTAAAGAAGGGGAATTTGGGATTGTATATTGTATTGTGTTATTGTGCACTTTAATGGCGGCTAGATTCTTGTGTGATGTTTTTAATAATGGTTTTCTCTAATTCTCTTTGTAGAATTTTGGTGAGAATTAGCTCAAAATGTGAGCCTTTTCAGCAAAGCTAATGAGGCTGTGCCGTGGACGAGTAATGACTAGTGTGTGAAAACTTAAATATGCCTTTTGTTCTTGAGAATATGCTTTGGAAGTTTTAAATGGACTAAAATTGTTCCTTTCTAATTTTGGTTGCGTGTGTATGCTTTGCATGTAGATATATAAGTATTCTTTCAAATTTGTAAGGTTAGTCTATTACGGAGTAGATGATTAATGAGCTATGTTGCTTGAACTCATGTACATGTCTAACTGTCTGACTTGTTAAAATTTTACACGTCTTTGGTTCAAAATGAAGTGAGAACCTTAGAGGTGTACCTCGACAATCTTGCTTGCATTCAAGTCTTCCAAAGAGAAGAAGCAGGAGGTGGGGAGTGTGCTCATCATATAGATCAATGTCTAAACATGCTAAACAATGCCAATTGGATGGTTCAGGTTGTGCACATTTATCGAGAAGACAATCACGTGGCGGATTGGTTGACCAACCGCGGAGTTACCCAAGACATTTATCTCCTTATTTATAATGCTATTCCTGTCGAATTTGGTAGAGTTTTAGAGGAGGATATTAGGAGCATGGCTTTTTCACGTCTTGTCCCTCCTAGGTAGTTGTTTTCAGGTGTTTTAGTATGTTCTTTGTTTTTCTTTTCTCTTGTTTTCTTTGGATCTTCATCCTCATTTGAACTTTTTTTTTTTTTTTAAAAAAAAAGGTAAAATGAAATGTTTAAGTACCATAGCCCATAAGTAACAAAGTAAATTTGAATTTGTTGTATATAGTAAGAAGGACTGAAGGAGTATTGCAAATGTGCGATATTAGTGTGGATTTTAGATACAAAGCATTATGCTAGTATAAATGATAAGGAGAAAGACCTTAATCAGACTTTAATTAACCCTTAAAGTATTTTGGTCTAATATTTTTTAATTTGGCCGAAAACTTGGGAGGAGAGGGAAGGATAAGATAATCCTACTTTCAAGGACCCTTATTTAATAAGATTGGAATTTCAAACCTCTAATTTTTGAGGTAAAAACCTTATTAAGTGAGTCAAGTCTAGTCAGGTATAAATATCCAATTGGATAATAGGGTGAATATAACTTAAGTTTTGTTTCCAATAAGATTCGTAGAAATTTAGGATGGGATGTAATAGGTTGGAAGTAAAAATTGGGACCAACATCCTCATCCGCTTCACCTGACCACCCCAAACACATCATTTCTTCCGATATAAAGTGACTATTGCTCGTGTACATGTGCATATTATGTGAGTTTGAGGCATCCATGTCAACTTATGTATAAGAGCAAAGTCATTGGTTGCCCAACCTAATGGTGGTCATCAAATATTTAATACATATCTCTCTCTTCTACTTCATTCATGCCGAATAAATTCTCATACTCAGTTATTCCCATATACCCTCATTGGTTGCCCTAGTCATAAATATTTTATACACATAAAACATAAAAAAGAATATTAAAAATAACAATATAGACCAATTATTATAAGACAAATGGCACACCCTCATCTTTTGCCCACCATTTGCTAGAGGTCATGGCCATGACCATGACCTGGTCATGACATTTCTCTCTCTAAAAATACTACTACGTACTTTTTGTAATTTATAATATTATTTCAATTTCTCTTTCTTCATGGCTTTACAAAAGGGCAACGAATGGCTATACTCTAAGTGTAATATTGTTGAATAGTGAACAGACTGAACACCCTTTAGACCTGGACATTTGATGATGTAGGCAAGCCAAAATTTGGGTCCCGTGAAACCATGACATAATTAATTTCTATACCATTACTTGAGGATATTCTCATATTGTATGCCACTCTCATCTAGCTTGGACCATCACTTCACGGCTCAAAAGATAAAGCAGTCAACAATTAGAGTACTAAATAATCTTTCTTAACCACTCTTGGACAATCTTAAATTAGCTTCTTATGCATTAAAAAAGCATAGCATTGTACTCTACCTATTACTTGGGTTGAATAATTTTATTTCATTATAACGTTTTTTTTGATTGGTTTGCAATCTTTGCATCAGCTTTTATAAAACAAAGTTAACTCGTCTTTTTATGATTAGAAATTTAACACATCAACATTAAATCAAATATTTTGACATTTTCAATTTCTTCACCTAACAAAATTGAATTATATTAAATCATCCTTAATATGGATAAAGTCAATATATCTGTCTCATATTTGAATTCCTATATAGATACCAAGATACAAGGAAAAAAAGGACCTTCCAACATTGCCATAATATTACTTGTTCAAAGCAAAAGTTTCATAAGTTATTTTCTGCGAGTTACTGAATGAGAAACCACAATTCATAAAACAACAGAAAAACAAGCATCAAACCAAACTTCCAACATTATTAAGGCCAACTGAATAAGCCTACTCAAAAGAAGGCTTTTCTCCAAGCACCAGTGATTTTAAGATCATTCCACAGAGATCCTTGTCATGCAGGTAAAGATGCCCACCATATGGAACTTCATGAGTGTGGATCCAAGGCAGTCTTCGAGCTAGATAGTACGATAACTCTGTATCAACAATGCGATCTTCACATCCTATCCACAAGTGAACTGCAGCGCTGCTGTTTTCAGGAAATGGGTTGGTTAGTTCCAATGGATTGATGTCCCAGGAACCATATGCGACTACAAAATCTCGGTATGAGGACTCATATTCACCTTGCTGGTTTGTTTTTCCCTGCATGGAGACACAATCACAATCTCATGCCAAAATTTCTGACAATATAACTATATAGATAGATTCAAAAAGAATAAGCAGCCTATAAGAAGAAAAACATATTCAAAGGATTTCTGCTATACTGTCAAAAATTTCCATCTTTCATCTTCACTTCAAATATTTGATAAATTCAGACATTACATAGACTTCATATGAAATTCAAATGATGAAAACTATATTCCTCTGTTTGATTTATTTATTTAACAACCAAAGTTTCTTAGTGCACCTAAATTCACGAGAAATTATAATTAATCAGCAGGGCTTCTTGAGATTGCATGACTTGAAATTTCTTTGCACTGAAAAAACTTGATTTTCAACAATTTGCTCATATAACAAGTATATTATAAATTGAGGATATCACCTAGAAAAGTTAGAAAAAGAAAAGGTAAAGAAATATTGCCTTATCAGGAGCTGGTACTCGTGCTAAGAGTTCCATGACAGCTAGGTCGTTCTTATTGTAAGCTTCAGGGTTTTTCTTCAGAACTGTATGTATAGAAGGGAAACTTATCCATCGTTGCATCGACCATGCTAGATAAGGGGCATAATGGATGAACCGGAGTCTCCATTGCTCCAGCAATGGCAACTTACAATATGCTTTGCTGCGTATTTCAGAAGGAAGCGTAGGCCACCAGTAGTTGATAACTGGGACTACAAATGCCACACCAGCCAGCCTGCAGAAAAAAATTTATACAGAGTGAATTTGATGCATTCTACTCATACCAAGAGAGAATTATTTCACCTTTGAATAGTTCATTGTATCATTGATTGCCACATAATAGGCCAAATTTATTTTTCTCTGTTACATCATAGGTCACTTCATATATTTGGTTATGTTAAGATTTGAACTTCACTATATTAACTTCCGTGATACCCTAAAAAATGATGATTGAAAATTCCAAAGAAAAACTAATTAGGTATGATGATTGAAAATTCAAAAGTAATGGCATTGCTAAATTCCTAAAAAATGATTGAAATTGAATGTGACCACATTTTGATTATTTTGAAGCGTAAACAAAGTCTATATTTGTGCTTAGTGTGGGAAAAACAAGAGGAGGAAACAAGTAAATTAATAGCTATGTACCGGTGAGGTATGTATTTGAGGCAGCCCCAAGCAGGGTAAGAACCTATGGAAAGTCCAAGGACATAGAACTTAGGGCCAAGCTCTAATTGATCAGCAAGTTCTTGAATATCAAGAGCATCATTTTTTGGTGAGCGATGAGGATTTGGATCACTTTCAGCGTATCCTGGTCTGTCGAAAGTAATGAGACATATGCCCATATCTTGCAACCATTCCTGCAAGCATGAAACTTGAATATATTAGCATAAATTTCAAAGTGTAAATCTAATTGTAAGCCAAAATTGTCAGATAAGAAATTGACAAGCAAGCAAATATGTTTTTTTAAAAAATTGGATTTGTTAAATGATTCTGTTCACAGGACAGAAAAAAAAAAAAGACAATAGGGAGAGTTCTTAAAACAAATATAGGTGCTCCCACACAAAATGCAAGCAAAATTAGCATGGATTTTAGGCAGATAAATTCTTACATCTGACATAGGTATATAAAGGTCTTTTGAGGAAGTAAAACCATGATTGATGAAGACTTTGTGTTTAGCAATTTCTTTTGCAGCTCCTCGGACTTTGTAAGCCAAGTACCTTCCATCCCTCAATTTGATTCTAGGTGATGTTACCGGAGGACCATTAGGTGAACCACATATTTTTGAAGGAGGTGGTTTTGCCATCTGATATATTCCCCCGGCAACAACCAGAGTGAAAATCGCTGCTATCCACATATCTGCAATAACCGGCTTAACTAATCAGGCAGAAACGATGAAGAATGCCAGCAATAAAATTTCTAGAAAAGGGCAAAATGAAGCAACTGGACAAGAGCATGAACTATCTCAAACAATTAAACAGAAATATGAAGAAATGACAACATATTTTGACACACACTGATCCAAATGAGGAGTAAAAGGAAGAAAAAGATATGCAAATAACAGATATTGAACTAAAATCTATGATAGGAAATAGAATCATAGTAAATAGAAATGATACACACTAGAGATTTCATTATCTTAAGTTTCCTGAATTGTGAATATCTAGGTGATCTTCTGTGATCTTTTTACTAAGTAGGAAATAATGAAATACATACATGTAATGTAATGCATATCATAAAATCAGATCAGATCATAAAGGATTATATTGATATAAAAACAAAATCTCTTCTGATGATGCATATATTCAAGGATAGATGAAAATAAAAACCTCAATTTCAGGCTCTTACAGTAACTTATCGTGAGAAACTAAAACCAACCTCTCCAAAAAAGGTAAGAAATTACACCCAAATACAAGTCACCTCAGACTAACATTAAGTTAATCGTGAGAAATTATACCCAAAAACAATCTCATCAATAAATGACTTTCATTAACTAGCCACAACACCAACACACAGGTAGGTGAGTTATTTACTTATTTGCACTCTTCAAGTTACTATAACACCACAGGGCTACATCTACATGCATGGTACGCCTAAATGTAAACAAATATAATCATGAAACTGCAAAATGGTTATGTCTGACTGTGAATCCTTTAAGCCGATAAAAAAGAGCATATGCATCTATGAGACTGAGACACGGTTAGGAAAAAAAAAAAAAAAAAAAAGAGATGTCCCCCAAACAGAAATGAAGATTAATGTAAGAAATAAGGAATAAATTCCCGCACCTTTCTTCACTTCTCCAAGATTAATCAACAACCTTGCCAGTCAGTGCTCCAGCTTTCTGTAAAGTTGTGCTTCTTCTCTTGGCATTGTAAGATTGAAGGCTAGATTTAAAACAAACAAGAATTGAATTCCAAAAATTCAAATCATAGAAAAAAAAAAAAAAAAGCAATGAAATGCATGCCAGTTAAACCTCCTGGGATACCACATTGAAAACACTGGTGGCTACTTGCAAACCTTCTCAGCGGTTACAACTTCAGATAAGTCTAATTTCCTCAAAATCATCAATAAATTCAACAAACACAACAAACCCAACAAACCCAACGTCAGTCATCTCAAAACTTTCACATGTTAAGTGTGAAATGTTGAATAGATACACATAAATCATGTTTTTTTGAAACAACACTCAGATCAAAATTCATAGTAGGGGTAGAAATAATTTTTTTTAAAAAGTTATACGGTATAATACCAATTATTACAAAATCCAGACTAATGACAGTTTGCATAAAATTTAGAGGCATACAGGATGGAAACTATTCAAGCAGAAGTGCTCTTAAGATGGATTCAAAAATGCTCTGATCACACATGACCAGATGTCCACCATCAGGAACTTCATGATACTTAATCCATTGAAGCTTTTTCGAGATATAACGATTCATTTGAAAAGGAACTATTTTGTCCTCATAGCCTTGCCAGATGTGAGCTGAACCTCCATGGCCGGAGAAAGGATTTTTTAAATCCAGGATATCAAATTCCCATGACCCATAACCGACCATAATATCTCGATGAAGAGATTCATGATCACCTTGTTGGCGGCTTTTATCCTGAGGTTTACAATTGACATTGAAGCATTAGATTGTTCTTGATTTGAGAAAATGTTGTGCAAAAAAAAAAAAAAAACTTAAGATGAATTCCCCAAAAAAATCTACTAGTATATAGAATGGGCAGATGTAAAAAAAAGGAAAAGAAAAAAACTGTCATCTACTCTACCTCTAGATCTTGTGGCATGTTCCTCATAATTTCCAAATCTCTTCGACTGAAGTTAGATGGATCACCAGACATAAGGCTATATGAAGGGAACCATTTTTGAGTCATCCACCAGTAGAACAACCAAGGAGCATAACGTGCCACTCGAAAGGTCCATTGGTCCTGCAGACGAAGCCCTCTAAAACATTCTCCAGAACAAGGAAAACCAGGCCACCAGTAGTTGACAAATGGAACAACCAAGGAGATTCCAGCCAATCTGTTAATATGGTTAAAAAATTACAATGCTATCAAAGCATAATCTGCAGCAGGGTTTTTCAGAGGGTAACAATTACATATTAAAGTACTCTCTCCGTCCCAGAGCTAAGTTAACATAATAGAAAGAAAAATCTTAGTAGAAAAGGACATGTTAACTTAGCTCTAGGACAGCTTAAATGATATACGTCAACTTAGCCTTAAGGGGGTACGGGGGAGAAAAATCTGAGTGTCGTGCCTGTGTGGGATGTAATGTATACAGCTGTATGCAGGGTAAGCACCCATGGAGATACTAATGACATAAAACTTTGATCCTAGCTGCAATGCATCAGCGAGTTCTTGAATATCATATGCTTCACTTTTCACTGAGCGATTTGGATAGGGATCACTTTCTCCATAGCCAGCTCTATCATAAAAAAGGAAATATAGCTTTAGCTCCTCCACAAGTTCCTGACAAACCAATAGATTGTGCAAGTTTAGTTCAACATAGGATTATCAATCAATGGTCTAAAAAAATATTCAGGAATTACATTAATGTCATTTAACCATTCCTAGTTTCAATCAATGGTCTAAAAGAATATTCAGGAATTACATTAATGTCATCTAACCCTTCCTAGTTTCAATTTTTCATTGTTGCTATTCTAATAAATAAACTGGTCAACACTTCAGAGCTATAATGTCCATTGCTTCTTGTTGTTTTTCTTTCTTTCAAAAGTGTGTAAATAGAAGTGAAATTAAGATTTGTCCCTTGTAAATTTTTTGAGCAATGTCACTATAAAATTGTGCGACTACAGGTATCACTTGCCTAAAATGGTAGACATGGTGATTTCTATGAAAATTCACCAATGTTCTCCTCATAGAGAAGACAACCCAATCTTACCAACTAGGATATAACCTTTATTTATGATGTGCATATGTGAGTTTTTATGTTTATTTTTTGTTTTTTTTTAAGGTGCTTCTATGCAAATCATGAAAAATAGAACAAATCAAAAGCAAAGCAGATATATTTTTCTTTTAGTCCTGGGGGATAACATAGCGTTAATTCATACTTGAGTGATGGGTAGACTTTGATCTTTGGAGCTACCAAAGCCATGAATGACTATGATCTTGTGCTTAGCCTCATCTTTGTTGACTCCTGCCTCCTTATATGACAAATGCCTGCCATCACTGAGTTTGATCCTTGGTGAAGTCACAGGAGGACCACCAGGTGAACCACATATTTTTGGAGGGGGAGGCTTAATCGCCTTGTAAATACAACCCAAAAGAACAGTAACAACGGCTACATATATCTGTATAATCATCTGAAGAAAAGAACCAGACATTCACTCAATGTCAGATAAACCATAAGTCATCCAAAATTATTAGGAAAAGTATAATCAACTGTAAACCATACAGAATGCTGGACGTTTTCTCAAGAGTAAAGGGTATGACTATGATTCTAATCATCTTAATTTAAGGTCATGGTAGAACAATACTAAATATTGATACATTTAGGCCATGTATTCACGGTCTGATTTTCCAAAACTAATAATCACTTTAGCTTGATTATAAAGAATCAATGAATCAATTTCAATGGCACTACAAACACACACTGCCAGAATACTCAAAAATCAGAGAGCAGACTGTTTTTGCCATTCTAGTTTATGTATCTGCCCATGACCCTTTTACCTTAGTATATGGCTTTTAAGGGAGATAATTTCACAAGGTAAAATCCAAAGATTAATAGATGGACCAACAAAAGTGATAAAAAGTACTCCATATCTCTCACAAAAGCAGACATTTGGACACATTATTATGATGTTAAGTTGAGAAAAAAGACAGTTATATACTCAAAAAAAAATTTATAATTTAAAATCAAGGTCTGTACACACAAATCACTTATATACATGGAAGGCCCAAGAACTGAAAGTTGTAGCACTTGATTTATTAGGAGCACAAGCAAAACTCTGTCTCCAACTACATTAGTGTATCTATTGCACCAATATACCAAATAGAATACAATTATATAGCGATAAGCCAAATATAGTACTCATATATGCTCATTTATATTACTTGAAAAAGAAACTAACATTAGAGCCACATAGATTCTCTACTAAACAGCATGCTCAATTTCAATTTTCAGGGTAGAAGTAAATAGACTTGTGGGCTAATCTTCAGTTAAAAAAACTTTTAACTATTTCATCACTGCTTTCAACAACTAGAATTATATGATCATAGTTTAAGATCCACCAGGGTCTTTTTTCTTTTCCATTGTTTTATCCTTCCCTGGCAGATAGCTCAAGAGTCTGAGATGATTGAAAGATATCCCTTTTTAACAATTTTCATTCCTAGCAATAACAAACATATAGAGCAAAGATGACAGTATTCAAAATCTTATTCAAGGACAAAAACAGCCCAAAAGATAAAAGCAGATTAACAACAGTAAGATTTTATGGAGAAATGAACAAAAAAAAAATTACCTTTATGCTAAAAACCCAGAAAATGAACCAAGAGCAGGAGATCTGCTGTCAGTGGAAGATGACTCAGGATCCCAGATACTTTTCTGAAAGTCACTTTACAAATTTTAACTGAATTTCTAGTAGGAAAAGCATTCATTTAAGGTAAAATTAATTCTAGTGCTGATATTTATATTATTGCCAAATGACAAGCAATTCTTAATTTTACAACGGCAAGTATTCACCTTTTGAGATAATAAATTACGTTTTGAGAAGACTAACGTAGTAACGTGTCTAAATTTTCCATTGACTGGGCATATAAGATTATTAATCTCTAGGAATAGAGGAGTTGAATGTCTAGAAACCAACTGCAATTGAAGTTTCCATTAAAAAAGCACATTGCATTCCAAATTGTTGTTCTGTTATCTAGAAAGACGAGGAAAGTAAAAGTAAAATAAAATAAATACTACCCCCCATCTCATATTATTGGTCACTTCAAATATTCTATTCAACACAATTTAGAAATTTTACATTAATTTATTCAAAAAGATACTTTAATTTACCCTAATATTATGATTTATGAAGAGTTATGGACTAAGCCTTGATTAGTTCACCTTAATCATACTAATGTGACACTCTGTGTCTCAGTATAAACTATTTTTTTCTATAAACTGGAATTAGCAATAAGAGGTAAACTAAAACAATGACAACCAGGTTGACCATGACAACAGCACCGATGAAGACCCAACCACCACTTTCCCACCCAAAAGTTAAATTTTGTATGCACAGCACATTGACTATTTCTTCTCCTTGTTACATTTATAGTTGTCAAATTTTGTTTCGAGAAGAGTTGAGTGTGTCTGTGTGTGTAAGAAAAAATAGGATAGAAAAGAGTGAGTTGATAAGTGTAAATATTGTGGGGGTAAGATGGGGCAGTTTTGCCTTATATAGTTATATGCCCAAATCTTGCAACCATTCCTGCATACAGGAAATCAAAGCTTAATTATACTAGTGAACCAAAATAATCAAATAAGATAATGGGAACACGTATATATACAACAAAACTGGATATGTCAGAAGTCAGATGATTCTGTTCACAGGACATAGAGAAAAAGATAACAGGGTTTCTTAAAACATATGTATACTCCCATGCAAATGCATGCAAAAATTGAGTGAAATTTAGGCAAATCAGTTCTTACATCCAACATAGGTACATAAATGTCCTTTGAGCAAGAAAACCAGAATTCATTAAGAATTCGTCTTTAGCAGTTTCTTTCGCAGCTCCTCGGATTTTGTATGCCAAGTACTTTCCATCACTCAATTTTGATTTTAGGGGATGTAACAGGGGGACCATTAGCTAAACCACATTTTTTTGGAGGTGGTGGTTTTACCATCTGATATATTATATTTACCCAGCAACAAGCAGAGTGAAAATTGCAGCTATCAACATTTCTGCAATACCAGCAATGAAAATGCTAGAAAAAAGGAAAAATGAAGCAACAGAACAAGCATGAACAATATCATATAATTGTACAAATCCATGTAGGAAAGCTAAAATGTTTTGGCACATACCTGTCCTACCTGTCCAGACTCCAGAGACACAGGTTGGCGAGTTGTTTGCATTCTTCAAGTAACAGAAGCTCAGAAGTCCTGACAAGCAACATCCTAATACATGCATGGTATGCCTCAATATTGAAACTATGTAACTGCAAAATGATTTTCTCTGGTTGCTATTCCTTTTAGCTGAGTAAACGAGCAGATGCATACTTAGACATGGTTAAAAATAAATAAAATATGGTCTGTAGAGCAAAAATGAATAAATGTTAGATGTAAGAAATTACGCATAAAATTTCCACACCTTTCTTCACTTCTACATGCTTGATTAACTACCTGAATTTGCCTTGCTTCTGTCTGATAGTACTCCAGCTTTCTGTAAAGTTGTGCATTCTTCTTTTGGCATTTTAAGTTATAACATTGAATAATAGATTTAAAAACAAAAAAGGAGTGAATTCCAAATTTAAATGAAATGTAAAAAAAAAAAAAAAATGACATGCATGCCCCCTTAACCTCCTGGTATACCAAATTTAAACACACCTGTGGCAACTGGCAAATCTTCTCAGTAGTTAAAACTTCATATAAACCCTACATCAGCATTTCAAAACATTCTCATGCGAAATGTAAAAAGTAGAATAGGTATGCATAAATCATGTTTATTGAATAAGAAACACTCAGATCAGATATCACACCAGAAGGGGGTATAAATAATTAAAAATGTTATTCCCAATTATTAGGAAGTCCAGACCAATGACAATTTGCATACAAATTTTGTTTTTGACAATTTGCATACAAATTAAAGGCATGTAGGATGGAAACTATTCAAACAGAAGCGCTCTTAAGATAGATTCAAAACTGTGCTGATCACTGATGAACAGATGTCCACCATCAGGAACTTCATGATACTTAATCCAAGGAAGCTTTTTCGAAATATAGCGATTCATTTGAAAAGGAATTATTTTGTCCTCATAGCCTTGCCAGATGTGAGCTGAACCTTCATAGCCAGGGAAAGGATTTTTTAAATCCAGGATATCAAATTCCCATGTCCCAAAACCGACCATAATATCTCGATGAAGAGATTCAAAATAAAAAAACACAGGTCAAAAAACCGACCATAATAGCTCTATCAAAAAACAGAAAGTATAGTTTTAGCTCCTCCGCAAGTTCCTGGAAACCAATAGATTGTGCAAGAAAGGCATCAATGTCAAAGAAAAATTGAAACTAGGCAATGTTTGGAACACAGGTCTTCCTATACTTTCACAGGAACCATCTTTCACTACAAAATTATGACTGAAGTTATCACTCGTCTAAAATGTTGGACATGGTGATTTAACAATTCTCCTCATAAAAGCAGACAACTCACTCCTACCAATTAGGATATAAATGTTTATTTAATTTAGGCATATTTGAGCTAAAAAAAAAGTGCTTCTATGCATTTTATGAAAAACAGAACACATTTAAAGCAAAGAAAATACTTCGTATATTTTTTCTTTTTATCCCTGCCCTCTAAAGGGAGGGGGATGAAATACTTCGTATAGTGTTGATTCATACTTGAGAGATGGGTAGACTTTGATCCTTGGAGCTAGCAAAGCCATGAATAACTATGATCTTGTGCTTAGCCTCATCTTTGTTGACTCCTGCCTCTCTATATGACAAATGCCTGCCATCACTGAGTTTGATCCTTGGTGAAGTCACAGGAGGACCACCAGGTGAACCGCATACTTTTGGAGGGGGAGGTTGTATCGCCTTGTAAACAAAACCCAGAATAACAGTAACAACGGATACAGCTATCTGTACGAACATCTGAAGAAAAAGGAAAAAAAATCATCTCGTTTATTGGATAAAAGAAAAGAAAATCTGGATACAGAACCAGATTATTCTATCAATATCAGATACATCATATTTCATTCAATTGAAGGCACCTTAACTTGCTCTGAGAATTTCAGTAAAGAGATCAGTATTAAAAAACACTAGAAAAATTAGAACTTACTGTGAGTTTTCCATGATGTTGATAATTTTTCTCGAATAAAGGGGTATGGTTAACAATTCAGATCATCTTAAATCAGTTCATGTTAAAACAATACTTAACATTAAGACAGTAAGGCCAAATATTCTTATAATCTCATTTTTCTGAATGTTATCATCACTTTTTAGAGTTTCAAAATTAGCTTATAAGAAACCAATGAATCATTTTTTTTTTTTTTTTCAAATTTCCACTGGCAGTTACAATGTATACGGCCAAAATACTGAAAATCAGATATCAAATTGTTCTTACATACCCCTTCCTGTATTGCTAAAGTATATGCCCATGAACCTTTACCTAAATATAGATGCACAATCTAAAAGGTAACAGATGCACCAATAAAAGTGATTAAAAAAAAAAACTCCATAACTCTCATAAAAAGCAGAGGTTTGGATACATTATTAAACTATATTTCCACCTTAACAACATATCGAGGAGAATATAATGATAACATATCAGCTAATTTATAACATATCGCAATGATAAGCCAAATTTAATAACATATTGCAGTGATAAATTGATAAGCCAGATTTTTAACATATGGAGTAGAAGTTCTACCTGGATATTTAGTAAACAACATGTTCAATTTCAATTTTCAAGGTGAATGTCTAAAATTGGGTTAATCTTCACTGAAAACTTGTAAATCTAAAAACAAAAATAATCCGTTCACAACCATTTTCAACCACTAGAAAAACATGGTCATGGATAAGCAAGTTACTTTAATCTTCTTTCTTTTCTTGAATCTTATCATTCTCATTCTGTAGATCACTCAAGTTTCTAGATGATTGCTAAAAAAAAAACAGTTTTCACACTAATTTCTAGCTTCCTAAAAAAACAAACATACAAAATAAAGATGACAAATAAATTCAACACCCCATTCAATTCAAGAAAAAACCAAAAACCCAAAAGATAAAAGCAGATTACCTTAAAGTAAGATTTGATAGAGAAATGAACAAACAAAAGTTTACTTTTATGTTGAAGAAGAACAAGAACAAGAAGAAGAAGAAGAAAATGAACCAACAGTAGTAGATCGGCTGTCAGTAGAAAATGACCCTGAATCCCAGATACTTTGCTGAGACCACACTAGTACACTACATATGTTTACTGAATTTCTAGTAAAAAGAGCATTAGTTTATGATTAATATATAACATAACATTTATATACGTGCCCAATAATGCCATATGATAAGCCATTTTATAAATATTATCAAAGCAATTGTTTAATTAATCTTTTTTATTTTTTTTAAGAGACAACTGACAAGTGAGAAAGTGACTATTTTAGTGAAGACTAACGTGTCTGAAATTTCTGTTGACAGGGCACAGAATTCTTCAAGAACAGAAAAATAGAAAGATCAAGTAGAAACCGACTGCAATTCATTTTTTGATAAAAATGTTACACTGCCTTCTTAAGGGATTAACATAGAATTTCATTATTTATATAGGAAGTAGTATATGTTATCTTCATTTCAAACTTTGAGACTAGGAGCATCATTTTCAACCAACCTTTCTATTTCATATAGTACTATGGTTGCTTTAAAATATATTTATAATAAAATTTGGTCAATTGACTGATAACTGTTCTAAAAATTAGTCCAATTTACTCTAATATCATAATATGTGAAGGTTTATGAATTTTAAAGCGTTCAACTTAATTCTATTGATAAGATATAAACTAACTTTTTCTAATTTGATTAAATCTGAAATAAAAAATAATAAGTGAATTTAAAAGAGCTACACGCAACGTTTTGATTTCAAGAATAAAGATAAGACGTATAATAATAGTAATAACATTGACAATGACACTCGGTCAACCACGACAACACCACCAATGACAACCACAAAAACCCCCAAAAAAGGAAACTTTTGAGTAAGTTTGCATAGAGATTGTAGATAATCTAATACTCTAAATCTATCATTGAAGCCAAATAAAGTCTTTCCAATTTCCACACAAATGAATAGAATGGCCTCTGAGCAAGAATACTACAATACTTGCTAAATCAACTAATGTAATCAACTATTTCGAACTAAATACAATTCCGTATTGATAAGGTCAGTTAATGTAGTTAGTTCATCAAATCCGCTCATACATTTAACTTTCAATTAAATGCAGGACATGGACAAATGATAATATCCATGAACCACAAACTAAGATTTCGGTTACTAAGCCTACTTCATTGTGATCACTCATACTTCTTAGACTATGACTACTAATAGTATCTTAACAAATCAACATCAGATAACCAAGAGACTCACCAGAAATCGTTACAAGATCAGGAAGCATTCCGGCCTTGCTTTGTCTCCCTCACGAATCTGACGATTGCAGACCTGAGATGAACTGGAATACCCTTTGTCTTCATGTCACGTATAAGAAAGTCCAAAAGCAACATTAGGCTTAAAGCCTCTATATTCAGCTTGTGAATCATATCTTTTAGACTTCTTCTTAGAGAGCCATATTGTTGGTCTAAGCAGTAAGCACCCATTGCTTCCCTACAAGGAATTTGCGAACCAGCATGTCACTGACAAGGATCAAACTACAGGTCTACAACCATGCTGACAGTAGGCATATCTCAACGGCTTCTTCCTCTAAGTACCATGCACGATTAAAGTCAATCATGCATCCATAATGTTCAATTTAGGAATGATGTCATACTTTTCTTGCATTATTTTTTAAATAACATTGCCCTATAAGCCACAGCTACGACAACAATCTTTTCCACAGGTAATGCAACAATAGCTTCTTGTCCGAGGCCATGACTTGTAAGACCAGACGGCTAGATATCATAGAATTCTGATCACCCATATTCATTCTAAAAGAAATTCTGACAACTTTAGCATTCTCTAATCTGTATTGAAATAATTCATTCTAGTTGCAAGCCTTTCTCTACGAAACCCGATTTAAAAACATAATCAGGTGCAGAAATGCAGTAGCATCATGTTGATCATTAGAACTAATTACCTTCCTAAATAAACCCAAGTCTTTCTTAGCACAAGATTGGCTACTTATGAACATATATACACAAATCTTTATACACTTCATATCAAATAACACTAGAGAAACTGAGAAACCTCACTTTTCATATTTCCAATAAGCATCAATCAAATTACAGGACACTGGACAACTAGTCTTTTTCGGGCAATTTATCGAAAACCACACGTACCAAACTGATCTATTCCACCTTTAAGAAACCTAAGATCATCGAATTTCAACTAATAAGTAGCATCTCTGTCAGGCAATTCATCAAACACCTGCAGTGCACACCCAATTCTTCCCATGTTTAGAACACATTTGACACATAATGATCAAACTCAAAATGGGTCTTCAGATATGCCCAAAAATTGTTGTCCTTCAATTGAAATTCTGCTGCATTTTAGTTAAGTGAAAAATGAAATATTAGAACCAACGATGGTTATATTATGAGAAGAGAAACCCTTTAATACATACGAAGTACGAAGTATAATTGATGAAGAACCTTTTTTTTTTTTTTTTAAGAATAGTTGTGAAGATAAGATTTGGTGAAAATACAAAATACTACATACAAGTTTTGTCTTCCTAATTCCTATAGTTAAATGACTGACTTTTGCCCTCCACGTACACGTAAGGAAAAACCGCTAAGCCTTTGTTTTGTTGCACATTTGTAATGAGAAAAATAAGAATTTATAGGAAGTGAATTTATGAGTTGTTTGGTTAAACACCTATAAAACCATAATTTAGGGTCTGTTCTTAAATAAGTTCAGTTTAGATTAGTTCTAATAAGTTCAGTTTAGCTCTTAATTTTCTTCTCTTATAAAATATTTAATTCAGTTCACTTCACTTCAATTCAGCTCAGTTCAAGCCCTTATTTTTTTCTAATTCGATACGAACTTATTTTTTCTGTTATGTTTGAAATTTATAAAATATTCATTTCAGCTCTATTCAGTTTAGTTCAATTCAATTCAGTTCAACTCAGTAAATGTGAACATGCCCGATTAATTTCTAGCTATTTTATGTATGCACTTGTTTCATGTAAGTATTCTAAGTAATGTAACAATTTACTTCTATCATTTCTCAAGTCAAAAGGGATAGCTGTTCCCACATTTTATTGTTAGCAAATCGATTGCTAATTTTGTTTTGTCAACACAAAATTTGATTCTATTAACGAACCTATAATTTTGAGACAAGTATTTGCATTTCTATAATTTTATTAATCTTCGAAGTCAATGATAAGAACAAAAGGAAACATTGAGAATCGAGTTAAAGAGCATTGATAAAATTAAACATATTTATTTTCATTTTATCACCAACATCATTAAGTGTTTAGATTCTCAAATGCAAACTAAACGTTCTATAGAAACTTCACATAATAAGCCAAAATTTACGTATGCTTTGGGGTGGGATAGGATTATGGATTATGCATAATTGTCACTTCAAACTAACTTTTGTGGAGTATATATAGGTGAGAATATTGGAAGTGTCTAGTTAATCCTTATCATGCATGGCATCTATATATTTTAAGTCGTTCTTTTTTGTTAATATAAGTTTGTTTACTAAATTGATAATGTTAAATAATGGCTAGCTTGCATTCATAAAAGGTTTGTATAAATGTGTACACACTATATTATATCGTTTGCGCACATAGACCAGTTAAAGAGTGTGAGAGAAAAAGAGAGAACCAATAAGTTTGAGTTACTTTGTAGTCCACCATTACTATGCTTAAGGTTTACTTTTTGCGTTGTAAGTTCATTGGTTGCCTTTCAATTATAGATTTAGTCATTTTTCAAGTTATAACTATATATTGACTTGGTGGAGAAATTTAAAGCTTAAGGATCGGAAAAATGAAGCCAACTTTTAAATTACAATGAACCTAATCTTAAAAGTAACGAATGAACTTATCTTTCTCAATCGTTATGCTATGCATGATTATAGTTAGAGGTGTAAATTCGGATAATCGGATGGAGTTTGGGTCAGGTCTGTTCGAGTCGGGTTTGTTCGGGTCGGATATGTTCGGATCAAAATTATCCTTTTAACTCGGATCGGGTCGGATTTGGGTCATGGTCTATCGAGTCCGGGTCAGATATGGGTCAGGTTAACTCCAGATCGGTTCACTTTCGGTTCGGATAAATTTGGATCGGGTTTAAAACGGGTTTAACCGGATAACTTTGGGTCGAAAGAATATGGGTCGGGTTGATTTCGGTTCGGTCAAGTTCGGTTTGATTAAGATAAGGTTGATCCGTTAATTCATTAAATGGTCAGTTTCAATTCAATTCTTTTTTGCGTTTGGCTGAATTTTGGTCTAGCTGACCAAATTCATATCCAAATAAGGTTATTTTTAATCTAGAGAAATTATTGAGTTTTTACCTTATTATTGGTTCAATATGATTTCTAATTACGAAGCACGAAGTTTTAGTTTCCTCATTTGATCAAGTTATGTATAATTTTTATCTTAAAGGAAAATTGAGATTGCATAATTATCGATAACTTATCATACCTATATAAGTGAGACCGAGCTAGTGATATATTGACGACTTATAGTTACATATGGTGATATATACAAAAAAAAAAAAATTAAGGTTATTACAAGGTTACAACTCTTCATCACTTGTACAATCTTACGAGGTTATGAGTTCTGTACTATTAGTTTAGTTTATTACTAATTCAATTTGTATAAGATATTTGTTAGAGTTGTTAGAATTACTTTATTACTAATTCAATTTTTATATTAAAAGCTTGGCATTATACATATTGATAGTTAATTGTTACTATGTACATTCTTTTTATTTGAGCATAAATTATTGCATATGTATGTAGTGTGTATATAACCGTACGATGTATAACACCTATAATTATAGGATAATGCACAGTTGTAGAGGAAGTAGTAATGAAGGAATGTTATGTATTTGTAAATACATAACAATGATTAAAATATTCTAAAAACACATGGTAGAGAGAGAAAAAAGGAGAGAGATAGGAAGAGAGAGCTCTTTATGTGAACCCCACCTACTCTTGGTCAAATTGTCTCACGTGATGGGTTTGTAGTAAACTTAAGACTCCAGACTATTTCTTTATAGTAAAAAAGTTAACTTATTAATAATTAGTAAATATATAGTATAAGAACTTGAATAAAAAAGGTCAATAATCGATTATGGTCGGGTTAAATTCAGATCGGGTAAAAATCAAATCGAGTTAAAATCGGGTCGAGTTAATATCAGTTCGGGTCAAAACAGATCGGATCTGATCGGTTATTTGTCGGGTCAATTTCGGATCGGGTTGAGCTCGGGTCGGTTCAAATCAGTTCGGTTTGAGTTCAGGTTGGGTCAAATCGAATTCGGGTTGAGTTCTAGTCAGATCAAATCGGTGCCGGGTTAAGTTCAGATCGGGTCAAGTTCGGATTCTGGTTGAGTTCAGTTCGGTTACATATTGAGTTTGGGTCTTGAATTTCTCGGATCAAATCAGATCGGTTACAGTTCGAAACAGATAATTTTTTTCGGGTCGATTTGGGTTTGACACCTATAATTACAGTAACGTGAGAAGTATATTCAAATATAAAAGCATTCAATTCAGCATATACAAATATACAATCACAAAACATTAAATAAGAAAAAACAAATAAATATACTCTTATCATGCATATTTTAATATATCATGTATAGCATTTGGCATCGGCATCTACATTAAAAAAAAAAATGTATCGTAGATTAATCGAATTTGGTAGTAAGTCATGTATATTTCTTGATAACACGAGTGATATGTTACACTCTGTAAATAATTTATTTCATACTTAGAATAAACTTAATAGGATAATTTATTGGTTAAAGTCCCTAGCTTGCCAGTTCAACTAGAGGTCCTAGGATCAAATCTCACTCATGACACATTAAGGGTTTATTCTAATTTACTGAATTTAGTTGAACTGAACGAACTGATTGGAGCTGATCAGCCGAATTGAACTGTTTATGAGATAAGGAAATTAGAAACTAAACTGAACTGCATTGAATTGAATTGATTGGAGCTGAACTGAAATTAAGCTGAAGAGAACAAGCCCAAAATCCCCCCCCTTTTTTCCCCCTAACTTGTTAAGACCAAGGATCTCTTTAAAATAAAAAAAAGGGGATAATTTACTATAAGAGTATGTTCTTTTCACCATATTCACTTATTTCGGATTTGATAAGATTTGATAAATTCGGTTAAATTTAAATAAGTTCAGATAAATTTAGTTTGAGTTAAATAGGTTATGAGAAGAGTTATTCAAATTCAGATTACAACTAAATTACTAATACAAGTTTTAATATGGTCTAATAAGTTCAGATAAGTGAAAATAAGGTAAATAGTCCATAGAATCCACCCTAAAATCTATTAAAACAAATTCAATTATAACCTAGCCTTTTGCTTTATATTATAGGTTGAATAAGTTTCACAAGAATTACAGAAAATAAAGGAACATACAAGAATAAATTATTAGTTTGAAATGCATAAAGATAGCTCAAGTGATTTGAACTACTAATTATCTGAAATACATCATAAAAAAGAGTGAGGGATAACTCAAGTGGTTAGAAATTACCTTCCGATTCCAGGAGATCCTGGGATCGATTCTCACCCCCACCCTTACGGCTCTCTAAACACCAAAAATATAAATACATCATATAGGCCAACCAGGACCATTATAGCCTTTTAGGCATTAAAAACACAAATTGAAACAAAAAAAAAAAAGGAAAAGCTACATGTGACATGATAGGCAATTGCGAGAACTTGTAATATACACCCGGGTTTACCGTACACCCATAAACATTTTATTTTCATTTTAATGATTGCTTTTTATTAAATCATCAAATGAAGAGAAAAACTAACTTTAATTGTATGGTGCACCCGAGTGTATATAACAAATTCTAGGCAATTGCTTGTGCACAACATTATTTCAATTCAAAAAAAAAATGCAAGAATTTTCAAAAAGGTACGGTGAGAGTATTAGTTAACATAATATAAAATAAGAATTTTCCCAGTTAGGTAAATATTTGGATCATAATATATATAGTTTAATTCAAGTGATGGAATTAGCATCTATCTATATATTATACTAAAAGACAAGCGCCTCAATGTGAGACTGACAAATGTCTCTTTATGATTCGCTGTCTTTTTTAATTTTTTTATTATACATTTATGTTTCCATATAAAAAAAATTCTAAATTACTACATAAACTATTATAATAAAGTCTAGCAATATTATTTCTAAAATAGTGTTTGGATTATTTTTGGGAATTGCCTTTATTAATAGCATATTAGCATAGAGTGATATTTCTTTGCTCATTAGTCATAATGTAATCAGTTACTATAATAGATGGTCGTGAAAATGGTCAGAGCATCTATTATAGTAAAGTCTAGCAACATTATTGTGACATAATGAACAAAGAAAAGAATTATACAAGTATTTCATATTACATAATACGAGCATAATGGTAAGAACATCTATTATAGTAAAGTCTAGAAATATTATTTCTCACATAAATAAATAAAAAGTCTACAAATATAATGGTAGCATGATAAGGTAAAAATACAATATTCAAAAAATACATTAATAATAATAATAAAAAATTCTTAAAATATTCAATTCAAATCATAGTATTCAAATAATAAAATAAGATACAATTTTTTTTTTGTATTATCATCTATATAAATAATAGCCATAGTCATAACATATATGTCTTTATATTTTTCATTTCAAGGCCATATTATGGAAAGATTAATATATTGTTCTTCAATATGACATTCACTATGATGTTTGACCATACCCCTCTTAAAGAATCATGGTGAATAAATTAATTTCACTTTGATTAAAAAAAAATATATCTAATAATTTAATTTTAGATTAATGTAGAGTCTATGAATTGTTAATATACAATTTATTGAATTTTTTTTGAGGGGAATACAATTTATTGAAATTAAATTAACTTAGATTAAAAATATATATCTAATGTAACTTTTTCTTACAAAAGAGTTAAACAATATTTTCCTAACAATAATTATGCCAAAAATTTACCCATATATAATAATTAAAGATTTCGCACACTTTTAAAATATTATTTTTCTATAACCATTAATTTTTCATATTTCCTTACTAATTTAATGCTAATATTCAAAATTTAAATAATTATAGTATAAGAATACATATCCATAAAAAAATATATTTACATACATGATTGGGTAGTTGATGAAATTTGTCTTTTATTCTTAAAAATATTAATAAATATCTTTCATTCGTATAAAAATTTACCAAATCATATTTATATATTTGTGTTGTATATTCTATCAGTTATTGATTGGTTGTATGGATATTATGTACTCCGTAATTGTTTTTGACACAATGATTTGCTTAGGAAAAATGTATATAGTGGTGGGTCAAATATAAGGTAAGTTATTATTGTGTCTAAAATTTGGTGAATACAACGAGTAAAACAAATCACTAGTAAAAAAATGTACATTTGCGTCGCCATATTTGCGTCACTCATTCTAAGGAGCGAAGCAAATGTTTATTTTTACCATCCTTTTAAGTTATTTGCGTCGCATGTTATTCAAGAAGCGACGCAAAACTCAAGTGCATTTCAGCTTTCTCTCATTTGCGTCGCTCTTATTTATTAAAGCGACGCAATTAATAAACTTATTTGCGTCACTCATTTGTTAACAAGCGACGCAAATAAGTGATTAAGTAAATTGCGTCACGCTTTTACTACATGAGCGACGCATATGAGCCGTGTACAATATCATAAACAAGGTTATTTGCGTTGCTTTTTTATAATAAAGTGACGCAAATAACTCTTTTGGCTTTAGGTTTTCTGCGTTTTTTTACCTTCGCCTACATTCACTAATCAAAAAGAAAAAAAAACAAGAGTTCTTCAATTCCAGTGAATTTCAACAGCAAAACACCCACAAATTCGTCTCTGAAACCCAACAAATTAGGCCAAAAAACTGCGATTCCCCAGCAAATTTAACATCTAAATTAAAATTGCAGTCAAGTTAAAGCAAATCCGAGCAATTTCGAGCAAGAATTTAGACCAAAAGCCCCAAGAAATTCGAACCCTTAAACCCAGAAAAATTGATTGTTTCCGACCAAAAATCCCCCATTTCGAGCAAAAAATCAACTCAAATGCGTTTCGAAATGATAGGTTTGATCCTCAGTCGTATGTTCAGTCCAAATGCTCTCTTAATGAGAAGGTAATTTGATTTTTGTGCTTAATTTGTGTTTAAGTTCTTTAATTTTGTTCTTAATTTGTGTTCATTTCTGTTGAAATTAAAATTTCGAGTTTGTCAGAAATTGTGATTTTCTTGTTTTTATTTATTGTTGATTATTTGAAATTTACAGCAAAACACCCACAAATTCGTCTCTGAAATCCAACAAATTAGGCCAAAAAACTGCGATTCCCCAGAAAATTTAACATCTAAATTAAAATTGCAGTCAAGTTGAAGAAAATCCGAGCAATTTCGAGCAAAAATTTAGACCAAAAACCCCAAGAAATTCAAACCCTTAAACCCAGAAAAATTGATTGTTTCCGACCAAAAATCCCCCATTTCGAGCAAAAAATCAACTCAAACGCGTTTCGGAATGATAGGTTTGATCCTCAGTCGTATGTTCAGTCCAAATGCTCTCTTAATGAGAAGGTAATTTGATTTTTGTGCTTAATTTGTGTTTAAGTTCTTTAATTTTGTTCTTAATTTGTGTTCATTTCTGTTGAAATTAAAATTTCGAGTTTGTCAGAAATTGTGATTTTCTTGTTTTTATTTATTGTTGATTATTTGAAATTAGAAGAAAGAGAGGAATTTTAATTTATTTTCAATTAATTTTTAGTTGATAATGAAGAATGAACAAATGATAGAATGATGATTGATGGATAGTCTAAATATAGGAGGAGTGCCGAATTGCCGAATTTAGTAGGCTTATTGTTGAGATTATTGGATGGGAAGGGGGGGCTTATCATCTCCTTCAACTTCTTTGTTTCTCCGGTAATCATAATTTGCTATTGTACATGCACACCAGTCATTTTCTTTTTCTGTTACACTGCAGTCTTTTCATGTAATTTTATCCTGTTGGTAAAATATGTTAGGCAACTTCATTCATATAAAACTGATGTATTCCTGCATGATTCTGTAACTCTGAACCCAACTTTACCACAAGCAAACAGTTATATTGTTGAAACTTTTCAATCAACACACTTTGTATATGTAGTTGTAGCCCTTGCGAGTTGCCACTTTAATCATTTTATAAAAATTCTTCATGCTGATTGCTGAAATATATTTTACATCTGTTACTCATTGCAAGATCAGGCATCATGTATGTATTTCTTTTAAGGCTTTTCTGGTCTGATGCATGGGACTAGTCTTCCAAGGTTCTCATCACTTAATAATATTTGTTGTTTGATTGTTGTGGATTCTCAGGTGCCATTGCTGGCCCAATCAAACCCTAGCGGTGCAGAGAGACTACCGCCAGGGATAGTTGCTTCTAAGTCAGATCTCTATCTCCGTAGACTATGGGGTCTTCCTAGTGAGGTATGTGAACATACTATAACAAGTCTTTGAAATTTCTTCTCACATACACCTTACTTTTAAACTGTCTTCTGTTATGTAGAACCTCCTCTTTTAATCACTATCCTTGATACTTGTTGGACAAAAAGTCTTTACTCTGTTTCCCACATTACACTTTTCGGGTTAATAGGGGTCTGAGTAATGATGTAAAGGGAAAAAAAAATAAGCAAGGGAACTGTAATTTTAAACATTTATTTATGTACTTTTAAGGTTTCTTGATAAATTGCATTATCAGCACAAAGACTGAGTTTTATTCATTTTGATAATAGAATTTTGAAGTTTGAATATAATACTGGTTAAAAATGGCTTCTGCAGGATCTGAAAACCAAGCCTAAGTATCTAGTGACCTTCACAGTTGGCTTAGATATGAAAGAAAATATTGACAAAGCAGTTAAAAAGGTTTCTTTCTAGAAATTTCAAGTCCTTTATTACTGCTAACATCATCTTTGTATTAATTATATGCTCTTTTATCCTTGCACAGTTCTCAGACAACTTCACTATTCTGCTCTTCCATTACGATGGTAAGACGACTGAGTGGGATCAGTTTGAGTGGTCAAAACGTTCTATCCATGTCAGTGCTCGAAAACAGACGAAATGGTTAGTACTCTTGTTTTAAGGCAATTGGGTCAGATTAATTATCAATTTTATCATACTGATCCGTTCTTTCATTGTATGGTTAAAGGTGGTATGCAAAACGATTTCTACATCCTGACATTGTGGCACCATATGATTACATATTTATCCGGGACGAAGATTTGGGAGTGGATAATTTTGATTCTGGAAAGTTAGCACTCTTTCTGCATCATATCCTCTAATGTCTTGAGCTATTCAGTACACAACTTTTGTCATTTATTTTTTGTTGAATTTTCAGATACGTTGATTTGGTTAAGAAACATGGTTTGGAAATTTCACAGCCTGGTGTGGATCCTAATAGTCCGTTTACATGGCAGATGACAAGGAAAAGACATGACAGTGAAGTTCACAAGTAATAACTACTAATGATGTATAATTTATGCCCAGTTATCTTCCTTTGCAACAGAAGCAGGATGATGAGTATAATGTCTATGATATTGAGATGTAATTTATTGGACAAGTTGTTAATATAATGCCGTCATTCCCAATTTTATGGGTAGGCCAAATTACAAAGGAGACTCTGCCGAAATTTACATTTGCATTATTCAATAATATTGCATTTTAATTTCAATTATATTAGTGTTAGCATATTACTTTATACCACTAGTAAGGAAAACAGGTACTACAAACATATACAAGGCAATTATTATAATTTAAAAAAAAAATTCACCTCATTTGCGTCACTCATTAAACAAACAAGTGACGCAAATACAACAATTTTGTATTGTCTACTCAGTCATTTGCGTCACTCCTATATAAACAAGTGACGCAAATAACAAATAAGAAGTTTATTAGAAGTGTCATTTGCGTCGCTCTTTTATAGAGGAGTGACGCAAATAACAAAAAAGAAGTTTATCAGAAGAGTCATTTGCGTCGCTCCTTTATAAAAGAGTGACGCAAATAAGAGTCATTTGCGTCGCTCCTTTATAAAGGAGCGACGCAAATAACAAAAAAAAAGTTTATCAGAAGAGTCATTTGCGTCGCTCCTTGACGCAAATGACTCTTATTTGCGTCGCGCCTAGGAGCGACGCAAATGACTTAAAAGTCATTTGCGTCGCGAGCAGTTGCGTCGCTCATAGAAGCGACGCAAATACACTATAAATGAGCGACGCAAATGAGCCTTTTTCTATTAGTGAATATTCGAATGTATAGCTGCTTATGTTAAGAAAATTTTAGTTTATATCTATGGGAGGTAGGAAAGATTTAGTTTATATCTCTTATAATTATGTGAGTATTATTCATTTATTTTTCAAATAAACAAATAACATTATATAAAAAAAGGAAATAAAATGAATCTAAATGACAAAATTAATTTGTTAGTAAAAATGAACCCTTTATTACTAATTGAATTATGTTAGTTTTTTTTCCCTACGGAATTAATAATACCTTATTCAAAAAATCAATAAGTTGATTTATAAATCGTGCATCGCACGGGCACTATGCTAGTAATCTAGTATATACTAAAGAAAACAAGCAAAAACTCATAAACAAATTAATTGAATCAGAATCATACGTGTGGCAACTAAGCTATATTAATTTAAGATTAATTAAAAACGTCAAATTGTTAGATTTGTGACATTACTAGAGGTAGGCAGAATGCTTCGATCTTCTATATATATAGTAATCCACTCTTCTTAATGTTCTCATTTACTAGTTTAAGTAGGAAAAAAGTGAAAGATTGAAGTATATGAATGACGACTCACCACTAAGTGATTAATTCCATTTAGTTACATATTCTTCTTTTATATAATTATAGGTATTTAATTGATTAATGGTGGAGTTACTTTATACTCCAAATTTATATTTATCAAGGTGGTGTGTGTATGCTTGTCTAATGATTGCTTAGCTTGATTGTATTATTGGTTGAATAATTAAGCAGATTCTATTGATAAACACTTCATAATTATTGCTATTTTTGTTTCAAGTTTAGCCTCTTCTGCTAAAGATCTTAGGGCCTTTAGTAGCTTCCGAATGTGAAGCAACTTCTGATCAAATTCTTCATGTCTAGAGACATATACTACTTTCATTCTTAAATATTCGCAATACCTTTTTACATCAAATTGGCCATGTATGGTAATTAGCTCGAGACAAGGACTTCATGCTCTAAGCATGATTTTGGTCTAGGAAAAAAAACAAAACAAGCATTCATAGTTTAGTTCATGAAAATCCTAAACCATCAAATCATTCACAAATCTTATAATTCGTGGTAAAACTGTTACGATTATAGGAATATATTACAAAGTATTGATAACATTAAGAGTCATCATGTTTTGTATTAGAAATATTTATTTTATAGAAGTTGCAAGTGTTTAGGAATATGTTTCCAATATATCTTGATGTTATTCTCATGTACTTGTATAATTATTCTACACTATGATCAGTAATATTTGTATGATTGTACTATATCAGTAATGTCACCAGATACTGTTCTTGTACTATATCAGTAATGTCCTTACTCTTTAAAGGTTTATTCCAGATTTTTGGCACCCTTGCCAAACAAGGATTATCATATTTTGCTTTTATAGCAAAAATTAAGAGGATGTTAGAGATTCATTGCTAGTTAACAGGGAAGAGAAACATAATTTAGGCCTTAAGAAGTGGTTTATTTCTAAGTAGCTCTTCAAAGTGTTATTTGAAATAATTAGATCTCAAAGAAAATAGTCATATTGTTATCAGTGTTAAGTTGAAAGCATTCAAATCCAATCTCAATTAGAAGCTAAATGGACCATTCAATTGGAAGCTTAATTGCATCAATCAGAAATGCTGGTTTGGTACTACATACCACTTCTCAATCCGTCTTATTTAAAGAGAAAATAATAAGGTAGCTAGTAAAGAGTAAGTTTTATATAGTTAGTCCCATGTCCCATATGAAATACAAAAGACACTAGCTAGCTAGGTCTATGCGTTAACTTTATATTCACTTAAACTTATTATATATGAATTGACTTAAAATATTGTCGAAGTATTTACTTGAAATACTTATATTTTTGTACATCATCTTATGTTGATTTTTTTTTTCAAAAAAAAAAAGCCAAATGTAACCAAGCCAATTGACTAACCTACTCCCTAAATTTCACTATGAATGAATATGAGTGGTTAACAAAATACTTGCACAAATAATTACCAATAAAGACCCTAGAGAAAGATGCTGGAACTATGGAAGATACCACAAGACACCAAGATTTTGAAACAATAATAATAAGGTACACTTTGAATTGCCAATTTTTCAAACCTATGTACACTAAAATCCTTGGCCCCACCACCTCCTCTTTTTCAATTTTTTTTTTCTATTTATTCTTTTTTATTGTGTAAATTGATTAATTATAGCTTCCCCTTACCAGTATATATATAATGAGATCATCTCCCCACCAATACCATCAAGACACCCCTTCAAGAGACCTTACATATAATTGTCTCTTCCAAAATTAAACCCCATAATAATATTTCTTCTCTCTTTTTTTTCTCTAGAAAACGGCAAAGATGGATCCTCTCATCATTGGAAGAGTAGTTGGGGATGTCATAGACAATTTCAACCCAAGTGTGAGAATGTGTGTCACTTACAATAATAAGCAAGTTTACAATGGTCATGAATTCTTCCCTTCTTCTGTCACCCTTAAGCCTAGGGTTCAAGTTCTTGATGGTGACTTGAAATCATTTTTTACCTTGGTACATTTATAATTTCCATCTATACTTTTTACTTCAATTCGATTTCTCCCGCCCCTTCAGTTTATAAAAGAAGATAACCTTAAGAAAAACGAAAAAAAAAAAAAAAAAAAAAACCCTCTTAAAAGCATCTTCATATAACTTAATGATGATAAAAGAGTTATGTATCACGCGAGTACATACAAGTCTAATATCAAATAATAAATATATATATGAAGTATATCATACTATACTTCATAAGAATCAGTATAAGTGATGGTACTATTTTAAAAGTTTTTTCTTTGTTTCTAATATTTACTATAGTAAAGTTTTTACATTTGATCTTATTGCATGATAGCATCTACACACATACATATTTCCACTCCAACTGGGGCTTATGTTCTCTTTCCTCCTATATGTGATAGATTATGACAGATCCAGATGTTCCAGGACCCAGTGATCCTTACCTTAAAGAGCACCTTCACTGGTATACTCTTAACTTAAAATCCAAACCAAAGTTTAATATATTTATATGTTTATATTCATGTAAATGTAATTTTTATTGTTATCTTTTATCAAGTAGAAACTTAATAAGCTTACTCAAATTTATGTGCCTATGTTACAGGATAGTCACAGATATTCCAGGCACAACAGATGCTACTTTTGGTAAGCAAGCTCTCAACTTATATCATAATCATCAAGGGGACTTGACCACTACTTTAAGATTAATTAAACAAACAAGTAAACTAATGATTTCATGGTATATACTTACTCCATTATATGATATGTGATAGGGAAAGAGATGGTGACCTATGAGCTGCCGAGGCCGAACATAGGCATCCACAGGTTTGCGTTCATCTTGTTCAGGCAGAACCGTAGGGGTACTGTCGTCCCACCGTGCAGTCGAGATCGATTCTGCACCAAAAAATTTGCTGAAGACAACCAACTTGGCCTTCCTGTTGCTGCTGTCTACTTCAATTGTCAAAGGGAAACCGCTGCTCGAAGGCGCTAGCTGAATATTCATCTTTGGACACCAAGCCAATGATATTATCTCGTATTCTAATGTACCAATTATGCAATAATTTGGTTTAAAATAAGATTGCTCTTTACTTGGTTAGGGGGAGGAGTGTAATGTTTATGATATGATATATGAGTGACCTAACTAGCTAGAAGAAGGAAGTGGTTTATGTTAGTTATTAGCTTCTGGTTGCATATTAGTTTATGTAGCTTTAATTTGTTTTATGCATGTCCTTGATATCTATGTGTACTAATTTCATATCGTATGATATTTCCATATTAATACGAAGTATATACTGAGCAGTACTTGAGCTGTCTAGGATCAAAATTATAAAATTAGATCTATTCATCATTAAACCTATCCATCAAATGCATCCCATTGGTCTCAAGATTATAAAATTGACATGTTTTTCACTTTTTATGACAACAAAAAAAAAAAAAGAATTTTAGATGATGACAACAAAATGCTAAGACAACTTAAATCTTTGAAATCCTTGACTATTCTTAGAAAAATAAAAGACATACATTTCTTAGCAAATAGCGAAGCTTATTTAACCTACTTTAATTCTAAAATTATAAACATAACACCACTCTCTAAAAAACTTAACCATCAAATTAGTTGATTTCATGTACACTTATTCTTGATATATCCTATACCGTATATTACATAAAAAAAAAAAAAAACCTCCCTACAAATCACTTACCTAGGAGAAAAGATCAAAACACACATTTTAATTTATGCTTAAGCACAATGTGACTAATAACTAAAGCGATATGAGACCATATTTGACCTTCTATTTTTGGTTTTTATAAGGAAATCTTTTTACCCATAACAGTCACTGTTACAATGTTACAATCTTTTTCTATTCTCTAACAATCTTAATTCCCTCAAAGCTAATGTATAATAGGACCCACACTCTTACCTCAGTAAGGCTACGTCAGGTGGACAATACACTAGCTTAGACCCCTCATTTGATTACTTCCTTAATCCTTGCACTTTTTCTCTATATTTTGCTGCCCTATTATATTTTCTTTCTTTTCACTTTATTTACCCCTTTTCATTAATACCGGATTATACTAAGCTACCATTAACTAGGACAAGAAGTATGGCCTTCATTATCAAAGAGGGTCTCAGGGTTTAGGTAGGTCTAAAAGCATGCAATGGTACCTTCATTCCAACTATTAGAGAACTTTTTTAATTATTCCAATCTACCAGCAACATAGTAAAAGTAAGCAAAAGTAAGAATATTTTCTTTTCAACTTAATGATTTCTCTCTAACAAAATATGTTTAAATAAGACAAATTCAAGCAATATCAGTTTATAAGTTCAAAAATGCTATGTTGAAATGTTACTCCGGATATGTGTTCTATTCCATGAATATTGCACATACACTAGTTCAGAAATGAAAGCCAAATTAAATAGTAAGCACTGCATAACACAATTATATATAAGAGAAACTGAAATAACTCAAATATAAGCAAAGGAAAACGAGCAATAAGCTAATAACATGACCCCTATACTATCATGTAAACTTCACCCAATAGTTAGTACTTCGTATTTATTATACATGATGTGATGACATGGAAAAAAGAATTAATTAAGTAATTTAGAAGTAAATTCTAATACGAGAAAGCATATTTTTAACAAAATAGATTCACTTTAAACTTCATTCTCTTTTCAAATTGTAGAATGTTACATATTTTTAATACGAGACAGCATATTTATTGCCCCCCAAAAAATTTCCTAGCTCTATTAATGACATGAGTGATAAATCTCATGTAATAGCACTGAATCATTCAAAAAAAAAAAAAGTTTCTACTCATAGATGCATGGTTCCAGAATTTTCAAGATCCTTCATTCTTAACCAAGCCTATTTGAAATAAAAGCAACAAATTGACAGAACCCACATACATACCTGATAGGACAAATGATGAGCCAAGTACATACAGGAGAAGTAGTACTACTAAAGCAGAGTATTGACACAAATGGGGATCATCTTATAGTGGAAAAGATGAATGTGCTCCAGAACTATAGCACCACACTGAGGCTGCACTGCTGCAGTCAAGCATGAACCAATGATGTTCTCAAGAAATTCACAAAAGCAACATATTTGTACATAGTTCAGAATTAAATGAAATCTTTTTTACATTTGTCTATTATACAAGTACTATTTATTGTTATATTTTTTGTTTTACTCCCTTTTCATTTTAAGTTCTACTCATTTTTACTTTATCTTAATTTTTCTCTTTTTTTCTTGCACATATAGCTTTTTACCGGAGTAGCAAATATTCCCTTCGTTCTTTTTTGATCTATTCACTTTTCATTTTAGGCTTTTTTTTTTTTTAATCTACTCTTTTTTTATCTATTCTTTTTTAATCCACTCACTTTTTTTTTCTCTCTATTTTGGTAAATTGTTTTTACTTTCTTACCCTTTCGACCTCACATTTATTTCACCCTTACATGCTTATATTCACATTTTCCATAAAAAGGTAATAATATAAAGGGATTACTAAGTTCTTATTAAACTATTAAGTCTCTTTTCGGTTGTAAAGTTTTTCATTTAGGTTTAAGCCTTACCTCTCTAACCCTTCCCCCCCCCCCCCCCAAAAAAAAAAAAAGGTTTATTTGCATCTTTTGACGAACAAATGAGCTAAAGATAGCTTTGAGTGGTTGGGTGTTCCTAGACTAGGGTGAAATAATGTTTTTTTTCCTTCTTTTAATTCATGTACAAGGTATGTGAATTACAAAATATTGGTGTAAATTGATAGGGGTATATTTGGAATAATAACTTTTGACATTGGGTCAAATCTCAGGGCCTGTTCTGTTCAGCTTAATTTTAATTCAGTTTAGTACCTAATTTTCTTCTTTCATAAACAATTCAGTTCTGCTCAGTTGAATTCAACTCCAATCAGTACATTTCAGTTCAGCTCCAATCAGTAAATCAGAATAGGCCCTCAAATAATAAAGTTTGATTCACTCCCTTGGATCTCTAATATTGCCCTAATTTCTTAAATAGCTTGTCTCTTTAAGTATCCCCTATATCATCAATGGTCATGGGTGGCCTCAACTTACTCACATGCGCTACGTATATATTCTCTTCACCAAGGGACATAGTCTTAAAAGAAGATGTGTCTAACTGTCTACATGTATTTTACTTTAAGAAAATACAGTAAACAATTTAAGTGTTTGGGTCTTGAATTTTTTTTTTGTCTAGCATAGGTTATTATCTTTATAATTTTATCTAGTTAGAAACCTTAGTCCATTAATTTTCTCACTAATCTAAAACACCCAACAAAATCTGACAAAAATAATCATAATTTAAAATTAAGACAATCTTAAAGAAACGGATAAAGACTCTTTGATGAATATAACACTACTTAATCAGTAGTCCCCCCTTATTCATTGGAGGAGAGCAATCAATACCAAAGATCATAGTATGACCTTTCAAAACTTCAAGGGCTAAGTTTTTATGTGAAGTTCACATGTCCATTCATAATCCAAAAAATAAAAATTAGCATAAAGGTAACATAATAAACGAAAGAAGATTATGACAAAGGCAAAAAGGGACAATACAGAGTGAAGGAAACCTGGAGGGAAAAAAAAAAAGTAATAGAAGGTACAATTACAAGTTGAAAGCAGCTCAAGTATCCCCCAGAGATTTAGTGGGGAATAGTACCTGGAAATCACTAACCATACATTCAAAAAATTTACTCCCAAATAATTGGCATTTCTAAAGAGGCATCCCCATAATTTGATAAGGACAATATTGAATTTGTTATCCAAAACAAGCCAATTAGAGTTCCCTAAATCCTGATTGTTGCACAATTCCAAGGCAACATTTAAATAATCACACCCCAAAACAACATTAACAACAACATTCGTCCAAAAGTGTTTTTTTTAAACTGATTTGCAAGCCAAAAAGGCAAACGACTCGATATACGTTGGGCTTGTTTAACATCATTTTTAATTTTTTATTTTCAATAAATTATTACGTATTTATTAACTACGGGCTTGTTTGGTACCTAATCCTTCCCTATTCCCAAGGTTACAATTATTTTGACAAAATCATTCGTTTATCTTTACTAATCACCTCCTTAAAATACATGTTTAAAGGTTGTGTTGCAAGTAGAAGAAAATAGAGGAAATAATATTAATAAACACGTAATAATTTACTTGTATTTTACATAACCAGGAATAAATATTACATTTTCACCGATTCCAATCCCCAACCCTCAAATTTCTTGATCTAGGGCCAAATACTTTAAAAGTTGACAATCCCACCTCCAAGTACCCTCATTTATTAAGATTTAAAGCTTACGCTTCTACGATCTAGAGTAACACACTCATAAACTGAGCCAAACCTTACTCAGTAATTTCATCAATAGATTAGTTAAAATTGTCTTGGTCACCAATAATACATTATTCATCCCAAAGACAATCATGAATGTCAAGCCTGATTGGTTGTCAATCAACAAGACCAAGGGGCACATAAAATGTTGAGAATTAGACCTAATCGCTAAAAATTAAATAAAAATAACATAATGTTAAGTATTATAACTTACAAATGTTATGAACTTATGTAGGAGGTGACATGAGAATCTTTCACGTTCGGTATTAAAATCACTTATGTTATGAACTTATGGAGGAGGTGACATGAGAATCTTTCACGTTCGGTATTAAAATCACTTATGTTATGAACTTATGTAGGAGGTGACATGAAAATCTTTCATGTTCAGTATTAAAATCACTTATGTTATGAATTTTTTTTTTTTTTTTAAACGGACTTATGTTATGAACTACGAGTACATGATTAGTACAATATGTATAAACTTCAAAATCACTTGTATACAGGTGTACTTAAACAATATTTGATGTGCATAAATCAGTTTTCAAGAAGTAACCAAACGTATAATCTGTCAATCATACACATTTTACATTCCACATATTTGCTCACTTATGCTTTCACAATCATCCATCCAAATAAATTTGAAAATTCTAAAAAAAAAAAAAAAAAAAAAAAGAAGAATTCTAACACGTGGAGGTAATGGACAACCAACCCCTCTTATCTGTGAGAGAGAGAGAGAGAACTTGAGAATGAGATTGTTCAAGAAACTGACCGATGGGCACTGAGTTTAAACATAGGATATTTGACCGAAGGTTTATAACCGATGGTTTATAAATTATAATCACCTTTTTAACACACATTTTTCCAGGGACAAAACAGTACATGTAACAGGGGGAAGAATTTCTGACTACTGCACTGTACCATAGTACGAGTACATTTTTGACTAAATACTATGCTATACTTGTGTCTTCTGGATAAGAAAATCTTGAAGATTATTGGTTACTCCAAAGTTAGAAAGTGACTGTTGGTTATAAAAGACAGACAAATAGGAAAAAAAAAAAAAGTAGAATTAAGAGCATCATGTTCTCAAATGGAAGGAGGATTACACCCAGTCCCCCACATATGGAAAAGTCGACATTTTAGAAGCCTTTGCAACTGTACAACTTGTGTTATACTGATACTCCGTATACAAAAATGCACACTACGGAGTATTTGCTAAATGACTCCGTATTCAGTAACATACTAACATATATGCCTACTATTTGCTGAATGACTCCTACTATATTTTTCTTATGTTACCTAATTCTGTTTTATTTTATTTTTCACAAATAAATTAAAAAAAATTATTAAAAATAATACAAACTTTGAGCAGTCCGTTGTAAACAAGTCAAACTTTTGATTATTTCTAAATAATACAAACTTTAGGGGGTTTCCGCTTAAAACAAGTTATACCAGTTATTGACTTAATTAACAGGTTATATGAGACATGTGTTAAAATTTTATTGGTTTCGCAATTTAATGTGCTTTTTTATTTATTTTTAAAAAATTATATTAATTAATATTATTATTATTATTATATTTTATTTTATTTTAAAATCTCATTCCCCACCCAACCCAGCCACCGCTCCACCCTTCCCTGCCCTCCGACGCCGACCCCCCTCCCCATGTTGGAGTCGCCCCCCTTCCCTCTTTCGCCCAATCACCAAGTACAGGCCTGGCGCCGGTGGGGGAGACAGTGGGTGAGGAGGAGTGGCTGGTGGTGGCCGAAGAGACGACAGGCTAGTGGTGAGGAGGATTGGGTTTAAATGTTAATTTGTTGGTAATTAAATTGTTAAATGAATTTGTAAAAAAAAGTGTACCGGTCATTTAAGTTGTAGATAAAATGTCTACTTTAAAGGGTAATCCCCTAAATCATATAACTAATATATAAAGCTAAACTTTTAGCCAGGTCACGAGATTGCGACACTAAACGTTAACGTTGGATAGATCTAAATACCAATATTAACATATAGATTTGGATAGAATTTTAGAATAAAATTGTTATTTTAGAATTTTATTATCGATAAAATACCAATATTTCAGATGTACAAATTGAATTATAATTTTATTCAAAAAAATTATTAGATTATAATTCTAATAAATTATCATATAAATTTATTTTTATATCATAATTTTTGGAGC